TGGTAATGGTAATTGTCCTTGTAGACTTTTACCAAAAGCCAAAAGTTGTTGACTACAAAAGGCTTTCTCGTGACTGGTAGTTTAGTAGGTTTCGTGAAATTTTAGATAGCTTACTTGGACTGCACTTGATCCATTTTATTTTGCTTTTACCTTCTTTTCAACTTTTGGGTCTTAATATGCTCCTGCAACTCGCGCGTTCCTCCCTCAATCAGAGTCACCCTGAGTGCGTAGCGTTATTTGCTGGTCACGTACTCCTTCGTAAGCCTGAAGACCTAGGTCACATCACCAAATGTGCCCCACACTTTTAACCTCCATATTCATCACTTGCAGTTGACTCACACAATATAAATAAATATATATAGGCTCTTTATGTAAAAGAATTTTCATTTTTTGAAAAAAATAAGGATTAGGTGTGGCTCACTTCACATCGAATTTCAACGATCCGAACCGTCTATTTTGTAAATCTTAATTCATAAATCATTCTTGTAAAAATTCAATTCAATCCGAAACCATTTGCCTATTTAATTATCAAGATCAAATTTCATTGTTTCTTGCATAACAAAGTATTCGTTCATTTTTTTGAACCCAATTAGATGTCTTAAATATTTCCAATTTGGTTAATATTTTGCAAAGATAATCTATGGGGTACAACTTGAAAAATAGACGGCTCAGATCGTTAAGGTTCAATGTGGTGTTGTACCATCTAATATCTGGAAAAGATGTCATTGCTGTTCTTTGGTATGCTCTTTCGGGATTTTCAAGGTCCAATGGAGTGCTTAATGCTGGTTATTTCTGTTTTCAGACTATGCATCAGGTCTATGATGCTGTTTTCTTGAGGAAGCGTCCTTTTGTTGGTTTCAATTTTTTATTTTACATATGATTTTAAGTTGATACATATAAAAGATTAAGCTTAGGGATGAGCAACGGTTATGGCGGGCATGTAAGTTATTTATCCATAACCGTTTATTCGTATACCCGCATAACTGTTTGCCCATTAGGTAATTGTCTATACGGTTATACCCATACTCATAACCGTTTATAAATAGTTAACCATATCCATAACCGCGTACTCATTTAACCGTAACCGTTTAGTATCCATTTTACCCATTTATTCTTTTTTAACCTGTTTATCCTTTCTTTTTCAACATTTACTCTTTTTTCACCCGTCTACTTGCTTTTTTAACAACTTGAAAATTAAAAAAGAAAAATTTGTCATAATTTTCTTTTTCTAACAATTAAACACCGTTATAGGTATATTCATCATACATTTCCGTAATTTAATTTTTTAAGTCCTTATACCATTCTAATAATTGAAATAATAGTTTACGGACGATATTTTTAACTGTTAACAATGAAGGTAATATAAAATTTGCTAAGTATTCTTGGGTTACGAAAACTGTTAAAGACATTATTCTTGGGTTATTTAACTCTGAAATGTAAAGTATTAACATAATATATATAATGGACCATAAAATTTAAAGTGGTTAAGGAAAACTATATTATATTAGCTACAGAAATCATGCACTATAGTCAATAGTATTGATCTAAGTTTTGTTTGATAGAGAACATGGTTTGTGTTAATTTTACATATATAAAATAAATGGATAAACGGTTATCTGTTTATAACCGCGGTTAATAACCATAACCGCCCATTTAAATTTCGCAGGTAAACGGTTATACCCATAACCATTTATTTATCTAAACGGTTATCCATAATCGTAACCGTTTAATTTAAATAGATAGGTAACCGCGGTTACCCATAACCAATGGGTATTTACCCATTCCTAATAAAGCTTCAGTATCCTGATTATCAATAATTTATTTTGCCTACTCGGTTCCACGAAAGTAGACTTTCATTCAGCAAACCATACCACTCCACACCGTGTAGACGTCGTTAGAATATTCTTGTATTTCCAAATTTATATGCACCAAGACTAAAACTTTTCACCTAGTTAGATTACGCGTAAAGTTTTCTTCCAAAGATGGTTTGAAGATGCTGCCTTGTGATCAGAATGGCCTAATAGATTAGTGATTACCATCTTGGTTTTTAGCTTGCGCTCTTTACTGGTATTATTATGTTATTTTTCTGGCAAGGTTTGTATTTGGAAAATTGATATCATAACTTTGAATGCTTCATGTTTGACAGGTTGCTACTCGTTTCTTATCCTTCAGCCCTCTGCTCTATTGGTTTGCGTCGTACATAATGAAATCTCGTGGTACTGGTAAGAGATGGGGATATATAGTTTGGGCGTACTCTCCTGCGTACATTCTTCTAGGCAGTTTGCTCTTTTCGAACTTCTATCCTTTCACTTGATAGTGTACAGCAAGGAGTCTCAGCTGAGAGCTTTTCTATCGAAGAGTTTGTGCCTTCACAGTGTCTCAGATTGAATTTGCATACTGAAGGATATTCTTCTATTGTTTGGGGAGTCCCACGGCTTAATTATCTTTAGTTGCTTGCCTCTGTGTATAAGCATCGTGCGACTGTCGGTCCCGAAGAGGCGACAGTTTTGTTCTTTTCCGCATGATATATATAGTTTTTATAAATGATAAGAATATTATTAAACAAACAAAACTGTCGAAATGGCTATAAAACTTCAAGATTATACATCGTGACTAACTTGTTATTCTACAGAGTTACAAAGTACCATATAAATATAGAAAACTAACCTAATCCTAATAGGCAAAAAAAGAAAACCCTAGTACTAACGAGTTAGGCCCAAAATACCCAACATTAAAATAACAAAAATGTTATTCTTACCATTTATTTGTATTCACATGTGTTGGCCTAATAAGCAAGGGAATGAAATCCTAGTACTAATGCGTTAGGCCCAAAATACCAAAACATTAAAATAAAAAAAATGTTATTCTTATCATTTATTTGTATTCGCATGAGTTGCCGGACTCTAATACATGTGATGGTACAAATAGCTCCTCTTAAATCAATTTCATCGGATTTAGTCCATGCAGTTTACAAACTGCCTTAATTCTAGAACACGCGTACATATGAGTAATATTCAAAACCCTCAATTACAACTAACTTAAGTCTTAATTAAACCATAAACCTCAATTACAAATTGGGTTCATAACATAATTCTTGCTGGATACATCTGATCAGTTATAGTAGTGGTGACAAAATAGTATTACAAGGCCTGAGGCCGCATAGATGACAGATGCAGTACACTTGAACCAGAGGGGAAATGGGATTGTGATGGAAATGAAGAAGGCGATCACCCCAAAGAAAACACCGAAATAATGGAAGAGATGAACTATGATTCGTGGGCATTTGGAGTTCTGAATGAACTTGCTAACCAAGATGCTCGAGAAGGAGAGTGTGATTGCGAGACCGAGAAAGCAAAAGGATAGAGGGAGCTGCTTGGAGTGCAGTTGGATGGGTACGAGAGCCATTCCAATTGCCGTTGACAAGCAATACGCCAGAATAATTGTTGCCCAATCTAAGTTGGATGGGTCAAGGTCATTATCCAACACGCTACTGAATATCTTGTTGAGTAGTTGCTGCAGAAACGCCTTCATTTTTTTCTGGAAGAAGAGAGGGGGAGATGGGTTTTTTAGTGCAGCAACTTCTTCACACCTCGTGTAGTGAACAGGGCTTTGGATCCCTATCCGTTTTTATAGAATATGAGGAAGCACTATTATATAGAAATTTTTTTTTTTTTTCCCAAAATTGTCACATTAATTAGTTTAAGAACTATATATATGCTTTGAAGGGTAATTGCTAGAGGTGTTAAATTTCTAAGTTAAATTTTGTAAACCAAACAATGTGAATATTGATGATTGAATTATTATTTAAATTTTGATTAGCGTGCTTATATTTTATTTATGATACATCATTTGGTTTGTGAATTTAATTTTAAAATTTGGCCTCGTTAATATTATCCGAGCTTTGATATGTGAAAAGTTTAGAAAATAAAAAATTAAAATATACATAAAATTATAGAAGTCAAAGTCAGATTATTACTTGTATAATTATAAAGCTCAAGGGTTTAACTTTCAAAAAGTTTAGAAGCCAAAATTAAAGAGCTGATCAGCTAAATCATGATTTAACTTTCAAAAAGTTTAGAAGCCAAAATTAAAGAGCTGGTCTGCTAAATCATGATTTAACTTCTATAATTTTATGTATATTTTATCTATATACTCAACGGTTATTACTTGTATAATTATAAAGCTCAAGGGTTTAACTTTCAAAAAGTTTAGAAGCCAAAATTAAAGAGCTGATCAGCTAAATCATGTTTTAACTTCTATAATTTTATGCATATACTCAAGGGTTAGTACTTGTATAATTATAGAAGTCAAAGTCAGATTATTACTTGTATAATTATAAAGCTCAAGGGTTTAACTTTCAAAAAGTTTAGAAGCCAAAATTAAAGAGCTGATCAGCTAAATCATGATTTAACTTCTATAAAGCTCAAGTGACTCTCGAATGCAAAAAATTGTGATGCCTAATATCTAAATTTGACAAATAATATCTTATCAAATTATTAATATATGACCCCCAACTTATTAACATGTTGACTTGAAACTTATTATTTTTGTATCATTTCATTAACGGATTGTGCAAATTGTCAAGCCGACATGTATAGAGCAGGTAATTAATGATGGATAAAAGTCTGCTCTTTTAATTTCTAATGCAATAAGGCAACCCCACATGTGTTGGAGAGTCACTGATTCATTGCGGACCCCGCTGAAAACGAACGGCTGACGCATGCCCTTCTTCACCGAAACAATCGAGCTGATCTTAAATTACCAAAATGCCCACGCTCCATGTTTTTGCTATATAAAATGCCTCGTCTCCAGGTCCAACTGAAACAAACTCTCACACTCACGACTCCATCTCATCTCTCTCTCTCTCTCTCTCTCTTTAGATATACACTAGCTAGTCATACCCACGCGTTGTTGCGGGATTACAAATTGACTTTTTAGCAATGTATAAACGTGAGTTAGCATCAGTGTAACATTAATTAATCTAAACAAAATTACCATAGTGAAGGAAAGAATTTTATTTGCTATAGAAAAATTATAGTTTTGATACCTTACAAAGGTAACTTGTTTAAAAAGATTGAAAGCCAGCGGTTTTCAATCTTGAAATTCCACAGCATCCTTTGAAAAATAGCGACCATCATCGGATAGAACTATTGTACCACCTGGAGGAAAGAAAAAAACAATGAGTTACTGAGATATTCTTATACACAAAAAGAAAACACTTGAAACTAAATAAACAAAATATTCAAACATGGAAAGCACATCATGAGGGATAATCTATCGTTTTTGGCCAAGTGAGGAATAATATCTTGAGTACCGAGAGAAAGAAAAAAGTACTTTCACATTATTTTATAATACTTGTTGGGTTAGTCTTGTATTTCACTTTATTTATAAAATCAACTACTGATATGGTTACAATGCTGGTAACATCACCCCTAGTATTGGGTGTCCATCTAATTTAACTTAAAAGTTTCTTGTTCAATTTGGATGTACATAATGCTTCAGTTTTAAGTTTTACCATACAAAAAAATTGTGAGTCTAAATGGGTTTTATAAATAGATGATAAAATTGCAACTCAGTATAATCCAAGACAATGAAAATTGAATATTATTTACCATAAATTGACATGCAAATTTAAATGCAAGAATGCAAATGAAGAGAATTTGTTTCATCGTGTTCAGCAAGGAAATAAATAGCAATGAAAACAGTATGATTCGGTGACCCTTACCTTTAACTTATTCCGATGATAAGGCATTAAAGGTTGACCAAACCAAATTCTGCAAGTAATGAGGTTGCATAAAAAAGCGAACAATTTTGGTCTCAAATTTTTTCTAGAATAATTGAAAAAAATAAGAAAATTAACTGTTAGGAGTGCTTAACGTTATTTAATTATACGGAATGACATTAGTGAAGACTGAAGAGTCGCATCATGTGTGACAGCAAAAGAAGATGTATCTAGATTTGGGAAAAAAAATACATATAATCATAAAAATAAGTACATAGAATTTTCAAATGCTCTTACCTGCGATGCTTCAAGTCGAAAATAACTGGTAAGTCCATTCCATTGGGAAAAGTTACGACCAATCCTGATGGATTCATCACCCATCGGATAGAATCTGGCAGAAGTATAAAAGCATTTGCTGCCCTTTACTGCAAAATAAATGAATTACCATAAATCAAGAATCTATACCGTGATACACAAACAGAGGAATCATAGCACCAAACCATTTGAATAAACAATATAAATAGATAAAGAGAGAAGAGATTGCAATACCTTCTCTGTGTGTATTACAAATGAAGCAAGGAGGATGGAGCTTCGATCTGAAACTGCTATAACACGTGGGAGGGAAGGCTAGGAGCGAATGGCTAATTACTGCCTAATTTGACAGAATCTGGCCCGAATTGAGCTTGCCTATTCTCTGTAAATTTGCCAGAAAATGCAGCAGTTAGGGTTTAAACTGAAATCACAAATTTAAAGCAGATAGAATGTACCTGAGGTTATGAGGAGGTCCTCGCTAATGCTTGATGGGGCATCAGCCCAAGTCCTTTTCCATATGGGGATTCATGAACCGGAGGGGGTAATCCAGCTGGGTTCTGATACTTTGATCATTATATGCTAACTGGGTAAGAGTGGTTTTCCCCAATCGCCCCACCCGAACAATTGAGAATATAGCATTGCGCCCAACACTCTTTACTCGTTCACGTACCAATTTGCTTATCAAAATTTTTGTATCTTCGTCTTGACCATAGATTGTGGGCTCTACTTCTTCAGTCAACTTATAGGTGGCAGTTACAATTCCTAATCTTCCAGACTATTCAATCTCTCTATTTTTTACACAATTAAACTTTATCCTCTTCGCAATTTGAACCCAATCAACCAATTTAGTGCAACAAAAGGAAGAGGTGAGTTGGAAAAAGTATACCTTCGCAAGGCTAAATGCTTTTGTGGAATTTAAAAGCTCAGTCCAACTTCGAAATCTGCAATGGAAAAAAATATAAACCCAAATTACAGCTCTCTCACTCAAAAGAAAATCGAAAACTTTATATGAAATTGAAGTTTTACCTGAAGAACACAGATTCCAAAACCTTCTTGGCAATGTAAGGAGTTGGGTTTTAGAGGAGCCATCATTGTTCAACATTGGTTTACAGGTGTTTCAACGCAGAAGAAAATGTAGAGGGATATAAATGTAACAGAAAAGTAACTAAAGTAAGTGGCATTATTTACAATGAACTGAAAATGGGAAACATTCTATAGAAAGTGATGCAAGTGAATCATGTTTTTTTTAAAATTTTTTTTTTGAAGGAACACAGAACTTAACTATTTAGCTTTACTCCTTAGGTCAGTTCATAAAACCCTAAATGGTCGAAAGCCATATACTTTCCACTTGTAATCTCAGCCCAGAACAAAACTTCATTCAGTCAAGAACAACATTCCTTTACTTGTATTCCTGGTGTTTTACTTCAATTTTATATTTTGATGGAAACCCAGAAACCCCTTTTACGTATATTAGTACTGATTACCTAACTATGTATCACAACACCCAGAAACCCTGATTACACAGAAACCCATAAACCCTGATTACCTAGAAACCCGAATTACCCAGAAACCCTGATTACCCTATACCATATATCACAGCACCAATTCAAAGAAGCCTTTGAAGAACTGGTGTCCCATTTTCGCTAACCAATTAATAAAACTTAAACCCAAAATGCTTTTGAGACTACGAAGTTCAAAGAAACCCAAATCTTCCAATTATCCAGTTCAATATTTCAATTTCCCAACTAAAAATGTTGAAGTAAGCAGATAGAGGTTGACAGAGAAGGAAATTTATTAACCCAAATCATACACGCTCATAAACATGCAAAACTCACCAGGAAACGCCAGATTAGATCCCTAGAATCGGCGCAACTCGAATTAGAAATCGAGTTTGACTGCGTTCCAATTCGTTTGAGGGCAAAATTAGGGTTTGATTTCAGAGGAAGCAATGGATCCAGGTTTTCGTTCAGGCGAATGGGCGCAGAGACATGGAAAATGAGGATCATGAAGGGAATTGAGAGGCAAGATTGATCGCACTTGTTGGAATAGAAGGCGAGATTTAGTAAGCCCAAGAACAGCAGAAGAGAGATCTGGGAGAAAGATGTGAGAAAGCAACGGAAAGCGAAAGAAAAATCGAGAACACAGAGTCCAAATAGAGGATCCATCGATGACAGACGCGTGGAAGCAATAGACAAAAGCGGCATTTCGCTGCCCCAAAAGCCGAAGAGAAAAGTAACCGGGGGAAAAATCCAGGGGCAAAGTCGTCTGCCCACTGGTCATCCACAGTAGGTGGGTTTTAGTATATATAGATATATATAAAAGGAGAAGTATTCTATAAAAAGGGATAGTGCTTTCCTCTCACACTCCCGACATCTCATCTCTCTCTCTCCCCCCTCTTTCTCTCTCTAGATATACGCACATATATACAATAGTGTTTCCTCATAGTCTATAAAAAGGGATAGGGATCCAAAGCCCCGTTCACCACACGAGGTGTGAAGAAGTTGCTTCACTAAAAAACCCATTTCCCCCTCTCTTCTTTCCAGAAAAAAATGAAGGCGTTTCTGCAGCAACTACTCAACAAGATATTCCGTAGCGTGTTGGATAATGACCTTGACCCATCCAACTTAGATTGGGCAACAATTATTCTGGCGTATTGCTTGTCAACGGCAATTGGAATGGGTCTCGTACCCACCCAACTGCACTCCAAGCAGCTCCCTCTATCCTTTTGCTTTCTCGTTCTCGCAATCACACTCTCCTTCTCGAGCATCTTGGTTAGCAAGTTCATTCAGAACTCCAAATGCCCACGAATCATAGTTCATCTCTTCCATTATTTCGATGTCTTCTTTGGGGTGATCGCCTTCTTCATTTCCATCACAATCCCATTTCCCCTCTGGTTCAAGTGTGCTGCATCTGTCATCTATGCGGCCTCAGGCCTTGTAATACTATTTTGTCACCACTAATATAACTGATCAGATGTATCCAGCAAGAATTAAAATAATTCCAGAAAAGAAAAAAGCATTCTAGAGGAGAGAATTGAATTGCAATGTTTGAATATTACTCATATGTATGTGTGTTCTAGAATTAAGACAGTTTGTATGATATGGGTGAATCTTGTTGGAAAATACTAGTATCTAGATTTATTTTAAGAGTAGTTATTTGTACATCATTTATATCATCTCTCTATTAGAAATAAAATCCGCCAACTCATGTGAATACAAATAAATAGTAAGAATAACATTTTTGTTATTTTAATGTTTGGTATTTTGGGCATAACCCATTAGTACTGGGGTTTCATTTCTTTGCTTATTAGGTCAATGCATGTAAATACAAATAAATGATAAAAATAACATTTTTGTTATTTTAATGTTAGGTATTTCGGGCCTAACTTGTTAGTATTAGGGTTTCTTTTTTTTTTTTTTTTTTTTTTCTATTAGGGTTAGCTCAGTTTTCTATATTTATATGCTACTTTGTCATATAAGATAGAGAGATTTTCAAGTACTGTGTATTCAAACAATATTCTACATGTTATTAAATAAGTGAAGAAAATGATATTTTTTTTGTACCTCTCCACTTATTTTGACACGTAAAATACCCGTTTGAATATTGAGTACTTCAAAAAAAAAAAAAAAAAATCCTTTAATTTTCCATGTCCCATATATGAGCTCTGATTGGGGTATGTCCAACATGGCCAATCCATGCAACCCCAAAGTTTATGCATGCGAATGGTCCACCCCCTTAAATTAAATTAAACATTACAGAGGTGGATGACGTGCCATTCCTAGTTTACTAGTAGACAGCGATTATGTATGGAATTTCCCTTATATTACCTCGCAGGTCCACAATGGATTACTGTGTATTTTTGCCATATATATTGTTTAATTGCCTTAGCTCCAATGGCTAGTGCAAGAGATGATTCAACACTTCCAAAAGAAGCAGCAAATCACCCAGCAAATATTCACAATGTATGTGTTTTACAACTCCAATCTTGCTCATTATCCGTGTTAAATATTTAGCCACGTCAACATCTTATATTAATTTTTTATAAAAAGAGAAAGACAACAAAAAAAAATATGAAAGAAGGGGATGAAAAGAGATAAAAAGAGAAAGAAAGAGAATCCTAATCCGAAAAAAAATTTGACCTTTTTTTAATTGTTCTTTGTGCATGTGTCGTATTTTACTTTATAGCTTTAGCTGACATATTGAAGCATTAGCAGCAACATAATTTTAATATGTTTAATCCTTTAATTTACTAAAAAAATGGTTCGTAGAATCCAACGATAATTTGCCAATATTCATAATATCACAAAATGTTCCTCCCATTGCAAATGAAAAATGCGGAAGAGGATTCTCTCCTGATTCATTCTATAGAGATTCTAAGATCCTTATATTCTAACCGTTCATCTTATATCGTATGATTAATTTTCATCAAATACTATTTGTATTTAATTTTAAATAAAAAAATTAAATAATTTATAATTGTATGATGTATGATGAATGACTAAGAGCATCTCCAAAAAAGATGCCAAATTTTAAACATCAAAATGATAGTAGATGGCTTATGTAGCACTTTTACATTTTATACAATATTTTGCTCCACCTGATATATTAAATAATAATATCATTTAATAAATTTTTTATCTTTTTGTGGAATCTAATGATTAAGGCAACCAATCAAATATTTGAAAAACATAAGAAATTGAAGGCTCGGTTAAAAATTATTTTAATCTATTAAAAATTATTTAATAAATTTGACATCTGCTGTCAAATTTGACAGCAAAAGATTTTGCCTTCAAATGACTCATCGCCACGTAAGAAATTGAAGGCTCGATTGAAGAGAGTTTGCTGCCATTTTTTATTGTTATATACCTACGTGACAATTTTGACATCTTTAAAAATGCTCTAAGATTTGAAGATCTTTAACATCCTCACAATTTGAATTCGAATGAGATTCAAATCCAAAAAATGCTACTCTTACTCGTCATTCACGATTTCACACCGTCGGACTTATTGACTTTAAATTAATTAAAAACTAGTCAGCTGGTAATTTTACAAGGTTTCTGTCATCATTGTAACCAACCAAAAAAGTTATAACCAGCCGGATTTATGGACTTTTAAATTAATTAAAAATTAGTCAGGTGATTTATGCACCGATCTTTACTCTATAAAAATATCCTAATTAACAGTCCATTAACTACTTACATTTGGAATAACTCTTGACCTTATTCTAGACATGTCTTGCTCTCGTGTATTTTTTTTCTTCCGCTTATAAATAGGGGTGTGTACACAACTCTGGTTAATTTTTATTCGTTGATTTTCTTTAATTCATCTGATTTGACGATTAAAAATTAAAAAAACGTGTAAAAAGTAAAATAGGATTTGTGAATATCACAACCCTATAAATATCATGCGATATTTGGAAATTAACAAGGCATTTCTGCAGCCATTGCATAAGAGGATATTTCTTTCTAATTATAAAAAAATATTGAAAATGCACACTTAGGTTTTACATTTTTTTTATTTTTAACAAAAGATATGATTTACACTAATTGCGGAGAGGAAGTGGACTAAACTTCACACTAAGCTAATCATAATGTGGTTCAAATTCGTCTTTGTCGATAATCAAATTTAAGACCTCTCACTTACAAGTTAAAATGAATACCACTTAAGACCGTAGCATTAAGTGACTACATAATTAGATTTTTAGAGTGACAACAATAATTTCTAAAAGATTAAAATAAATAATAAATATAGAAAGGGCAAATTACGAGGTTAGTGGATTTCACGTAAATAATAAAAGTACCACTTCCTCGACATTTCGTAGAATATGCACTAGTGGATTTCACGTAATATGTGTGTGTACACGTGTGCATTATTAATCTATATGTGGCATGTATATATATGTATATGTATGTATGTGTATATATATATATATGAATGTATGTATATATATATATGTATATGTATGTATCATATGCGATTATATGGAAATTAACAAACGTATCTCTCCTCGACCAAAAACCAATAAACAAACCCATCTCTCCCTCTCTCCTTTCCACAAGAATGAAGGCATGTTTGCAGCAAGCAAACAAATTCTTCGCTAGCGTGTTGGATAATGACCTGGAAACAACTGCACCTGCCGAGCCACCACCACCAGCAGCTGCCGCCAGCTCTAGGCCGCCTAGGAAGCACAAATTTGATTGGGCAACGATTATTCTGGCGTATTGCTTGTCAACGGCAATTGCAATGGCTCTCGTACCCATCCAACTTCACTCCAAGCAGCTTCCTCTAACCTTTTGCTTTCTCGGTCTCGCAATCACTCTCCTTTTCTAGCATCTTGGTTAGCAAGTTCATTCAGAACTCCAAATGTCCACGAATCATAGTTCATCTCTTCCATTATTTCGGTGTCTTCTTTGGGGTGATCGCCTTCTTCATTTCCATCACAATCCCATTTCCCCTCTGGTTCAAGTGTACTGCATCTGTCATCTATGCCGCCTCAGGCCTTGTAATACTATTTTGTCACCACCACTATAACTGATCAGATGTATCCAGCAATAATTAAAATAATTCCAGAAAAGAAAAAAGCATTCGAGAGGAGAGAATTGAATTGCAATGTTTGAATATTACTCATATGTATGTGTGTTTTAGAATTAACACAGTTTGTAAACTGCATGGACTAAATCCGATGAAATTAAAATGATATGGGTGAACCTTGTTGGAAAATATTACTATCTAGATTATTTTAAGAGTAGTTATTTGTACCATCACGTGTACTGTCTCTCTCCCGCTAACTCGTATGAATATAAATAAATGGTAAGAATGATATCTTTATTATTTTAACGTTTGGTATTTTGGGCCTAACCCGTTCGTGCTGGAGTTTCATTTCCTTGCTTACTAGGTCAACGCATGTGAATACAAATAAATGGTAAGAATAATATTTTTGTTATTTTAATGTTGGGTATTTTGGGCCTAACTCGTTAGTATTAGGGTTTTGTTTTTTTTCCTATTAGAGATAGGTCAGTTTTCTATATTTATATGGCACTTTGTAACTCTATAAAATAAAACGTTACTCACGATGTAGCCTCTTGAAGTTTTATAGTCATTTCGACAATTTTGTTTGTTTAATAATATTCTTATCATCATTTATAAAAACTATATATAACATGCAGAAAAGAACAAAACTGTCGCCTCTTCGGGACCGACAGTCACACGATGCTTATACACAGGGGCAAGCAACTAAAGATATTAAGCAGTGGGACTCCCCAAACAATAGAAGAATATCCGTCAGTAAGCAAATTCAATCTGAGACTCTGTGAAAGGCACAAACTCTTCGATAGAAAAGCTCGCAGCCGAGACTCCTTGCTGTAAAACCATCAAGTGAAAGGATAGAAGTTCGAAAAGAGCAAGCTGCCTAGAAGAATGTACGCAGCAGAGTATGCCCAAACTATATATCCCCATCTCTTACCAGTACCACGAGATTTCATTATATACGACGCAAACCAATAGAGCGGAGGGCTGAAGGACAAGAAACGAGTAGCAACCTGTCAAACATGAAGCATTCAAAGTTATGATATCAATTTTACAAATACAAACCTTGCCAGAAAAATAACATACTAATACAACTAAAGAGCACAAGCTGAAAACCAAGATGGTAATCACTAATCTATTATGCCATTCTGATCGCAAGGCAGCATCTTCACACCATCTTTGGAAGAAAACTTTACGCGTCATCTAACTAACTGAAAAGTTCTAGTCTTGGTGCATACAAATTTGGAAATACATGCATAGTTCAGAGTTTTTTGTGAGTCAGTTCTATTCAAAATGTAAAACTTGAGCATGATTAATCTTTACATGATTGGTTAATCTTCATCTATCAAGCTTTTCGTCCCTGAAACAATTTGTCAATTTCAAGGGAAACAAGCAACTGATTCCCTCTAGCTTGATTTTTCCATTGAAAGATAAAATAAATCATGGTGCCAGTGATGATCAAATCTCTTTTGTTTTAACATCAGAATCCAAATATAAACCCAAAAAATTGACAAAATTATATTGATCAAGTCATAGAATTACTGACAACCATAATTTCATGAAGCAGAAATTTAGTATTCTATATTTCTCAAATACTCCTAGCTTAAATTTTTTTGGCAAGATAAAGAACTTTAACAGGGAATAAAATCAAACCTGCACATGCATGACAAAAATTGCGGTGGCTGCCATAAATCCCAAATGTAGAATACATGGAAGCACAGCAACAGACAAGTATCCTTGCTTTGCTAATACTTTATGTTCTTCTGAGAGTAATGCAGGACCATCTATGTTCACTTGCTTCCTTGTGCGATTTTCTGTTACATTTGCAAACGATTGATTACACGCTGTTGAAAGCCAGCATGAATGGAAGAGAAACACTATTCCAAAAATACTGATTAGGTCATGCACAATAAAACAATTAGATGCACATGCACATATTGATTTATGCTAAACGATTGATTTACTAGCTTCACATGTCAACAGAATAAGCTATAAAGCAATGACAGTAATAATATGTCAATCACAAGCAATGGCTGTTTAAAAGTAATACCCTGACTTCTGGAGGAGTATTCTGCTAGAGAAAAGAGCACAGCAGCAGAATCTTTATCCTCAGGAGGAGCTCGAAAACCCAAAGAGAAGAACTTTTCAGGCTTTGACTTTGCGTAATGGACAATTGAGCAAAGTGCCAGAGACAATATTGGTGAAGCCAGCAGAAAGTTTGGCAACTGTTTAACTTGGAAATATCTCAAGAAACCTACTCCCCTGGCATGAAGGTAAACCATCAACTATGAATATCTTTCTATTTATTCCAATTTTTTATATTTATCCTGTATTTGCACGGTATAACTATAAGTATAACAAGATGAAACAGTACAGATGTATATAGAGCTAATCCAATTACCATTCCTTAAAAAGTCAAATATTAATTTGTATCTTATACACAATAGACTATCCTTTATTACTATTTATTAATGATTTTCCAATAATCAGCAGAACAAGGACTCTTTTCGTAACATTGCTCTTCAACAACAATTGACAGTAATGATTGTCAACCTTTAGCTAGACACAAAAAAAAAAAAAAAAAAAAAAAAAAAAGGTGTTAATCCGATGAACAAGCATTGGTGATTAAAGATCACATACCAATAGCGACTCTGAATATAATTGTACAACAAAGGGACTCTTGCTTTGCACCAGGGCCTCATATCGGATGGAAGATGTCCAAGACAGAGATTGTTGTATCCGTATGCTTGAAATGCAATAAAAGGAACAAATATACATATGCAGCGCAGAGCTCCACCAACAACAGCCTGCAATGCCAACTGCCACAGAAATTAAAATTACTAAGCAGTCATCCTCTTGATAAGTATAAATCAACAAATTGCTTTGTGCTACATAATTGACATGTTCTATTTTCTTTGATATTGTATAATAATATTCTAACTGCATCTACATGGTATGGAGTTGTATGATTTGCTGAATGAAAGTCTACTTTCATAGAACTGAGTAGGCAAAATAAATTATTGATAATCATGATACCGAAGCTTAATCTTTCATATGTATCAGCTTAAAATCATAAATAAAAGAAAAAAAAATTGAAACCTACAAAAGGACGCTTTCTCAAGAAAACAGCATCATAGGCCTGATGCATAGTCTGAAAACCGAAATAACCAGCATTAAGCACTCCATTGGACCTTGAAAATCCTGAAAGAGCAAACCAAAGAACAGCAATGACATCTTTTCCAGATATTAGATGGTACAATCCTCCAACTGAAAAAAGGGCGAACAATGTCTCCGAATATCTGCAGTATAAAGCAGATGAAAACATCAGCCTGATGCAATATCATAGGTATCATAGGTACCAACTAGAAAAAAACAAAAGAAAAGGGAAATTACATTGATGAATAGAATATGGAAGCTGGATTGAAGCAAAACAAAACTGAAGCCCTCACTGCTGCTTCTTGGTCCTTCAAAATGACAACTGAAAGCCTGTTAAAGTGACAAGGGAAAGACTTAAGTAATCAAAAGTTTTAAACCAATCAAAAAGTCAATGTAAAACAATCAAGGGCAGCCAATTGGATCCAGGTTGATATATACTATAGCTCCTTATTCTCTAAAACTTCATTCTGATATATATCTACAATCTTTCCTTTTAATTATTGATAAAATCCAATTTCAGAGAATAAGGGCCTCATTAAGGTGGCAGACAAGATCTAATTATTGCTGGAATGAAACACAATTGAAGATGCCAAATGGTTATAGTCCGGATAAAGCTTTTCCGAATCGAATTGAAATTATGAAAATCCTAACTAGCTCACCTGTATAAATAAACTGCCGCAAACACGAAGCCAATGTTACTAATGACATAGCCGGATAATCCCAACACAGCTCTTTGCCCAATAACTGGAACCAATGGCGCCAAAACTGAAACACAAAGCACAACTGCTAATTACAAAAAAAGCACTGATTCAAACTCAACAAACTGATACAAACACCAATTGGGTATGCTTAAAGTTCAGAAATTGCCAATTGGGTAAGCTCAAAGTTCACAAATTGCCAATTGGGCAAGCTCAAAGTTCATAAATTGCCAATTGGGTAAGCTTAAAGTTCAAAATATGTCATTTTGGTAAGCTCAAGTTTCACAAATTTCAAATTGGGAAAGCTCAAAGTTCACAAATTGCCAATTGCGTATTGCTTAAAGTTCACAAATTGCAAATTAGGTATTGCTTGAAACCGTAGAAACTAACAATTCCAAAATGGTATTACTGAAAGCTAATAATCTGAGCCTAACCTGTACGTGATAAGAACGACATGCAAAGAGGAAGAAGGGGGAAGAAAGCGTAGGTCTGCTCGTACTCGTAGCCACACTCTGCAATCCGAACAAAGTAGACACTGTCCCATACAATGCTGGACTCGATAGCCAAACCCAGGGAATGAAAGAGAACGTTTTTTTGTGAGGGGATGGTAGATAGGCAATCGGGATTGATGGAGGCGGAGGTGTCATAGGAGGACAAGAGAGTCCGCCATAGGAGGATAAGAGTCAGGACTAGGAGTCTGGACTGGATTGCTGATCTGATCACTGTGGCTTCATGGTGGAGTTTCGGTGAGAATTTGGTCGGAGGCATTTGGGTTTGGTTACAGAACTCCTATCCGCTCGGAGAAGAGGGGCAGAAATGATCGGGGTTCTATGCAATTTCACGGACACCGCTAATTTACAGTTGCATATTCTAAGAACATCAAATGCTCGCAATGGGTTGCTACGCCTCCATTCCAGCTAAATCCACATGTAAAGTCGGATCCTTTTGGTGATTTTATTTGAGTAAATGGTAGCAATCCCCAATTTTAACTTAATTGAAGCAACAGTTCATCAATTAAAAATTCATTATCATTAGTCCATCAACCCATCAAAACATGCAACAATTGTTCCTCAGCTAAAAATTCATTACCAGGCAATGATCTCTCAATTTTAATCTAATTGGAAAAATGGTTCCTCAATTTTAACCCATTTGTAAAAATGATCCTTCCAAGCTAACTCATTTTGACAAAATTTTGACGAAGTTGACAAAAATGATTATAGCTACATGTTTTGATGAGTGGACCAATGGTTTTAGTTGAAGAATCATTGCTTCAATTTAATTAAGTTAAGGAACTATTGTTATAATTTACTCAATTTATTTCTAAGATTTTACTGTTTCGATTCGATCACATTGAAATTTCATCTGAGATGCAAGACATTAAAATATAAAAAACTAATGAAAAATGCTTGAAAATTTTGAGTTTTAATGATAAAGATAAAATAAAAGATAAAGTGAATAGTACCATGATTGACTTTTTAGTGTAAAAATATGGTTTTGCGTTAAAGTAAACAGTACCGTAAACTTTTTGTTAAAACTTCCTTAAAATATTCTAAAATGTCAACAAAATTTTCCGTTTTGCGAGAATAGCTTCAAAAAAATTAAATAAGTGTGCGAAAAGTTTTTGAATTTTATTCATTGGATTCCTTTATAAGTATTTATCCTCACTCTTTTTAGACCTTATTTATAGAAAAATCACTCTAAAACATTAATCATGGTACAAATCTTGATGGACATGTGAGATGGCACTTTTGGAATGGAAAGAAAACCAATTGGAGAATTATAAACACACTTTTTTTTTTTTATATACATACTCCGCTTAAACTTATTTTTTTTAATTTATTTAATCGATGATAAAAAAATAACATAAAAAATAAGTGAAAAGCCTTAAGAATTGTGTAAAAATCAGCTCGCAACCAAATTTACTGCATCATGAGCACATTGAAATTTCTGAATAGTAAAAGCTTTTATCACATGGGGAATAGGTGAAACCCTGATGGCTAAAAGCAGAAACAGTCCACATGGAAGAGGGGACAACCCCGGGAGTTCTTACATATTAAATCATAACATGGTTGATTCAATTACTGTAAAATATTCCCTTAGAGCTTTATTTCCAACGCTAGTTTTTAGCGGTTTATTAAAAAATTTAAATTTAATTTAAAGTGGACCTGATCAAAGTCAACTTTCCAGATTATTACAAACATTAAAATTTATTAAAAATTAATTAAAAATGTCAAAATTTTTTTAAAAAAGAATACCGAAAATTTTAAAAAATTAATTTTTTTTTCTATAAATACATACCTCATCTTCCACCCCTTACACCATATTTCAATATTTCTACACTTTCTACACTTTCTACATTTGAATAAAAATCCTATCCGAAATTAAAACTTGTTTTTTTTATTATTTATAAAAAAATTATTATATTTAATGGACCTGGGTGCCAGCGCATTTTGTAGGGGTGGAGAGCGTTTGTCCAGCGCATTTTTGACTAGGTGCCAGCACATTTTTTTTTTTGGGGTGGAGATGTTTTGGCCTTTACTGTTCATTGATTCTGTTTACTTGTTTCATTAAGTGGATAAAGGGTCTGGGGATTGGCGCAAAGTGATTGGGGTGGAAGTTGCGTCGTAGGTCTAAAAGCAAAACAAGTCCACATGGGAAGGGAGGGGATCCTCCCTGGATTCTTTCTACTAAATATATTAAATTCATTAATTCGAATTTTTGAAATTTGATCCAATAATTAAAATTATTATAACTTTTAAAAAAGCTCATGTTTTTAACCGTTTGATCAAATTTCAAAGATCAAGATTGGTGAATTTGATAGAAGAGATTTGGAGACGATTCATGTCCCATGGGGGAGAGGTGAAACCCAAATTTCTGGCAGTGAAAGCTTCTTTATGGCTTCCTTCTTCACCAGCATCATTGTGAAGGCAGAATTGTCTGCCTCCAAACAATATTAGAAATATAAAGTAAGTTGTCTTCTAATTTCCTAATTCTTTTACTCATATAATTATAATATGAATGAAAGATTTTGTTGGGGCCGGGCATAAGCTTAGTTAAGTACTGTCTAATCACGGATGGATGAAAATGGTCACGGGTCCAGGATTTTAATCCAATATCACGAGTTTCGATTCCAAAACTAAATACGTAAAAAATGATTTTGAGTGAAACAAATTAGAGAAATATTTAATAATTTTGTGTTTTCGCCTTCTGGTTTTGAGATTGATACTGCAACTCATCCTCCAGCCAACTGAAAGATCCCAACTTTCTCTTCTGTGGTTCCAGATCTGTCTAAAACATAGAACACAAATGGAAGAAAAATTAAAAAAGAAAAAAGATTACCATATTGTACTTTTAAGTAACATGTACTAATTCAATGATTCTGAAACATACAATTATCGTAATTCACATCCTACATAATGTATGGATATATAAGAGTTACATATAAATTACCATATCGGTGTCTCTTTACTGTGGTAGTTTGCTAACTCAACAATTTTGATACATACAATCATTGTAATATTTACATTCTATGTACAATAAAGAGTTTCAGAAATTATCACATCGGTGTATCTTTGCTTCGAAAGTCTTACTAATTAATAGAATACATACAATCACCGTAAATTTTACGTATAATCAAGAGATACAAAAGTTACCACACCAGTGTCACTTTTCTCCAGATTATTTTTGGAGGGTGGGGTGGTTTTGTTGCAACGACAGTATTTCAGTTCATTTTAGGGTTTTGGATAAATGGTAGGGCACTAGTGCTGGAGATGAGTCCATTATTTCTTCTAGTTTTAGATGCGTTATTTTATTGCACTATGTGACAAGTGATAGCCATTTCAGGACAAAACATGTCCTTCACATAATTCACATGTGAAGCCCCTCCAATGAGATCACTTTATACCAGATGCATGCATAAATAACAATTACTGCCACTCCACCACCCAACTACTTCTCAAATTGCATAAAAACCAAAAGGGCAGCCAAGAAAAAGCACAAAACCTACAAATAGCACCCCATTTCTTCTCTCTCTCTCTCTCTCTCTCTCTCTCTCTTTCTCCGTTCTTTCTGCACTACAATGAGTAACTCAAAGAATGTGAGTGTGCAGGCACTCTCATGCACCTTCTTGTTGATATTCCTAGTTGGTTTTGGCAGCTGCAACATAGACCAAGATAAGGCAGAATGTGCAGACCAACTAGTAGGGCTTGCCCCCTGCCTTCCGTATGTCGGCGGTGATGCCAAAAGTCCAACCATAGACTGTTGCAGTGGGATTAAAGTAGTGGTGCAGAAGAGCAAGAAATGCCTCTGTGTCCTAATTAAGGACCGCGATGATCCAAAACTCGGCCTCAAGATCAATGCCACTCTTGCCTTAAACCTTCCCAGTTCCTGCCATGTACCTATCAACATATCAAGATGCGTTGGTAAGTACATATATATGAACTGAAATATATACAAGTTAGTTTAATTTTTCTAGAAATGTACATGTTTATATATAACACTAGTTTGATCATTTCAACGTTGGTGATGGATTCAGATCTCTTGAATTTGCCATCAAACTCTCCTAGACGCGAAGATGTTCCGGGATTATGAAAACAAGACTGAAGCTAGAAGCAGCACTACTGCCCCTATATCCAGCGGTATTATAACAAATTTACTCCAGAATTTTAACCTATTTTTATGGTAATTAGTTTTTTAGAATTTAACAGCTCTTTATCTAGTAATATATGTTTAATTTACTTGGTTTTATGTTAATTATTATAGGGAATTCTACAAGCAGTGGTACAGTAGCTCAAGAAAAGAGTGATGGTGGGAGCCTGGGAAAGAGCTTGATTGGAATAGAGATGCTCTTTGGGAGTTTACTGTTGTTTTATATTCCACACCTGGTGTTTTATGTTTGATATAAGACTGGCTTGTCCTTACAGCTGGTCGTTTTGTGTGTTGTGAGATCTATCTCTCTTCCTGTCTGTCATCATCTGCACTTATTTCTTTATATTAATTGGATATTATTTTGGCGTGTATGGATCAATTGGAATCATTTGAAAGTAGATTCACAACTTACAAAGTATCGAATTCATAAGTTCTCGCTGTTGTCCGCATTTTTCTACTAGGCCCCTTATCGTGGTTATATCCTGTTTGCCTTCACTTCTATTCTTTCTTTTTGGCTACCAATAAAACGTGAAGGAAAAGAAAATTGTTAAGTAGACCTCAATGTTTTCAGTCTTCCTCACTCCCTTTATCTTAAGAATAGCAACGGTGCCAACGGACGGGTCGCCAACAGGTCTCACACACACAAGTCGAATTGCCAATACTCCCCCCACTTTAGCCATCCAGAAGTAACAGGTATGGGATTTTTATCAAAAGCCCTCGGCAATGTATGTGTGTGGAACCATTCCTTATAAAGGACTTGATGCTCTCCACATCCACTGATGTGGGACTCTAATTTTGGCTCAAAGTCACACCAACAATCCTTTATTTATACGTTTGAATTCTCTTTCTTTCACTAAAAAAATCTTACATGAAACAATAACATTTAAGTAGCAGTATTCCATACTAATCACGTAACTCTACGTGAAAAAGTTAAAACATCTAGCAACTCTTAATTAGCGTAAAACACCATCACTTTCTCATTCCTTATCCCTTAAGTCTCTCACTTCATTGACCTTTTTCGTTATTGTTCATAAACCACAAACCCTTTTTCTTTAGTGTTCTCCAATTCAAGCCCAAAGTTATGTACATCATATATTACTATGCCACATGGGATCTAAGTTTCTATACCGGCTTTGCATTGAAGGAAAATATCATATGTATGACCATGAGTAACTATCGAAAACACCCCTTGCATTATCTTCTAACAAAATTTACAAAAAGTTTAAGGAGAGGGGAGATTACCTCATCCTAGGGTCAGGGCATACTACAAGTTTTTTTAGGATTTATAGAAGGGGTCTTAGCCCTTTTTATTTTTTTATTTTTATTTTTATTTTTTATAGATCGCCCACTAAGAGTTATTCTCGGCAGCAAAACTCAAACCTAAATATGCCTTAGTCTAAAGAAAAGAATGATTCTTACCAACTCAACCAATCCTTGTATCCTTATCTTCCAACCATTTCGCCATCGTCATTTGCTCACAATATGCATTATAAGTCTTGCATGCTTCAACAATAAAACTATATCAAGGCTATGTGGAGTTGTACACCCTCATATTCTAATTGTGATTGATCATGAAATGTAACCGATGCATTGGTGTACCTTTCTATTTTTATTTCCTTCCCTTTTTTTGGTTATAGTAGTGACTCATCCATCTTAACTGTTTTTGTATTTTTTTTAATTGAGAATTTAATTGGATAAGGTGAAATCAAGAGGCAATCTTTTGGGTCAGTTTGATAATATTTTTACCACACACTAAAGTATAACATATTTTGATACATTAAAATGTTAAATTCAACTCTTTAAATTAGATTAAATATCTCATACTCCGATGCACCGTAACCAGACTTCATGTACAAGTCCTAATATCCTTTTCTTTTTGTTTTTATCCCAAATCATTATCCATTTTCTGATTGGTATTCTTGACACATCTTCTGCACTAACCCACCTGGACTCCAAGAACAACCCATGACTTCCCACATATACCACTAACCCCAAACTAAATCCAAACCGTCCAAATATCTCAAATCCAACGGTCCAAACTTCTCTAAACCCCTCACGTCATCAATATAAAATGAGAACCCAAAAAACTTGTTTCCGGAAGATCCAACCTGCAATATACTCAAAAATCCGAAAACCCCACACACTTTCTCTCTCTAAAACCCGACCCGAATATGTCACCGACCCCGAAACCCCATCTGGGTCTGATCCCGATCCTCCTCCTCCTCTCTCTCTCCGTCATCCCAAGTCTCTCTCTTTCTCTCTCTGACTCCCCTCCCACAGTGTTTGACATTTTATCCAAATTCGGCCTTCCCCGCGGCCTCTTACCGGCATCGGTCTCCAACTACACGGTCTCCGACGACGGACGATTCGTCGTCGTTTTGCCCAAGACCTGCTACCTGCAGTTCGATTACTTGGTCTACTACGAAAAGACCATAACAGGCAAGCTCTCATACGGGGCGATCACCGACTTGAAGGGCATTCAGGTCCAGAGGTTCTTGTTCTGGCTCGGCGTCGGCGAGATCAGGGTCGATTTGCCGCCGTCCGATAGCATTTACTTCACTGTGGGGATCATCAATAAGAAGCTGGATATCGGTCAGTTCCAAAATGTCCGGTCTTGCCGTGACGGGTTATCGGGGTCTTGCGTCGGGTCGTTCAAACGGGGCATTCAGGTAATGTATTTATTTGATTAACTAATTAACTGTTTATTGATTACATTTATGTTTTGATATTTTTTTTTTTTGGGTATATTTGCGTTTTTCTTTAATTATTGTGTAGAATTTGGATTTTTGAGTTTGCATTCATGCAACTTTATGCGTCTGGGTTTGTTGTGATAGAGTTAAAGAAGATAATTAAATTAAAGTTTGAATCATTGAAGTGATTATTTTTGTTAAAAAGAATTAATTTTGTTTGTAAAGATTTCCCTTTTGTTTGTGAATAGATGAGAAGTTTAATTCAATTTCTGGATTGTCATTGTGTTTCCTGGTAATTGAGGAGGTAGTTTACATTGAATCTACGGAAGTAACTGATACGAACCGAAATGGAAAACAACAAAAACATAGAATTGAGTGCTCCCATTGAGGGAAGCTACTCAAGAAATTTCCTAATCATCAGCTTGCACATAAAGCCAGAAAAGAATGATACATTACGAAGCTACTGACATAGTTGGGTGGCTGCAAGGGAAGGCATCAGCTTGGACAGTTATTCTGTCTGCTGCCTAACGAAACTGCAAAACCACCAACACCGTGTAACAAATGATAGCGTGCAGAGTCTGCAAACTTGTGTTATTTGAGCCTTATGCATTACATTGAATTAGAAGGATTCTATGGTGGCTTTCATTAGAAGGATTCTTGGCTTATGTTGCTCCTTTGAGACTAAAAGGTCATAGGTTCGAGTCGTGGACACAGCTTCTTTGCAAAGCAAGGGTAAGGCTGCGTACAATAGATATTCCTCCCCCAACCCTCGCAAAGCAAGGAGCTTTGTTGGCTTGGGGTAAATACGCAGTCGTGTTTTAAAGTCTTAAATGGAATATGAGTCTAGTGTTGGAGTATCATGAAACCAAGTCACCCAATTTTAGAAGCATGTTATTGTAAAGATATTGAGTTCGTTTACTCACTAAATTCTTTTAAGCAACAAAGGGACTGAGATATTCGCATGCATTTTTATCCTTTGCTAGTTTGTCTGGTAAGATACTGTAAGGTCGTTTTGTGGATTATGATTGGTATGGTACTATATAGTGGTTTCAATTTGTGGGTGGGAACTGGGATGGAGGATTGCGGAGGTTCAATATTGTTTGTCATGCATAACATCTTCAGTTCGAACTCTTGTGTATGTTGTACCTTTAAGATTAATGTAGAATCTACGATGTTAAATGAAAGATAGGAAATCGGGTGGTCCCGGCCCTCCTGGGGTCCCACCATGGGAAAGGGTGTGTTGAGATTTATGCATTGTTATTTCTCTTTAAAAAATATGAGAAGTCTGGAGTTTTGGGAGTAAGTATCAGCATAGGTTTGTCTTGTGGGAATGAGATTGTTGCGTCTGTGACTTTGTATTGGTAACATAGGAGTTAAGGACTGGGAATGTACTCTATAAAAACTCTAAATCCAACAAGTTGATTTCACCAATCTCTTCAATCACATGAAAAATTAATCCCTCCATTTGGTTTCTTTTCTATTTTACACTGACAATGAGAGACCACGGTTTTAGAGATATTAAAGATGAAAAATTATGGTTATCTTTAAGTTGTGTTGTTCTGTAGGGAACCTTGGCAGAAATAAGAAAACATACCCATTTTGTTTTTAAGGAGGGTAAACATACCCTTAGCATCACATGATTACAAAGTGACCAAACCTTGGTCTGGGGAAAAATTGTATTATGATGCATTATTACCTTTCTCCTCTAACATAAAAATTAACGGTTACTGAAGTTTCTCAGGAGATGCCGAACATTCTAAGGAGACTCATTTTTTAGTTCTATTATTTAAATTTGATTTCTCTCTTTGGTTATGGGTGCATTTAGTATTATGTTTTAATATGCATCTCTTTCTCGGAAGGGATGTGTCAGGAGATACCCAACATTTTGTTTTTCTAGCTGTTCATCTCATTGTGATCACTTCTTTGGACATTTTGTAATTTGATTTTTAGCTGATTGATTGTCTTAATATCTGCATTAAGGGAGCTTTAAAGTTAAAGTCCATTTTCCTGAAATTTTTATGCCGCTTTCAAATTGGAATACGTACTTGTTGAGCACTTCTCTCCCTACTGATGTTTATGTAACTTTTTATTGTCCTGTGGTGATTTGCAGCTTCCATCTCCAGTGGAAGAAATTGAGATGCTAATAACCGAATAGGTAGACACCAACGAGTGGTTATACTGTACGATGTGTAGTAGCTGAGCAAAGGCTCTTCAAGAGTAGTTCACACTTTCAGACTCACAAAAGCCGTCGAGTTTGGTTTTAGTAGAATTCAGTGTGTTATGTACTCCATAAGGGAATACGTACTAGTGTTCCTCGCTGTAACGTTGTAGTTTGTTGTATCTGCTGTATGTGAAGGAATCAAATCTTGTATATTAAGCTGGATGTTAAAACTCAAGACTGTTACTTGTACCCATTAATATCAAGGGTGAAAGTTGAAATGGATGTGTGCATCTTGGTGATATTACCTTGGTAGCGTTGTCGTAAGTGTCAAGTGCAATTCACAGGCTAAAAATCTCCTCTCTTTCGCATCCTTCTGGAATAAATGTTCGTTTTGCTTTACTAGACAGACTAATCTGGAAACATCAACATAAAGACGATACGTGAACGCTGTTAGCTGAAGATTTTGCAAATTAATCAAAGTATGCATGATGAAGCACAATCAAATTCAAACCCTAAAGCGTGCATGTTGAAATTTGATGATCGGGAACTCGAAGATTTTGGAATCCATCAAGCTCAACCGTGCCATTAACAACAGCCGGCTGGAATTTGCTCGCCTACAGAATTGCTTGTATGAGGAAGGGGATAGAAATACAAGACGTTTGCGATAACAGGTATCGACGTACATTGGTCGATTTGTTGCCATCAAGCGAGAGGAAGGACAAGGATTTCTAAGAATCTCAGATTTTCCTCTAAGTTGATAGAGCTCAGTGACTCAGTCGCAGATTGCTTTCAAGGATTTCATTTACTTGTGCAAAGACTAGTTTACAACAATGGGCTTGTTTCCCTGAAAGTTATAAGATGAAAAGTTATATTACAACTTAGTTGCTGATCATTCTCTGCGTCCTGGTCATCCACCCCGTTATCATTACAAAAAGGTTGTCTTGTACATTGTCTGTGACTTGAAAATATGCGTATCACCACATTCCCTTGCGCATTAGAGGACCGCAAGCTCCCCAGAATCCAAAAAGGAAACCAAGCACAATGGAAATATGAAACCATGGAATTTGAAGCCCATTGTCCACGTCTTTATTGTTCTAGCCATCTACAACAGCACTATGAATCGGTCTGCACTCATTTGGAAATGGGGCGCCACAAAGTTTCGGATTCCCCTCAAAGGCAGAGGCATTGAAGCTTTGGAACTGAGTGCTTGCCGGTATTGGTCCCTCGAATTATTGTATGAAACATTAAAATGTGACAAGAAATTAAGATTAGACAATGCGTCGAAATTTTTCCGGACAAATTATTGGTAGAGAGGTACAACATCTCTAAGTTCTTTAGGTTAGATATTTGATATGGAATGTTGCCGAGCATTGGTTGTCATTAAGAGCCAACCGGAGGAGAAGCTTCAACTGACCAATTTCAGTAGGTATGCTGCTGTTGATGGTATTGTTGTATGGGAGTATGGATGGTTGAAAGTAAGACTGATAATTGTACTGTAACAATCGTGTATAATACAAATAGTTGTACTCTAGACCTTCTCCAAGAAGAATGCATCGCCCGAAGATAGGCAACTCAAGATATTCATGATCTAGTACGTCTGCATTTTGTTCGGATACCAACATCGGAAGTCTGCAAAGTTCCTTCAGAAATTCACCTAAAATCAGGTATTTCTCCAATGAGGTTAGCAAAACTCGTATCCAAGAATCGAAGACGTTGAAATCCATCAAAGTCCACCAGGCCATCACCAGTAGGCATATCCTCATCAAGAAAATTAAAAGCAAGGGAGAGGAATACAGAACTTTTGCTACGCGTCAATATCTTCATTGCCCCCGTGACACTGTTCAGTCTACTACCAACAAGCAAGAGGAAGGATAAGGATTTCAATGAAAAAATCTTAGGTTGTATCTGACCCTCAAGAAAGTTACAGCTCGGTCGAATTGCTTTGAGGAAATGGCATGAGTAAAGACTTGTTGGCAAGTTACCATTAAAGTAATCAACATTACATACGTAATCAACACTATAATCATCTTTTTATATATCGACTCGAACTTAAGACCTTTCATTGCCCAATTTAGCAATTTACATCACATAAACCTTGTAGGATAGCTCTATTATTCAGTGTCGTTTGCTTTCACATTTGTCCTTGGGCAGGGATGATACAATTTCCAATAATTGAACTGGGGTAAAATTGTCATTAACTCACCCTAGTAACTAAGAAGTGCACTGGACTTTCCTTCCATCTAAAATTACCTACCAACAACCACCCAGCCCAATCATTGAACAAAGTTCCCTTCCCATATTACCCTTCACAACTCTCTTAAACTTGCATCCCTCTCCCTCTGTTCTTCCCCAAGTCAAGCTCCACCTTTCTTCCTCAGAGCTCTGCAACAATGGCATCAGCCTCCGCTCAGATCTCTCTCTACCTTCTCCTCCTAACCCTCTTCTCAAAAACCCATCTCACTCTGTCCCTCAGAGACCTCAAACCCAATCCCAATGGTTCATCCAACACCTCCCAATCAATCGCAGACGTCCATGACCTCCTCCCCCAGTACGGCCTCCCGAAGGGTCTCTTACCAAACAACGTAAAATCCTACTCTCTCACAGAAGATGGAAGCTTCGAGATCTTTCTCGAAAGCCCGTGTTACGTGCACTTTGATCAGTTGGTTTACTACAACAAGCATATTAGAGGGAAGCTGAGTTATGGGGAAGTTTCTGATGTGTCTGGGATTCAAGCGAAGAAGCTTTTTATTTGGGTTTCTGTTACCGGGATTCACCGCGACAAAGGATCGGATTCCGTTGTGTTTTACGTTGGTGCCTTGTCGGAGAAGCTGCCGGCGAAACAGTTTGAAGATATTCCTGACTGTAAGAACAAGGCTTGCCATGGGATCAGAAGTGGTTCTGTTGAATCAATCTGAGGTATTATTCTTTCCTTCTAGAAATACAGAATTATTGGTTTTATTTGTGTTTTATTGGATCAAATAGGAAAGATAAGATTTTTTTTATACTAGTTTCGCATGTAGCTCGAGTGGTTATGAGCGTTTACTCCTGCACCTCGGGTTTATGTAAATCCACCTATCCTAATATCGCATGTAGCAACAAAACAAACAAAAAAATCCACGAACATTTTTATTTTTCAGGAAGTTCAGCCTTTATATTTTCCTCTGAGCTTGATCTTTGTAAGATTAACCGAAGGAAACTGATATTTGTTGATTATTTGTCTCGGCGGATTAGATTATTGGACCAACAGAAGGATCAAAAGCTTTATTGCAGGCAGATTGAAAGGGATATGTCTGCCTTTGGTTTTGATTTCTCTTTAGGACCTATGATAAACAGCGAAGTTTTTTCTTTTTCCGATTAACAACTTGCTCGATTTGGATATGGAATGTTAACGATCATGCTCGAGAAAGATCAAGGATTTCAATCATAATAAGGTGATAATATAGGCACTTGACATTTGAATCACCAAGTTTGGAATCTCTGATTCTTTACTTCCATATAGGCACTTGACATCTGAACTGCAAATCTTGTTCCAATCTTCTTTCGCTTTGTTTCACTACTATCCATTCTCTAATTCTTTGGGGCATTGCTTAATTTTCTCCTATAATTGTGTTCAAATATTGGAGGTTCAGGTCTCAGGTTGAAGGGTTAACTTTATCAACCCCATCTTGGACCTTATTTTCTTAATTCCTGTTACAGGAAGTTCACAGCACTTGATGATCTGGTACATTTCTGATGTGTCATTTTGCAGTTTGTACTAACGTTGCTCTAAATCGGTTTATCGTTATGGACGGCATTGCATTATCATTTCTCCGTTTAACGAGATTTGGTGGAGCTATGCTGGTGAAAATCTTGTAATCTCTTCAAGTTTTCTTCAAGGATCATTCAAAAAGATATTTCTAGTGATGCTGCATGATGAAAAGGCTTCTAGGTTACCATAAAACAAAACCAAAACCAAATTTGTGTTGTTGAAGCCTGAAACCTTCATATGTGAAGCGCTAATCATACAGCTGAGAAGCTGGACAACATCGCGCAGCTTCCCGGGTGTATGTTTTCTGTTTGAAATATGATATTTTGAAAATTAAAGTTTCTCTCTAGATTTCTTAAGCAAAAGTTAAACTCTGACTTGCTTCATTAAATTGGTTTCATTGGCATTGACCTAATGTAGGCTTTACTTGCTAAGGTAGTAATTAGGCTAATCATCGGAGGACTAATGTAGCTGCTCCGATATTGTTGCAGGTAGAAAGAGTACAATGCAAATTATGCAACCACTGCATGGAAGAAGGAAACCATCTGCAGATCTTTCCATCGATCTCATGCAATCATCTTTATGATTGTACAAGTGGTCGGTAGAAGCAAATAAATATGCGTATGAATTCTTGTTAGTAGAGAGAGAGAGAGAGAGAGAGAGAGAGAGAGAGGTGTTATTCTGGTGTAAACCTGGTATAAACCTTAGTACATATATGTATATATAAATTTCATGCTTGTCAATAATTATTTGGTGGATCTTTCAGTCTCTCATTTCTTCTTAAATTATCATGTGAACAACCAAGTAATTACCTTTTAAGAATATTTTTGTCAAATCAATCACTCTACCTAACCAGGATATTGACAGATTTTTTATGGAATGACCAGAATGATTTATGGTGAACAAACTTAATGACCACTCCTATCGATTTTCTTTGTCAGGGACCAAAATGAGGAATTATGCCAATCTTGGACCATTTGGCTAAAAAGCCTATCTTTTATAATGAATCCAAACTCAAAGTTGTTTCCCTAGTAACCAATCCGACATCATTTTTGTAACGAATCCAGACGCAAAGCTATTTCCCTAGTAACCAATCTAACATCATTTTTGTAACGACTTCGAATGCAAAGATGAAATGATCAAGAGAGAGTCACACAAACACAAAAGAACTTCAAATTCAAACACCAAAGTCACGTAAAAACCTACTCAAACGACGACCCACGATATAGATTGACCACGTAACGGCATAAAGCAGCAGCTCCATACTGAAAGCAAGATAAAAACTCTATTAGAGATATTGGTTAATGTCTGTACTATGAAGTATGAACTAGAACCAAACCATTTTGGTCAACTACTATGTAATTAGATTAGTTGAGAAACCTAAAACCTAATTAATCCTATTTAATCATGTGTTTTAGAACCAAATCCAATGTGAACCTACAAATGACACCAATTTTATAGTCTTGGATGGTTGAATCCTGTAGTCAATAATGGCAGATATTATTTAAGGTCAAAAAAATTATTACCCTGACGTGTACGTGTAAGCTCTCAAATACAAATAGTGTGTACACTAATTAACAATCAGCATGCACTATTAGTCTATGATTAGGTCGTCTAATCAGCCTAATTAGTTAGTGATTAAGGTCTCAATCATCCATCTTTATCCACGAGGGAATCCAAATATTTTACTTAATTTTTTTCACCAACTTGCCAATAGAATAGTTATTTTAGATGCAATCTTTGGACTAATTTATTTTTAGGTCAATCTTTGGCCTAATTATCAAGCATAAAATGATAAAAAAAAAACTTTTTTTACCTTTTCTGTTTTTTTTAGTTTTTGAAGCCTGAGGTATCCTGTTGGGCCCCAAAAAGTATTATTAATTAATAGGCTTGGAAAGTCTAAAGGCGTTTCAGTTCATTCCTGATTACAGTTAAATGACACAGGTTCTCTCAAAGTTTTCAACTAGGCAATCACCTATATTTGTGCTAGTTTTGTACCTCGAATTCAAAACCAAAAAGTAAATCTGACTTGAAATTCTACGATAAACATAATTTTGTTACTCTTGTGTAACTTATTTGTTCTTTCTTTCCCCTTTCCTTTCCTTTCCTTTCCTTTCCTTCAATCCATATGAAACTCATGCTTCTAAGTTTTAGAAACGTTTGAAGCTATAAATACATTCATTCTGCTCATTCCCCAACACAAATCGACTTTGAGTTTCGAGGCACGTTTCTCTTCAATCCCTTGCCGAATCCGACATCAAAATTACCCTTTTGGTTACTGAACTTTCCGAGCAAGCTGCTGCGATGGATGCTCGTCAAGAGGTTGCGGCTGCCGACGGGAGCCAAAGGATGCAGAAGGAAAAGGAGAATACAATGAAGAAACAAATGGTGAACCGGAGGATGAATGCGGTGGATGATCAGGAAGGCGACGTCAATGAAATGGCTGATGCCTTCATCAAAAAGTTCAGAAACCAGCTCAAGATTCAAAGGGAAGAGTCGTTCAAACGGTTTCAGGAAATGCTTGCTCGCGGAGTTTGAAATGTCTTGCTATGAACAAAAATAACTAAAATTATGTGCGTCGTGGCTACAAATTCATAATTTTTGTTGTACAAAAAAAAAGGTGACGCTGATATTCCAGCAAAATAAAGAAATTTGATGTCCTGTCCGGTGAAATTAGAACAATTCAAAAGATTATCATGGCCCCTGCACACGGATGACACATCGAAAAAGAAGAGATGATGGATTAATGGAAAAGTATATATTGAATGATCTCTAATGACCCATGTATATTCACAAAAGCATCTCTAAGATTACATGATACTAAACATAAAATCCCCAAAGCACAAGACAAAAAGGCCTTGACCAATATAACTAGATTTACAAATTTATCTGCCCTCTCTTGATCATGAATATAAAGAAATGACATCAAAAATCTATTTCCGAGACCAATAACCTCGAAATTCTATTTCCGAAACCAGTATTCGCCAGTCGCATACCAGATCGCTTGCAAGAGATGACTGTCTTGGCTCTACAGATACACCAACAATGCTTCTCATCGCAACTCTTGCTTCACACAAAGCATAAGCAACACCGACAGCAGTTGTCAGCCTGTCATGCTTGGAGCACTTGACAGTGTACAATGTGACTCTTCAAACCAGTTCGGCCTGCTATACTAGACCATATATTTGAGACTAGAGTTCTAAAATGACCTTTGCCGGCGATATTTTCCCAAAGGTGAGGGTTGCTTTCTACATGTTTATCCGGACTTGAAACATCAACTAAACTGATGCTCATGTTATTACGAATAATGCAAAGCTTCCCGTTAAGGGGAACAAGCGCAGCAGCCTCCAAAGCACAAGAACTCCCTAGATGAACCTTGCTATCTATAAATTTGTTCCATGAATCTGATACTCTATCATAAACCCTAAGCTTGCACCCATCATGGCAGTCCAGAGCATAGAGCTGCCCATTTAAAGAAATACTTGGGTTGCGCCACCCATCAACCATCCCGTCACTAATAGGGGTCCAGGTATTGGCTTCAGGAGCATAGGCTTCACTCATTACCTCACGGTGTGACCCAAGTCCTTTTAGGAACCACATTCCATCATGAACCACCCCAATAAATGGCACCATAGCTGTGCTCATATCGGAAATAAAGCTCCACCGATTTTTGTTTGGATCATAAATTTCAGCAGAACGAAGAGTCCTTTGAATTCCTTCACACTCCCCACCAGCTACATAAAGACAATTATTAATAACACAAGAGCCAAAGAAATGGCGTTTCCGAAGCATATCTGGTGCCCTGTGCCATTTATTTGTCCGAGCACTGTAAAAAATAACCCGTCTCATAGATCCCTTCAGTGGATGTTTTCCTCCAAACAAGTACAGGTGACAACCGCTAAGGACAGCACAACCAAAACCAAGTGCGGCAGAATACTCACCAGGAACGGGTGGAAGTGGCTGCCAGAGCTGATATGTAGGGATCAAAAGCATGCCAAGAGATCCTTCCATCACGGTCTCTTTTGATAACATAAACCCATTCTTCCGCCATTCCAAGACTTTTCCTAAGCGAATAAAAGAAGTTTCCAGCTAGAAGGCGATACCATCTTTTGCAAACTATACGGAGTTTCCTATGTTCAACACGGGGAACTCTAATTAAACAAGCAATTGCAAGATCATCAGGTAGACCAGGCAGGAGGGGTGGCTGGATTCTGGTCCTTTCCCGGCGTAAGTTTTTTCCCCTGTGTGCATTAGGATTGATATCAGGCTGGATGCAAATCTTTGATCCTGGGACAAACTTTCTTGCCCCTGCAACAGTTTTGAAGCCTGCATCTACTTTACAATAGCATGATACGGAGTCAACCTGCAAAACGAAGGCATATCAGGATGCATGAGATAACAAAAGTAAAAGGTAAGTTAGAAACACCGAGGGGAAGCTAGTGGCCACGAGTCCATGACACATATTTTGATGTGCTTGTGACAATAGATATACAGTAGGCATGGATTTGGAGACATTATATGGGACTGCTTAGTAAAATAGCATGATTTGCACCCACCGAAATAAAATTTTGAAAAAAAAAAAAAATTCTGGGATGGTAACAAAAGTTCAAAATACAAGAAAATGAAAGTAGCAATTGAATCCTTTTCCACAGCATGAAAAGGGTGGAGGGGTTAAAGGATGCAAGTATCTATCTACAATGTAAAGGATGCCAGTATTTATCTACATGTAATTTATCACGCAAAAAGAATGATATTGTTGCTCAAAAATGAACTACTCAAGCACTACAAAGTTATTATTAAAACTCTAGAAATACGCTACAAAGACACTAAACAAAGGACTTGCAAGTGACACCTTTAAGGACCTCAAAGGAGTCATCTGAAAGTTCTCTCAAAGCTACTGCATCTAGTCATTTTGAGATCCTCTTCCTAATTTGGCAGTGCATTCCTAACAAATAAATTTGGCCTAAGTTCCATGGCACTTTAAAGTCCCTCATCCAAACGCACCCTAAAAGATATACCAGAGAACAAGATAGAAATAGCTTGAGTAACCATCGAGGTGAAAAGTAAATGCAGTAATTTCATCCAAAGTATTTGTAAATGTTACAAAAGCGTAACTGTAACTCATGTGGAAGGCAGTTAATCGTCAAAGAACAGTAATTTCTTAGCAAAGAATGACATCCTTTCTCTAACTTTATTCTTTAAAACATACGTTTAGGAAGAACACACTTTCTAATTAAACCAAGAGAGATATCTCAGGTTCCAATTTGATCATCACTGAGAAGCAGCAAATACGATCCCAACACCACGAAAATCAGAATACTGCACCACGAACTTTAACAATAAGGTACCTATTAGAGCACTCAAGAAGAAAAAACAACCAAATGTCCAATCTTTTGTCAACAATTTTGCACGGTTCAGCTAAATTCTCATAAGAATCAAAGTTAAACACTATCCTCATCCCCTATGTTCATACAATAGAAAGTCAAAACCTTTCCCCCAAAGAATCACACATTCAACAAAAATACTTGCTGAGCACCTCTAAAATCTTAAGAAAACAAAAACCCAGAAGCAAATCCAAAATTTCTCCACAATTTTTCACAATTAAGCTAAACGTTCATCTGGGTATCTCTAAAATGCCATGAATTCAAAGGAAAAATTATAAAAACATAAAAGGGAAATTGGGTTCCGAGATCAGTGAGGAGACTAACCAGTGGGGCTTGAACTCTGAAGCCTCTCTGAGCATTGGAAGACTGTTCAGTGTTCTGGTCCATCTGCGAATCACAAGCTCATAGAAAAATGGTTGGATGAAGCTTGGATCGAGAAGCCACTTTGGAGCTGGAAGTTCAATTTCTTGAATCCGATCCAGCCGATAGCAGAAATGAACTAAAAGCTTTGTTTTTTTTCTTCTGGGGAGGTCTATTTTTCCATTTTATCTGCAAATGCAAACAAAAAATGCAGAAAAAAAAATAGAAGTCTGCCTCCACCAACTGGGAAGTTAGACTTCGAACATCAAAATGTGAGGGCACGTCTTCTCTCTCTTTCACCGTCTCTATCTCTCTCCAGAAGAGAAGACTTGTTTGCACTCTCGTGTTTCTTTCTCTCTCTAACTAAAGAGTACAGCTGGACCGTGGACCTGACCAACTTTTAGAGAGATTTTTCAACGTGACAGAAATACAAAATGGTATATTATGTATTATTATATTAATGATATAATATATATATATATTAAAAAGTTAATAACTTAAAAATAAAATTATTCACTATTTATATAAAAACACATAATGTATCATTCGTGTTCCAATCAATATCAAAATTTTCTCGAACTTCTGGTATTGTATAGTGATAAGTAATTTTTGTATTTTTAGTCTGAAAAACTTAAAATAATATAGAGGTGGGTCTTGAAAAATTTAAACTAATTTAAATTTAATGCACTTTTGAAATTGTTAAACCTTTTTTGTTTTTTCATTTAATTTGAGCGTTATGGTGACACGTTGCACACATGCAGAGACTCGGACATAAAAATTAACGTCAAAATAAATAAGATGGAACAACAACATTACTGACAAGATGAAACACAATGACCTAATTCAAAACACAAATTTGTTTATACAACGAAATTGGAAGATGATTTTGGTTAAACTGCATAATTAACCAACATAAATAGGTATTGAACTCTTCAGTTATTGATGTTGAATCTAAATCTTCATACTTACAAGAAAAAAATTACTAAACTGTAACATTATTTGAAAGTTAAATGTAAAACATAATAAATCAAACAAAATGCAAGCAAATAGAGGAACCAAAATGGTGTTTTAACCCCTTCTAAAATATTTTATTTTAATTTCAACTCCAACAAGGGTGACAGAGCTCATGCCCAAAACTCAATTTAGGAGAGAGAACTAGTATCACAGAGAGAGAGAGAGAGAGAGAGAGAGAGAAGACAACGGGAAGGTTTGAATATTGCTTTTGGTCTCACGAAATATTAATAGCTCACCTCCACCACTCTTTAATGAGCTTACCTATCCATTGGTGACTGTTTTTATGAAATATCATTTTCTGTTTCTCACTTCCCCCCTATTATCTTCTTATCCTTTTCTCCAAATTTTAGTGTCCAATTATTTCTATGGGAGATAAATTAATTGAAATAGACTATTTTTAACGTCACTTATGAGGTCCGAGCTCATGACTTACTCCAACAAATTAATGATTGTGCATCGCTAGACCAAATTTTCATTATGTTAGTAGTCCGACTCGGTAAATCAAATTTTCATTAAAGGGTTTGTCTTCGGTAGTCTAACCTTACAAGTAGTCCGACTTCTAAACAATTTTCACAATCGATTTTTTAGAGTCAATCTTCACCATTCATTTTCTAAACTACTCAGGGACTGAAGAAAAATTGGAAGTTAAGAAAAGGAGGGGGGAAGAGAATATAAAAATGGACAAAGACTTGAAAGAGGAGTTTTCTAGCATTTTGATTTGGATGTGAGAAAGAATAACATAAAATGTGTACTTGCTCTTTTGGCTCATATGCACTTGTCAAAGAAGCTTCGTTTAAGTTTTGATATGTCAAAGACTCAAAGGGAATAAAGAACCTCTTTTTTCTACGTGATTAACCACTTAATAGAGTTGTTGTTGGTCACTTACCTCTCCTTATGTCCCACACGCCATATATGAAAATGTAGGTCTCTCTCTCCCACTCTATTTGGTGTTAGGATTTGACAATCCAACGCTCTAAATTGTTTTAATATAAAAAGAAAATCGATTACTTAATGCTACAATCTAGCGATATTCCTCCTTGTTCGTAAGTGAGAGGTCTTAAGTTCGTTTCTCGTCAAAAGCAAATTGAATCACATTATTACTAGCTCATTGCAAGACTCAGTTCACCCCCTCTTCTTAGTATAAATAAGATCGATCGTAAAAATAAATAAATCAAAAATCAAAAGTGCGAAAATGACAAGCGTGTTGCCTGCTCAACTGGCCTAACATACATTTGCCTGTTTTCGAATTCATTATGTAGCCATTTTATATATATTTTGAAACGATATTAGGGAAGAGAGAAGACAAGCATAGAAACTCGAGAGTCGGATACAAAAGTGAATTAACCAACTCAACTACCAGTCACACTTAGAAATAAAATCGAATGTTAACTTAGAAGTTAGGACCTTTCTTCCCTTGCTAAAATTTCTCATTCAGTTCCAACACAAATTTCTCATTCATAACAAGAAGAAAAAAATTGCATTCAAAGCAAAGTAGGCACTCAAAATAAAAGAAAACCGATCTGAAAATACTTGGCCCTTCTGAATTCACATAGCTTGCATAAAAATAACAAACGTTTCGCGTTCAACAACGACTGGCAACTAAGATTACTCCGGTCCAATTGGTACCGAAAGTTCCCGTTCAAATCGGAGAAATCTGGTTTTCAACGAGAGCTTTGTATTTATTTCAGTCAGAACCAAAATATTACAAAAGCCCTATAACTCCTCGTGTTCAACTCCTTGAAAGGAGGAAAGAATTGGCAGGAACTGAAGAACCCTCAAACACTATAAACCCGACAAACTGGGTTGAAACGAACATGCCTATGAGATAAACAAAGATGTGGCCGAAAAGAAACCCTCTCCCCTCTCCCACTACATATTCTACAACCCATCCCAACTCACACGCCAGAGTACGTAATAAGGGTACAGAATGACTAAAATGACGGTGATCCCTACTCTGTTAGCACCTTTTAAATCGACACCTACGAACATTACACAAACCTTCTATTCCTGTGGCACCAATACCGAACATAAGTACGCCCTCCCCTCAAAACATTGATGAGCGTCTCCGACAATGTAAAACATTGGTCGTTCAAACCAAACATTACATAAACAAAAATATGACCTTATAAAGAAGTCTGCATCCATTACCTAAGACACTGTAACTGCTTTGAGGAGTTAGCGGTTAGTCCCACGCACTGGCCACCCCAGCACCATATCCTCCAGATGCACCCCCATATCCACCGCTGCTACCCCCACCGCCTCCACCATAGTAATCATTGCCACCCCTGCTGAAAGATGAATCCCTTCGGAAGTCACGGCCACCAAACCGGCCTCCCCCAGAACGACGGTTCCTCCCACCACCAAAAGAAGCTCGAGCTGCGTACCGAGACAGCCAAGCAGGTACTTCTTGATTTGATTCTTGCATCAATTCTGCCAAAGACCTGGCAAGTGATGAATTGTTCTCATTAAAGAAGGCAGTAGCCAAGCCAGACTTCCCAGCTCGTCCAGTACGACCAATGCGGTGAACATAATCATCAATGTCATTTGGAAGATCAAAGTTGACAACATGTGCAACATGAGGAATGTCTAGCCCACGCGCAGCCACATCAGTAGCCACCAAGATTGGAGTGTTCCCACTCTTAAATGACCTCAATGCTTGTTCTCTTTCCTGCAGACAAGTACAGGTAAACAAATATATAAACAAAAGGTAGAATTCAAACATTAATCTTATAACAATGCAGTCCATCGTAACTACTACATGATCTCAAGTCCCTGGAATAACATCCAATCCTAAGTCTCAAATTGATTATACAAGGGTACATTCTTAGACATCAAGCCAATTAAGTTTCTTCTAAGCCGAAAGTTCAAAACAGTGTATATCCTAAAAACAGCTTTTCCATACCACTTTATCACCCAATTCATATTTCATTTATCAACATAAAAGAGGAAGAATGCATCTCCAATCACTGCCTGGTGCAACTTGACAACAAACCAACAAAAATCCCAAACCTAAAACTCATATGCTTCGCAATGTGATGTACATGGGTCAATAACCAAAATAAAAGGGCAATGCATGCTTATAAATACCAACAAGCCCATGGAAAGCATATCATGACACACACAGTATCAGCAAGCAGCTAAAAGATTCAAACAAGGTATTTCATAGTCCTCGTGTTCTCTACTGGTTATGTACCTTGTCATTCTTTGCTACATGCTACTATGTTCACTGGAATCTCAATATCCAGGAAGGAGAACCCTAAATACAACATTCCCAAGCATGAACAATCTACTAACTAAAAAATCTGAGTTAGAATATCCATGTTTGTTCTACCACTACGAGAAGCCTGAATCTGATAACTCGCCATGTTAGTGAGGTGTGTGTTGATAGCAACAATTACAAAACCACACCAATGTTACCCCCCCCCCCCTTCTCCTTTAAAGTTAAATACAGACAGTATATCAAGATATGTACCCCCGAAATGACAGAAACCAGATAGCAAAACCAACGTACCTGCTGTGATCTGTCACCATGAATAGTAGTTGCAGGAAAACCATTCATACACAGCCAATGTTCCAGCGAATCAGCTCCCTTCTTTGTCTCAACAAAAACTAATGTCAAAGCTTGCTGCAAAATAAAAAAACAATGTAAGCAACCAATGTTTTCACATTAATAAATGCAAGAATCACACAAATTTAAATTATCCAATTAGTAATAGTTTTCACATTAGTAGCTAAAAAGTTCAAAAGAAGTTCCACAAGAATACCTTGCCCTGTGCGCCATTGGCCCTCTGTGCATGAATAAGGTCCATGAGGTGACTTCTTTTATCAGATTCATGCACAAATTCCACTCTTTGGACAATCAAATCAGTACTAGAACCCACCCTTCCAACTGCCAGAAAGATGTACTTTGCAAGAAAATCAGAGGCCAGTCTCTGCATGCAAAACAAAAGTTTCAAATCAAACGCATTAGAGCTTTTCAGCATAAGGCCAGAACATAAAACCAAAAAAAAAATAAAAAAATAAAATTATCAATTCTACTTAGTTTCTACAACATAAATTCATCTGGTAATCCCAACATAGATCTACTGAGGCCTGATTAATTAGTTGGTTAGATTAATGAAGTGTGATACACTGACACTGTTCTAGTTCGGAAAATGTCTACAAAAAATCTATGAAGAAAGTCTTGCATTTATAAAGTTTTTCCCACAAAAAGAAAAATTACCTGTATTTCCTTCGGAAAAGTGGCACTGAACAGCATAGTCTGTCGCATACCTGGAGGAGGCATGTCCATTTGCTCCACAATTTTCCTTATTTGTGGTTCAAAACCCATATCCAGCATTCGATCAGCCTCATCTAGGGCTAAATATCTAATCATCTGCAATGAAACCCTGGCTCTCTCCAGCAAATCCACCAATCTTCCAGGAGTTGCCACAAGAATATCAACACCTCTTTCAAGTTCCCGCAGCTGTCCAAAAATACATCATCAAGATCTGCTATATATCTCAAAAATAACAATTCGGTACGGTAAACAAGAAAATTTAGATACACTAGGATCCAGTAAAGCAGTGTAAGTGTAACAACTTGCAGGATTAAGTACAACAGAACAGAAATGCTCATAGGCATAAGGCATATGCGTGTGCGCACCATGTATCTGATCCCAATAAAAAAATATGTATTACATGAAGGACCACAACGAATAAACAGTTAGGAAGAAAATATCCTAAACCAAACTACTGCATCATTTCATACAATACCACCATAACAGCAGCAAGATGTGAGTATTTAATATGCTAACTATAATGCAATCATGTCGTTTACTTATCAGCTATAGCCTATAGCTTACGAGTTAAGATGTCACACTACACATATGACAACTGACAGCTGTATCCGACTACCATCCCCCATCTTAAGCCTTATTGGTTTGCAAGAGGTGTCCAAACCTTTCCTAATACCTTTCCAAAATGATATCCCAGAATGAGGAATGAACCTCCCTGGAATATCTTCTGCCCCTTCTCTATGCCATATTTAACTCCAATCAAGCTTCTTCACAGTTTCAGTCCCAACCCAAATCTCCAAAAAAAAAAAAATGCCCAAAGAGACCTACACAGTAATTTGCTTATTGAACTTAACTGTTTAGATAAATCCACTGCAACACATGAGCTCACTATTCAGTCCAAAATTCTTCGTCTCTGAAATTTCTAATATGTTTCATGCATATATATTAAGAGAGCTATTTAAGCAATTTCAAATTTATTAACTTTGACATGCTTTTTCAAATGAAGCACAGCTGAGACACAATAACTACAAAATGCAATCAAGAAATTTAACAAGCCACAAACTTTCATAATACGGCATAACAAAAGAACTTCACGTAATTTCTTTCAATTATAGTTTAAACAAATAATGAAAATAGCAGGCACAATCATAGCTTGGGTAAATGAAATTGCAACAAATAAGCCCATAGGTTCTAAAAATGTAAAGTTCATAAGTTGGACTGAGTAATCACCACTCTAACAAGTGTCATTAGAAACGTAAAGTCATCATTATGAAACAGTGCATGAGGGCAAAAGCCAATCCAACATAGGGCTAAAAACCAAGTCAACAGAAAGAGAAAAAAAAAAAAGAATGAGAAACCTGTTGGTTAATTGGTGCTCCTCCATACGCAACAACCACCCTAACACCTGTTTGATATGAAAATTTCCGGGCTTCCTCATGAATCTGAAACACAGAGAAAATTTTAATTCTCATGGCCTGCAACATGTGAGGAAATCAGAAAATAACCTTTTTAAACATACTTGAATTGAAAGCTCCCTAGTAGGAGAAAGAATGAGAGCAAGCGGATAAACTGTATGTGCACCACGGGGTGGCCTCTGTGCAGGTTGTCCCTTCATAATTCCACTGATGATTGGGAAACAGAAAGCAGCAGTCTTTCCAGAACCAGTTTGGGCACATGCCATCAAGTCTCGGCCTGCAAGGGAGATAGGAATGGCATGACGCTGCACAGGTGTGGGTTTCACATATTTGCACCTCTGAATATTTTTATTCAGTGCGTCCCCCAAGTCAATATCTGCAAAGGTATTCACAGGAGTGGGAACATTGTCGCCACTTGTCTCAACCGGAATATCTTCATATGCATCAAAGTTAATACCACTGTTCTCTTGCTCACTAAACGGCTGCTCTGTTTCATCATCATCTCTAAAGGGGTTCACTTCTCGTGTTCTCCCATCCCAACCACCACTTCTGCTTCCCCATCCTCCACCGCGACCAGCATTGCCACCATGGCCAGTTCGACTGTTGTCGTTTCTGGGACCACCCCAACGAGGTGCACTGAACCCACCTGGGCCACCTCTATCATTGGTAACCGGCGCAGTATATGCTGGAGCAGGTGGGTCCGAGGAAGGTGGACGGTTACGGAGATGTGGGGGGACATAGGTGGACCGATTAGGAGCAGGAGCAGCAGCATTCCCTGAACCAGCATTGCCAGAAGAGCCAGAACCTACATTCTCAGCTGCAGAATTTGCAGCCAAATCTGCCCATGAAGTCCGCATAGTCGATACAACTGGGACAAAATTATCACTCCAAAATAGCCTCCAAAAAAATATACAATCTTTGAACCCACTTCAAAATTCTCCACAATTGAATCCCTAATTCAATTACAATTCCAACAAAATCCAATCAACGCAGACGATAAAACCCTGAACAAATAAACACTAAGTAAGAAAAAATAAACAAGCAAAAAACTTTACACAAATATCAATTCAAATATGCTAAAGGAATGATCACCAAACACAAAACCAACAACTCAACAACAATGCACCCAAAATCACCAAAAAAGAAAACCCATTTCACCACTGAAACCAATTAATAAAATTTTCCCTCATTTTCTCTCCTCCTTCGATAAAATTTTCCCAGCAACAAACAGAACCCAAACAAAAGCAATGGGAGAACAATCCCCGATCTAAATGCAACGAAAACAGCAGAATCGATGCTAATGCAAGGCAAGAGATTGACATGCACAGTAGAGAGAGAAAGAGAGAGATAGGGAGAGAGAGAGAGAGAGAGAGATCTGTACGGAAGCAAAAGCCTGTAGCAGTAGCTGCGGACGTGACGACGACGGAGGTTGGAAGAAGAAGGAAAAAGATCTGAGAGAGAAAAAAACCCTAATGTTTTGTTGGTGCAGCTCGCTGACAAAAATATCCAAACCGAAAGCCGCTCCCTTTTCTCTCTCTAAAAAAATAGAAATTATTAATTTAATTTTAATTATTTTTTTCGATTTTATTGCTTTTTCCAAAGGAGGAGGAGGTTTATTTAGTTATTATTTATTTAAATTAGGAGGAAAATAAAAAGGAAAATTGGGAGAAGAAAAGGAGAAGCCGAAAATCCAACAAGTATTGCGGCTGGCGAGTCGTTGGTGAATTAGAATGAGAGGTCTTAATATTTTCACTGATCTATCCTAATTCTAATATCTATCAATTCAATCCTATTTACATTCACCTCATATCACAACTTAACCATTATTTATGGTAATTTTGCGTGATTTACTGCGCCGTAAAATATATAGTGAATTTGTGTAATTACTTGCATATTAAACCCTACATACGAGCCTTTGTCATTTCATCAAAGTTGTGCCCAATGGATACACAACCAAACTCTCATTTTGGGGGTTATCCACCAAGATTGTATTTTTAGGTAAGGGAACTTCATAAATTTCATTTATCAAATGAAAGAAAAAAAGTATGCATCGGATTTGGAGAAGCCAAAATTTCACCTCTTAATTCCACAAAAAAAAAGAAAATTTCTATAATAAATGATTGATCTGGCATCGAAATTCACACAGTTTGGACCCTGCCCCCGTGCATAGGAGCTTGTGATCTCGGGTGGTGCAACCTCGATGCTTAGGACCAAACCTGATCTCTATACACTGAAGTCAGACCCGACCCATAAAGACACAGCACCCTTAACTTTGTTGCCCCAAATTGAACGTATAAATCTAACTATCTCCCCCAAATATGGACCCGATGACTCGTGTCATGGGATTTGATTTAGGGCAACAATGCTTGAAATCGAACCTACTGACCTTGTAACCTAACACCTAGGACTTGGAGACATGGCTCCTACAACGCGAGGATCAACATGCGTCATGAGAGCCCAATTCTCGCACTAGATTGGACTTAGTGACCTAATGCTGGCAAACGGCTTCATGGACACAACCTTTGGACATGTGTCCATGAGTAACCAACCAGCGATGCTTAAGATTAAACCTAAAGACCATACGCTCCGGTCCAACCATCCATGATCTAATCTTATCTCACTTCAAATTTCTGGGTCCAACTATCCATGATCTAATCTTATCTTAGTTCAAATTTCTACCACAATATCACAATTGCTATTACCATAATGCACGAACCCAAACTCAAAGTCATTTGTCAATATTCTTAAATAACAGTGTGGATTTAGTTTTTGAAGTGAAAGTCTTCAATTAAAAAAGAATGGGCCATTTCAAGACTTATGATCAAATTCATAAATTTTGATTGTATTCTCAGTATTTCTGTAATATATATGAACTTGTTTTTTAAACTTAAAACATTATAAAAACACTATTGACGTCAAAACATGCCCATCTCGATTGGGACCATGTTAATGGGTGTGTCATTCCTTACTCCACAACAAATACTGTTAAGGGCTAATCTCCCCTCTCAACTAATCGTCTTTCATACATCAAAAGTTGGAAGTCAAACACTTCATACTAATATAATCCCTTTTGATACTACTATAATTATCCATTTCCCAATTCCAGCTCATGATGGTATAAGAAGGAATCAGATCCCCTTCAGATCCTTGTAAACTAAGACTCCTGATCAAGGGATCCGGACCGTTGAAATTTGATCAAACGGCTACAAACAGGGGGCCCCTCTAAAAATCACAGGGGTTATAATAATTGTATCCGTTTGATCAAATTTCAACGGTCCAGATCCCTTGATTAGGAGCCTCAGTTTCAAATGATCCGGAAGGGGATCTGATTCCGTATAAGAATTCACGTTAGAGTTGGGATGTCATGTTCGTGATTAGACACGAAGCTGTTGTGGCCTCGAGCTCGAAAATCTTCTTGGGAGTTTGCATCATGTATGAAACTTGTACAATTATTTGTGTTTATAAACCTTTATTATATGAGGCTCCTCACATATGAAAGTCTAGATTCGTTGTTACTTTAAGGGTGTTTTTGTTGCATCGGATTATCTTGGACTGGACAAACTTTATAGACTAAGTTGGACTGGACAAAAAGGAAAAAAGAAAGTTTTTGTTAACAAAACTTTCTCCAAAATTTTCTAATACAAAGAAATTGAACCCAACATCAAAAATTTCTGTTGAATCTAACTACACTTGGCAATCAAATTTTACATTCTCTCAAAGACATGATTTGAACCCTCAATTTTTACGTTCTCTTAACCCAAAAACAAAACTTTCCAATAAATCAATGGAACCTAGAAGCCCAGTTGAAAACCCTTCAAAATTTTCAATTGGGAACTCAACTTTATATTGAATTAACACTCATATGAATTAGAAGAACCCAGATAAAAATCACATTGATATTTCGAACTTTCAAACTCATCTTTCATTGTTTTTCAATCTTTCCTCAATTTCCAAATTACCCCTCCACTCCTCACTCTCCCCCCCCCTCAAACTATCAACTATACCCCTAAAAGTCAACCCCTTTTCATTTTCCCCAATTTTAATATCCAACCTAACCAACAAATTTCTCAGGCCAATATGTCAGTAAGCAAAACTCAGGGATTGGATGTCAGCCTTCCCTTCTAGTCCCCCTTAATACCAAGCGAAAACTTGGGATTAGATAACCTGCTTTAGCGAACCCTGGAAGGCCTCGTAGTCGAGGCGAGTCCCTACTTATTTTAGTCCAAGGATATACCAAACACAGTATTATATTCCTACTCAAGCCAGTCCCTCCTAAGGAGGTGAAACAAACGCACCTTAAGGGTTTAGAGTTAAGCCATTGAGCCTCACATAGACGAATGATGAGAATCTCAGGGATCCTTCAATTACATCCGTTCATCGTAATCGTGTGGCTAGTTTTCGTTATGTATTATTTATATTCAATTTTAAATAAAAAGATTAACAATAATTTCTGACTGCACGATGTACGATGAATGGACGTGAATGGAGAATCTCCGAAATTCTCACAAAGCCGCATCCTCATTCCACATAGAGGCTCAAGTTTTGGTTCTCGTATATGGTTTCTCTAGTCTATGTCACGAGTCTTGAGCTTAACTATGAGCCCAAGTTTTATGTATCAGCTCAACATCTTGAGCCACGATCGAAGTCTTAAATTTGGCTTAAAGTAAATGTCAAAAAACGAATCCATATCCAAAGTATGTGCATATAACTCTAGATATATCTAAAACCTTTTTCCTTATTAGATAAAATAAATTCGATCAAATAGAAAGAAAGTTCAACATCAACCCTTAAGCAGTAAGAGAGCCCCACTTCCTCCATCTAGCTACACTTCCGTACTATATCATGCTTAAAGCATGCATAACCAGTTGATGATCTTATTACAATTTCTAGGTTTGAAACAAAACAAATGCATGAAACATGAAAGTTGAGTCGTTAAACGCTAGATGTTATTAATAATGGCACAATGATAATCAACATTGTAATATTCTTTCTCGATCGATCACTAATTCACCAGCAATTTATCCACAATACGTTAACCACAAGTAATTTTAAATTGAACTTGCCATCTCCACAAATCAAATTGAATGCATTTAAAGAAATTTGAATACAAGTGTTAGAGACAACAATCTCACTCTCCTAAAGGCAAAGCAAGGGCTATGAACTTGTCCTTTAACCCAAAAAAAAACTCCACCAGTCCAATTTGTGGAAGGCAAGTGGTGAGCCAACACCAGTTCATCCAAAAGCCGAAAAAGATAAGTTCGGCTTTGTGCTGGTGGGCAAGCTAACGTTAGCATGGTGCCACGCTGATGCCAACCATTTTTTAATATTTTTTTTTTTTGCCAAGTGCATGTAACACGTGAAAAAACTTGCAAGAGTGGGCCCCACTGCAGTAGCCCTACAATAAAGCCCAATAGTTTCTCGACGTGGCTTACTGCTAAACCTATCTTACTACATTTTTTAGGATTGAAACAAAATGAATGCATGAAAAATTGAAATTGAGTCGCTAAATGCTTGATATCATCAATAATGACACGATTAATGACAATCAACACTACAATATTTTATCCGCACGTTATTCACAATACATTAACCATTATAATTTGAATTTAAACTCATTATCTATGTGAATCAACTTGAACACATTTCAACAAATTTGAATACGGGTGTCCGGGAGACTCCTTCGTTGAAAAACATCGCGCACTAATGGCGATTCATTGTTTCCGTCCACAATCTCAAATACCCACAAATATCTTTGTCTTTCACGCGCTTTGGAAACCCAGTGTTATCGACCGCCCAATCACAAAACTCTAACGCCCGGCACAAAGCCCATGAACTGGTCCAGTCATCCCCACGCGCCTACCCACTCCGCATTACCGGTTTATCGTTTCAAACTCCCGAGACCAATATAAAAACTAAAAATAGAAAAAAAAAAAATCCAAAAAAAAAATAAAAAGAAAAATTCAAAAGAACTGAAAGGCCTTTGGTTTCTCCACCACCGCTCTCTCTCCCTACTCTCTCTCTGAGTGGCTCGAAGAAAACGAAGAAGACGAAGAGGGAAATCTACGATTGCCTACCGATCTAGGGTTAGGGTTTCGGAGGGGCATCTTGATCTGCGAAAGACGGTGCGTTTTGGGGGAAGAGGAAGAAGAGGATGGATTCGGTCCCTTCGAACTCACATGGGAACCTGGATGAACAGATTGCTCAGCTCATGCAGTGCAAGCCCTTGTCCGAACAAGAGGTACCCAAAGCATCTAACTTTTCAGATTTTTAATTATTTTAATATTAATTTTAGTCCATTTCTTTTTATTTTTTAATTAATTTTTGTGGGAATGTGTTTTTGGTGAGAATTTGTGTTGAGTTTTAGGAAATGAGACGGATCGAGCTCTGAAATGTTGAGCTTGATGGGGCAGATCGAAAAATGTGGTGCATTTCTTTGTTTGTGACTATGGGCGTGGTCTGTGAATTGAATTTAGCTGAACTAGGGTTCTTATGGGACCGATCTAGGGTTGTGATTTCATATAATTTGGGGATCCATGAATGAATGTTTTGATTTCACTTAGGTGGGTCGATCTTTTTATTGGATTTACCACTGGGTTAAAAATTCTAAAGAAATACATGAACTTGGTGGTTTGTAATGACATGTTCTGCTGTTAGGATTGGGTATTGGCAGTGTGGGTCAGATCCCCTTTTCTGTGGCACTGAGGGCTTCTGCGTGTAGATTTGTGAACAAGAAAAGCAAAATTTGGGTTTCTAAGTCTAAGGCCACAAAATCTGAATCTTTCAATAAATTTTTAAACCTACGTGGAGTTATGATTAGCAGAGACTTTATGGAGCGTAGTATTTGAGTATGGTTTTGGCTAAATGTGGTCATTGCAATACATTGTCAAGGAGATATCTTGAATTCTTCCTTATTTAGGCAGTTCTGAAATCAGTAATGTTAAACGTCCTTAGTTTACATTCTATTCTATGAGGAAACTCTATACACCTTCTGATTTGCCAAATAATGTGCACGCTGTGGTATATGCTTTATAGTGCATGTAAGCATACCAATATTCTTGGGGAGGGATGAAGGGTTGTGTGGGTATGCAAGGCTGATAACATACTTTACAAGAGTGGTAGCTTCAAAACCTGAGTTGCTTTAGTGCTTCTTGAATTTCAGAACATTGGCTGTTTCTGTGGTACACCAGCCTATACACTACTACACGTTATAAGACCAAAAAAATTGCTCATTGAAAACGCTAATGAGCAAGAAAATGGAAATCTGTTATTGAAAGTGTGTGCATGTTCAATTTAATGTTTGTTGGTTTCTGGGGAGTTTATTTAAGATGTAAAATAATTGTCATCTTAATTATTTTTGTTTAATATAGGTAAGGGTGCTCTGCGAGAAGGCCAAGGAAATATTAATGGAAGAAAGCAATGTCCAGGTGGGCCTTTTTAGTTGCAAGTTTCTGTTTCATATCTTTCTTTGTATTGTTTCATACAGGTTTTGGACCTATAATGATTTGGACATGTCTTGAGGTAAATGAATAACCATTTTGGGTCTTATGTTTTGCAGCCTGTAAAAAGCCCTGTAACTATCTGTGGGGATATTCATGGACAATTCCATGATCTAGCAGAGCTCTTCCGCATTGGAGGAAAGGTATTTGTTCTGATTTGGGCTATTTAATTCTTCTTACATTTGCTTAATAGGGTGCTACTTATTGGTGATGTTTTCTCTTTCCTAATTTGTAGTTTTCTGGTTTGTTCTGTTGGATGTTTCACTTTCCAAAACTAACATTTATTTCCTGTTGTTGCAATTTTGTTTGCAGTGCCCAGATACAAACTATTTGTTTATGGGAGATTATGTGGACCGTGGCTATTATTCCGTTGAAACAGTGACAGTAAGTATGATTATTTTTATTTCTACTTATCTTTCAATTAGTTAAGCTATAATTTTAGGGTTCTCCTTTTGGCACTAAGATAAAAGATATTTTGGAAACTCTGAGCAATGTTTTGGTTTGATTATTTAGGGTTTTTGTAATAAGTTACAATTCCTAACGAAAGGCCTTAAAGTTTTACTATTGAGAGTTGGATACATGTTGAACATGAGCTATAATGAAATAGTATGGTTGGGATATGTTAGCGCTTCCAAGGTTATGCTAGCAGGGGAGACTGAAATAGGGTACTACACATAAAGATCATGAGATTGGCCCCTAAGCTATATTGCAATTGAGAACTTAGTGTTCTTATCATGGGAATTTCTGGGAAAAAGGGGAAGCGTCATCTTCCCTTTTGGCATCCATTTATGTATATCATTATGCTCCTAACTTTATCTTTTTTATTCAGCTCCTAGTGGCCTTGAAGGTGCGTTATCATCAGCGTATTACTATCCTAAGAGGAAACCATGAAAGCCGTCAGGTATTTTTACCATCCGCGTTCTTGTTCATATAAGTTTGGTAGTACTTGCATGTGTGGTCTTTGATTGTGGCTTTTTGTTTCCCCATTGCAGATTACTCAAGTTTATGGTTTTTATGATGAGTGCCTACGGAAGTGAGTTTCTTGGCATCTTTTGTTTATGGGTCAATTTTGATACAATGAAGATTTATGTGTGGCTTGTGACTTCTGGAAGATTCCATTTTTCATTTGCCTATGTTCAGGCCTAAAAACTATATACATGTAAAGGTTTGCTTTTTATGTTTAGTTGTCTTCTAAGTTTAGGTGTAAAATTTTTAAAATGACCAGTGAGCTATCGTGTGCATATATCTGTACATGCATGAATGTAGGGTATTGTGTGCTTTTATCTGTACGTGCATGAATGTAGGTATGCATATTTATGAATGCATGTTGATATAGTATATTTGTATTTGCAGTTTCTATGCTACATCATAATCTCCACATATCACATTCACATTCATTTGATGTATTTTCAGTTTGATTTCATGATCATACTTCTTTTACTGGATACAAGAGTAAAATATGAACCAGGAATTAAATTGATGAACACTATAGCGTGAATCAATCCTTGGGGTGTACCAAATCAATATTATGTCAGAAGTGTATCACCTTAAAGAATTCAACCTACTGTTGGCCTTTATTACTCTCTTATGCCTACAAAGTTGACTGTTGATCAGTCATCTAGTTTTTGTCTTCCTGCTTGTCCTTGATTGGATGTATCGTATTTATCGAGCATGTATAGTGACCCGTTCTATTTCTCTTTGCAGGTATGGTAATGCCAATGTTTGGAAGATCTTTACAGATTTATTTGACTATTTTCCACTGACAGCATTGGTTAGTATAGTTATATGTGACTTAATTATGATGCATAAATGGTCTGTGTAGGTTAGCGAGCCAGTGCCTGCACTTGGATTAAGTTAGCGGTCAACATGACCATGAACATTCTTGTTATTGTATCATTTGAAAATATGCACCCTAGAAATTTCTGGGTGCAAACTTCTAGTTCATTGCTACCAGTTTAATTGCATGAATGCCTCTAGTTCCTTTTCTACTCGCTGTCCTCAATCATGTTGCTCTGCAGCATGACTGTAAACTGCAATTACTTTACCACCACCTGTCACATTGATCTACCCTTGCATCTTTTGTTATGCACTCATTGTTGATAGTTGTAGGTGTAATAGTTCTTTTTCCAAGTATTGACATATTTTCTTTTATTTGTTTAAAGGTTGAAAGTGAAATATTCTGTCTGCATGGAGGGCTGTCTCCATCCATTGAAACCCTTGATAACATACGTAATTTTGACCGTGTACAAGAGGTTCCTCATGAGGGTCCCATGTGTGATCTTTTATGGTCTGACCCTGATGATCGCTGTGGTTGGGGTATCTCTCCCAGGGGTGCTGGATATACGTTTGGTCAGGTAAGTTACCCATCCATTTCGTTTCTTGTTTGGGTTGATGGTTTGAATCAGTTGGCCAGTCTTCTAGAGTCGTGACCTTGTAGGCTGATTTGCTTCCTTTTGCTGTTTTAATAGGACATATCCGAGCAGTTTAATCACACAAATAACTTAAAGTTGATTGCTAGAGCACATCAGCTGGTCATGGAAGGATACAACTGGGGTCATGTGAGTATTTATCCTAATTCTGTGGCTGTTTTTGCATATGGTTTATCTTGCGGAGGAAAGTTTCTGTAATTGATTTGTTTACCTTATGCAGGAACAAAAAGTGGTCACTATATTTAGCGCACCCAACTATTGTTATCGCTGTGGAAATATGGCATCCATCCTGGAAGTTGATGACTGCAAAGGTCACACATTCATTCAGGTTGGTCCTGCTCTCTGCCAAACACAACCACACCTCCCACCACCCCACCCCACCCCACCCCCACAACCCCCACCCAAAAAAAAAAAAAAAAAAAAAAAAATCCATTGCCCTCTTCTCAGCATGTGAAAACAAATGTGACCAAATTGATATGTTGTAGTTTACTGAATGGTTATTCGTAAGGGTTGACGTGATCTATTAATTGGCTTGCCTGCAAAATTTGCATGGGAGAAAGGCTTGAAACTTTGTTATCTTGTATTTCAGTTTGAGCCAGCTCCAAGGAGGGGAGAACCAGATGTGACCCGAAGAACACCTGATTACTTCCTATAATGAGTGTGTCAAATCAGTTGCTGAATTACCTGCTGCTGCTGCCTGCAAGGTCTACGTATTGAGGGTTATTCTTAAATTTAAGATTATGAATTACACAACAGTGGTGGTGTTCGGTTTGAGAAAGAAATCGTGTAGGATTGGCAGGTTAGGCTTCCTTTGATGGCGCACGAGTCTCTGCAAAAAGGAAGCAGTGGAGGTGGCCACACTGTTGCAGCATATGTACCATTTCCAGCAAACAATGTGGCATCTTCTGTTCTGATTTTTCATTTTTTGTTCTTTTATTTAATTTTTCTGTAGAAGGATGGTATTTTTGGGGGGTTGGTGATCTGTAGAGGGATGATGAGCTTGCTTCCTATGATGGGTGCTATTTTATTTTTTAAAATTTTCCTCTTAGTATTGAATTCTAAATGTTCCAATAGGTTTATTTTATCCCAATTTTTTTTCATAGTCCAATTGATAGTCTTGTAGTTTTCCACCACACGAATCTATGTTGTTTGGCTCTTGATTTTGGCCGTTTGTATTGAATAAATCAAAGGATGGACGTTTGAAGATTCCGATTAGCGAAATTGGACGTTTGAAGATTCCGATTATGTTTTGCTAATCGGAAACCGAACTTCCCAAAACTCCGGAAAAAAATAGAATGGCTTCGGCCAAGAAAGAAAAAATTGCCCTTGGATGGGAGAGTTTCTTTAGATGAGCTATTCTTTTCTTTCGACAAGAGAATGTCTCTATTTATTGATAGAGATGATATTCTATATTAAAGTCATTCAAGGTACGGGTGTGAGATACCAACTTGGATGTAGAGGTGGGAGTGGATTGCTCTAACAGATCAACTATTATATTCTATTGAGATGAGGTACAAAGGGAAGGAAAGTTCAAACGATCATTATTTGCACCTTTGTTATGAATGCGAATTTTTGTTTGATTCCTTGTTCTTCAATTGATACAGGCAGTAAACGCTCTTAACCGCTCGAGCTATAAGTGTCTTGAAATCTATAATGAGCAAAAAGGTACATGATTTATACCTAGCTTGATTACTCGCAAAACATGTCCAAGTAATTTGATGTGCGACTTCATGTTTTTATTATTGGGACATCAAATTATGTGTTGATAGAGATCTTGTGTATGCCAAAGGCAGCATGAGAAGTTTCTTGGCTCTCTTTACGTACGCTCTCTTTGTCAAGTTATCGTAATCGTTTTCTTCGATGGCGTCCAGTATGTTTCGATATATCAGTAATGATGACCATACCTGCAAAAGTACAGCAGATCATTAGACAAAGAAAAGGGGAGATAACCTCTAATCTATCCTGCAAGACAAGAATGTGTATTGTTGATGAATGAACAGGTAAGACAGCAACAAAGGGACAACAACTTCGACAACAGATTCGTTTTGTTGCTTGTCTTTGTATATTCTATTAGTTTATATACCCTAAGAAGTAGAATGTTCTGTTTTCTAGCTGTTTGGAATTTGCTTCTGTATGAAGCGCTCTTGTTAGAAGTTCATGCTAGAAACATGTTAAATTCATATTAAATTTCAAGTGCTTCTCGAAGAAGAACATGCCCAGAAAGCTCTTCTATGAACCAGGACTATCAAGTTTTTCTTACAAAATATGGTTAGAAGTGCTTTTAATCATCAGAAAATGCTTCTAGCCCTTTTAGATTACTCTCAAAGAGGCAATATGGATGGATTTCTTTTTAGTCCATGACATCAATGATGCTAGTAATGGAACAAAATCACTTAATGAAATTTTGCAAAGAGGTATATACCGGCCAACGGCTAGCCTTATCAAGCTGAGAAGCTCCTTCTTCTGCTAGGTTGAAATAAAACCTTGCTCTTGTAATCTGTTCTTTCATGAATGCTCTCCATGGATCTGTCACTTTTCTTGAAAAAACATCGTTATCGCACAACCCAAACTGCGCAAGCTCATCTTGGGGAAGATAAACTCTCCCTCTCATTGCACTGGAAAAAAAAAATATAGAAAAAAAAAAAAATCAGATCGCAATCAAAGTGAACTCAAACTTGTGTGCAAGAGAGGAGGACACATTGCCCTAATCAACTGACTTAACTCACTTTAGGTAGTGAGGAACATAGAATTGAGAAATTGGTACACATCAAATAAACTTACTCCTCTCCAACATCTCTAAGGATGTTTGTGAGTTGGTTTCCTATGCCTAAATATAATGCAGAATCATATGTACTTTGAGCAGAAATCCGAGAATCTGGTGCAATTCCCATGACAGGAACACTCATTAGGCCGACCGTCCCTGCCACGTAGTAGCAGTAAAGATAGAGCTCTTGAAAATTTTGGTATCGGCATTTTTGCGTGTCCATTCGCATACCGTCAATCATGTCTCGAAAAGGCTTTTGGTCACAAGAAGAGGAGTTCATAAGAAGAAAAATTTGACAAGTATCAAATGACTATAAGTTTAATGAACTAAATGAGATATTTTATAAGCACCTTGATGTCCAAGGGAAAATTGAAAACGGTATGAGTCAGCGCAACATCAAGCATGTCATAAGGTCGTCCTTCGAAAATATCTTCCAGTCTCTGTTCCCATCGATCAAGAACTTCCGAGCTCATGTAACCGGAATTTGGACCATCCACCAGTTCGTCTGTCCTCCTGCACCAAACTACATTTCATTTTTCTAAGAATCAATTTTATAATCATACAAATTTTATTTTTGGCAACAAATGATTTCTTGTGTGGCAACTTTATGAACATGATTTTTCTTCCAATTATATTAAGTTGTACGTCACCACCTTATATTTATTCATTTATTATTTTTAACAAAGTGATACTCTAAAGTAATCTAATTAGCAAGACGAGAACTTGAGCTCGACTGCAAAGGGGCCAGTATATTGCCTTAATCAACTAGCCTAAACCACATCTACCACGTGATACTACATGATCATAGAGAGTTGAATTCTCACCATAGATTGCCCATATCGCCTTTTGACGCTCTTCTGTCATAAGTAAAGTGCCTGCATCAAAAAAGCACACCATAATTAAATCTCATATTCATGAAAAAATGATCATTATTTTTGAATTCAGTAGCTTGGCAAGCAAAAGATCCAATAAAAATATTTGATGGAGAAAGAAACAAGGGTGATGAAGTTGTACCTAGATAGAATGTCTTGGCATATTCTGCACAAAGGTTCTTGCACCTCTCATATGCTTCTTCAAGAAAGCTGGGGTTGAACTGCGGCCTGTGCCGGCCGCCTTCCCCGTCCACACTACGAGTCTGAGACTGCCTTTGAACGATTTCTCGCACGTGTAAATCAGCAAGAGGAATGCCTTGAATTGAGAGCTCAGGAAAAACAGGCCTGCTTCTTTGCTTGGGAGCTGTAATCAGTTGAGCTTTTGCTGCTGTGACCATAGATTTTTGACGCGGAATTCTTCCATTGCTCTCTCCGCTGTAAGTCCTTCCTGCGAAGGAAATTGTATAACACATTTGGAAGTTTTTCACTTCTTTTCGAAAGGGTCTAGGGAGTAAGATAGAAATGTGAAATGGAAGACCTCCTCTGCATTTAAATACCCCTCGCTTTCTTTCATGATGTGATAATTGAAGATACAACGTTAAATATAATGCAGAAAAAAGGCCCACGAGTGAAACAAGCCAAATCTTGGATTAAACGTTGCTGACATTTCCACCTCGCTTTCTTCCCAAACGCTTCTTGTTTGTAGTAAATTGAATTTCTGTTGGTTTTTACTATAGGGACACTAAGCATGCAGTAAAATAAGTTTTAGTGCTATTTATCGTCGGTTTAGCGTCCCTCTAGTGAAATAGAATATTTGTTAAAAAAGAATTAAAAGAGCACTAAATGAACAAGAAAATGATTCTAAATTATTTTATATAGCAAGTGGTGAATTGCCCTGTGGATAAGATCTTCCTCTTCAATTAACCCAATCCGTCTTGGATCCAAAACATATTATATAAGCAAATTATTGTCTATTATTTTAATGAAAAGTTTGTAATTGGTTTTGTTTGAGCATATTTCTTCAGATTATATGGCGTCAACTGACAAATATACACACTTGAGCACAAAACCCTTGTTGGGTTAGGAGAATGTGCCGTGATTTGCAAAGATGCTGTTGTGTTGTTTTGTGCTGTATTTAGCTTATCTACCCAAACATTGTTGCACAAACTGTCTTCTTCTGCAAATCTCATCGACAGAATCTATCTGAAATCATCAGAATTTGATGCTCCTTTGAGCTTGAGCTTCTTGAATCCTTTTTTAGTATTTTGTCATGGAGTGACGTTTCAGATTTAAGATTTTGGGGCTCCAAGTGGAAATTAACTTTGGAGGAAAAAGATGCTTATAGTGATTAAATAAAGCATGATTGAAAAAAATAATGAGGAAACAGATTAAACTGTTGTCATCTGGTATGAATTTGGCGAGGGAAGTACTTAATTATGAATGAAGCACTGTGGATCCAATATTAGTATTGAATATTTTGGTTTATTATTGTTTGTTTAGGAATTTCAGCCGCACTGCAGATGGCTATGAAATCGACGAATGAAGGTAAAAGATGAATCAATCATGAAACAAATTTACTTTTCAGTCCTCATAAAATGATAAGATGTCAACATTTTATAACTAAACTATTTAATTCCTTTGATTTGGTAATTTGGAAGTTGATGTACATTTCTTACTGCAACATACATATAATTTTTGTGAGTTAACTAATACATCCCTAGGCACCAAATGTGACCTGTGGTCTTGATTGATGTCTGTGGTTGGATTTGATTGGATAAAACATTTGATTCAATATATGTTGAATAAATAAATGGATTAAGCTTTGAAATATTGTCCAAATTGAAGGTAGAAGATGAATTAGTCACGAAATAAGCTTATCGCTCTCAATCTCACCATATTTTATAACGATTGGAAGGAAGAAGTTTCTTTAATAACCAATCCAAATCCAACTTTAGACACCAAACGAGGTGTATGTGTACAAAGATGTAAAGGAAGAAGTTTCAATGCTAACTAATTCAAATCTAACTTTAGACACCAAACAATGCCTACATGTACAGATACACAATATTTTATATTTTACCTTGCTTTCAGTTCTCCCCACTATCGAGACAGATTAATAAATTAATAAATCTTTTGCCAACTAGAGGGCATCTTGGGGGGTGGGTGGGTTGGGGGGTGGTGGTGGGTGCACATTTGTTGACAATATCCAGCCAGAAGGAATAAATTGTTTTGGAACTTGAAAATATCATGTGTAAAATGATACGTTGGAACTCAAAGTTTTGTCCAATCCTCAAATTAGTACTGCATCCGCACATGAAGATGCCATGGGTTGGTCAAGAGATTTCTGGATTAAGTAGGTTAAAGCATATATAACAGCACTATTGTATGCTGATTAAGTAACATATAAAATAAACTATGATTAAGTAATAATATTCAACCTTTGACTCGTGAAACACATCTTCAAGGCATGTTCATCTACCATCTTAATCCTCTTTGAAAAAATTGAAGACAAAATACTATACATGACATGCCTTCACTTTTTTTTTTTTTTTTTTCCTTCATGATACAAGTGATATCGAGGAAGGAGGGTTCGCATATGAGATCTCTGGTGAAGAGTGAGTAAATGCTCTTAACTACTTGAGCTACAAATCATTTGCCGATTTGTGATTTTCCCAATTGTGCAAGGGTTTTTGTTGTTTTAATGACAACATCGAGGTAATGAAGGCTAAGGCAAGCAGAAACAACCCCCAAAGCCGAAAGGACAATAAGAAACGGGTAAGTCGGCATGTCCGACTTCGAGCAAACTTTGTCCTACGAAAACCGGGTACAGAAACAGAGATCAACAAGGAAAATATGCAACAGTTTGTATCTATTAACTTATAGTGATGTGTAATTTGTAAGAAACTATGAAAGTATTAGCTGCAATTTCTTTTTTTCCTAATATATACAATACAACTATGTTGTCTACACTGAAGATATATCACTCGTTTATCTTTAGACTTATTGGTAAGGGCTTAACTGCTGCCAGGACCACAGAAACTTTACATGCAAGAAATCCAATCATCCCGGCTATGAGTTGTTTCGGAGTGAATACGATTGGGACATCCCCGCCATACTTCACTGTGACTAGAGTAAAACCAATAGCCAATGCAAAGACAAATATTGGAACCTTAGATCCTCCGAAGGTTTGGTTGGTCTGTCCCGTGTATGGAAGTCAATTCTGCAGCAGGCAATCCATCAACCGACCTTTGCAGTAGCAAGAGATAGAAGAAGCCGCCCATCCCACCTGTTAAAAATGCAAAGCTTATGTTTTCCCCAGCTGAGAAGGATGCAACTGATGTACCAACAAAGATCAGCATGGCATCATAAAGTAGCAAAGATAGTTTCAAATCCTCGTATTCTCTCATGGTTTCCTTGTTTGATATCCCACTCACAGATAGAGTTGATTCAGGGAGGCTTTTGGTGAAGATGGTGACGGGATCAACCCCGGATAGCTCGGTCACAAGGCAAGGTCTAAGTTGCACCATGGAAATGTCACTTCCCTCACCCAGCAAGATATCCTCAACAGCAAAGTTGTAACTGAAACCAGTATACTGAAGTTTTTCTTCGTCTTTTTCTTCCATCGAACTTTGTTTCCCACAGATAACGGTCAAGCTCACACTTCCTAACCGCCATTGACCTGACCTTGGAGAGTTTACAGAAAAATTGTTAGCATGATTTAGTAAAACATGCGTAAGTCAGTTTTTAAAGCTCACCTTTTGATCCTACAGAAATTCAACTAGTACGCATACACAGAGACAAGAGTACATATAGTTAATCTGCAAAGAGTAAGCCTCAATATAACATAGGTAAGCCAAATGTAATTTTTCGGTATGCATATTCATTATTTCATACTTAGCCTACGGATGCTAAACTAATTCTAGTAAGTCTAACCTGATTCAAGACTGATCCAAACAGCTCCAACTTTTCCAAGCTTAGGTCCCTCAAAGGTGAACTCATCAACAGAACCTCTTTGAAAGTGAAGCACACCATCCTCCGACTCTGTAGCATGATTTGTTATGATACTCGACGGTATCCTCTGTAATATGGAGTCACCATTTTCGTTGATCACGCAAAGGAGGATCCCAGCATTCAAGTCAGAGAGACTTGAGCCATAAACATTACTAGTACCTAACTTAACCTTGTATAAAGACTGAGATCCGTCATCTCTTAAAGATGAGAACAGCTTTTCCACTGAGTTATCTGTGCAGATTTTCACTTCTGTAGCTGGCAAGAGACGCGAAGGCCTTGCATAGCCCTTGGAATCTGAACAAAAAAAGGGAAATATTTTAGCATACAGTTACAATATCAATCCCTGCATACATGGAACGTCTAATGTCCCGCGCTTCAGTTCCCCCTCCCCCAATGTTGTTTGTTTAACGGTACATATTTGACAAAGTATAGAAATTCAGAGATTTCACAGGCAGGTCATCCAAAAATTTAAACTTTTGATATTTGTTTTGGGTTCGTTACAACCTAAATGAACCCATCTCCAAGTCAAATTCGCATCCTCTGATTAACCTCAATTCTCTCTCTCTTCTCTCTCTCTCTCTCTCTCTCTCTCTCACACACACACACACACACACACACAAGTCAATGGCCTCCAAACAACAGAAGAAAATCCAAAACCAAGTGAACGAAATCTAATAAGAATTCAAACCCTTGCCTTTAACTTCTAAACAAGCAAATAAAGCATTAAAGCCAATCCCAAAATTTACAAATTTTCCTGAGTTTTCTCAGAAACCAAACAAAGAATTTATCTTTCTTCAAATGAAGGAAATCCCATTAAGTGGAAAAGAATTTGGCGGGCGTCTGTTTACCTTGAAAACCAGAGAGTTTGGAATGGATTCGAAAACGCCGAGTTGGGGTGTGAAGATGAAACCTTTGGCTGCTGCTCTGAAATTGATTTTCTGGGTTTCTTTGTCTTCTTAATAGAAGCTCTGATTGGTTGCAGAGATTGAATGCCTCAGAGGAATCGACTCCATGGCTGCAGTTTCAGAGCCAGACGCAAGCAACTTGAGACAGAATGAATGAGAGTTCGTATAGATTCCGCATCGTAAAAATAGAAAAAATTAAAAGGGTTTTAACCAAAAACTTTCGACACTCTCTACTTTTAATGAAAATGAAATTTTTTATTTTTTTGATACTATTATTTGCATTATTATTTTTTAATTTTTATTAAAACTAAAGTTTTTTAAAAGTTTCGTTAGGTTAGTTAATATTAAAAGTAACGAAAAAAAGGAAATATTGGAGTATTTGAGATTGTTGAACGTCTGGGCGTTTGTAGTCCAACGGTTAGGGTAATTGCCTTCCAAGCAATAGACCCGGGTTCGACTCCCGGCAAACGCATTTGCGTTTCTTTTTGTCGATTTTATGTTTTCAATTATGAAAGGTGCACAAAAAGGAAAGTTGTGAATGAATAAAGAGTGGGATGCGTACATTTATGGTTGCATTCAAAGAAGTTTAGTTTTCAACTTAACACAAAATTAAAATGAATAATCAAGGTGAAACGCGAGTGTATGTCCTAATTATTTATTTCACATGAAACAAGTTATGAAAGACAAGTTGTGTATGAATAAAGAGAGGGATGCGTGGAACATTCATGGTTGCATTTGAAGAAGTTTAGTTTTCCCCTTCACACAAAGTTAAAATGAATAACCAAGGTGAAACTCGAATACATGTCCTAATTACATGTTATACACGAAACGTATTTTTTCTTCTCTGGATATCATACGCAATATACATCATGGTAATTTGACATATATAATTCTAGCTTGTTTATCAAAAGAACTTTTAAATAATATCACACTAATTCCTTGATGAGCAATTTTATATGTAAAATTTAAGATGTAAAAACCACTTTTATATATAACTTTACATTTCACCAAGATGTAAATTTGAGTACTGCTCCATTTTATAGAGATCTTTTGTAAGCCAAAGGCAACATGAGAAGTTTCTTAGCTCTTCTTACGTATGCTCTCTTTGTCAAGTTATCATAGCCGTTATCTTCAATAACATCCAAGATGCCACGATACATGAATATCGCGGACCATATCTGCAGAATTACTGCACATCATCAGAAGAAGACAACCTTTCCCACATGCAGCGCGATAATTTTTATTTTATATTTACTTTGAAAGAAATATTTGTTCAAGAAACAATCCAAGGCTGCAAGTACGTTCATTGTTGTAAATTTGTAGTGTTATGTAAAGAGGTATATGTATATATCGGCCAACGGCTAGCCTTATCAAGCTGAGAAGTTCCCTACTCTGCCCATTTGAAATATATCCTAGCTCTTGCAATCTGTTCTTTCATGAACTCTCTCCACTGATCAGTTACCTTTCTCGTAAAAATATGGTATCGGATAACCCAAAATGTGTAAGCTCGTCTTGGGGAAGATAAACTCTGCCAAGCGTAGCACTAGAAAAAATAACAGAAAAAGGGACAATGATGAGTTAGATAAATAGAGTGAGTGAAGAAATTAAAAATGACATTTGTTTTAGAATGTCAGCATCGAACCCAAAAACGATTGACAATAATAAAGAGAGGCTCAATATGATATAATCCGCTAAGGCAAAACTTCATATTTCGACGCTGGACAACTCTCAACATGATGTATACGCATATTAAGGAAGCTTACTCCTCCCCAACGTCTCTAAGGATGTTGGTCAGTTGATTTGCAGTGCCAAAATGAATTGTGCCTTCATATACACCTTGAGCAAAAATCAAAGAATCTGGTGCAATTTCCAGAACATGAACACTCATTAAGCCAAAAGTCCCGGCCACGCAGTGGCTGTAAATATAGAGCTCTTGAAAATTCTGATAGTGAAATTTTCTTGTGTCCATTCGCATTCCCTCGATGACATCTCTAAATGGCCATGATCAAACAAGGATATTCTATATGAGATAGAATCATGGAAATAATTTTTATGAAACTAATGGAATATATACATTGCATGTTTGAAAAAGAATATCCAAGCATGATTAGTTGCATTAATAAATAATTAAACACCTTGATGTCCAAGGAGAAACTTAAAACGATATGAGTCAGTGCAACATCGATTATGTTGTGCGCGCGTCCTTCAAAAATGTCTAGCAGTCTCATTTCTCACATATCAAGAACATCCGAGCTCATGTGGACAGAATTGGGGCCATCCACAAGTTCATCTGTCCTCCTACCCCACAAGCTGCATGCATTTCAATTTGACAAGAATAAAAAACAAAATTTATCACATAACGAATCCTACTGGTTACAAGATCTTAAACTCATAGTTGCTTATTTTGCATAAACCCAAAGATATGTCCTTGTTGAGAAGGATTATGCGAGATTAATTCCTCAATAACAGTCTACAGAGCAGCCACAAAACCACATCCAAAGGAGTGAGAACATTCCGGGAGTCCCCCGCCCATAAAAACTTTCCCCTTCTTCTTGATTTAAAAACTTTATATGTACACCACCACTTATTATAGAAATTCTTTGATAAGGACGATCACATTTTGTTTTTTTTTTTCTTTCAAAAAAATTGTGTATCAACAATGGATCAAAATACGTTGAAAACTTTCTGTTATAGAAATTTTATCGACATTGAACATAAAGCGTTAAATTTTTATCATAGACAGATCATATTATGTCTAGGACTTGTTACTATATGAACATAGAGTTAAATTTTTACCATAGATAGCCGATAATGCTTTCGGCGCTCCTCTGTAATCAATAATGTGCCTGAATCAAGACCATGCACCATTAGTCATGCAAATGTGACAATAGATTGGCAAGGAAAGATCATGTTAGGCTACATATAATTAACAAGATTTGATGGGAAATAAAAGAATGAAGTTGGACAGTGAACCTAGATGGTATGTCTTGGCATATTCTTCACAAATCTTCCTGCATCTTTCATATGATTCTTCAACAAAGCTAAGATCCAACCCTGGTTTTCTGCGGCCGTCTTCTTTGGCCATCTTACATGTCTGGGACTGCCTTTGAATGATCTTGTACTTGTAAATCAGCAACAGAGGGAATGACTTGTATTGATAATTCCAGAAAAACAGGCATGCTTATAATTTGCTTGGGAGCTCTCCTTTTTGTTGCTATGACCATATATTTTCGGGGCAGGAATTTTCCATTGCTGCCTCTCATGTATGCCTTTGCTGCAAGAGAAAATGTTGAGCACATTCTACAAGTACGCTTCTTCTCAAACTGTGTAGTGAATATATAGATTGAAACAGGAAAGGCCTCTTAAATATGTGAACACAACATCTTCTATACATTTGATGTTTAATTATGGTCAATGGCATCTAATACATTTAAAAACTAAATGCTATAAATTAATCTTATATGGTGTGAGGGATTGCATATTTTACATATCTTACGTACTAACTACTCAATTATGGTTGCAAATTAAGGGTGTCGTCAAATTTGATGCATGTATAATATCACCATTGTTAGTTGATTGAGTAAAATATCAAATAACTTTCTAGAATAATTCATAATAAAAAACAACAACGAAAATCTTGACAGATGAAACAAAATCTTCCGTTATGTGAATGTGATCTGTCTTTGTTTTATTATCACATTAAAGACGCGCTTATTTTAAATTTTGGTGATTCCAATGAATTAAATAAGCATGTTTATGCCACATATGACAAAGGTTAAATTACACTAAAAGCAAGTCTGGTTGAAATGAAAGTCTGCTAGGTGACCCTTCTGGACATATATCCCGTTTTCTGTGTTCCGTTGAAGGAAAGGCGCACGATCGGCAAGACCATGCAGCCATGCTGATCATGACGGTCCATTCCATACCAGGAAGAAGTCCAAGCATGATATATGTCCCTCAGCGTGTGACTTGTATTGAAACCAACATATACCGAAGATTTTCTCCAATTGTCGTTCAAAGAACTTTGATACGACAAATAAACGGTCAAGCTCATACCTTCTCACCTCCACTGACCTGACTTTAGAGAGTTTAAAGAACATTGTAGGCACTTAGCAGTTAGCATAAACCTTAAACCCTGTATGACATGAATTTGTCCATTATTTTCACAATAACTAGAGCTACAAGAAATTGTCACTGTTTTTTTAAGTTGTGATAACAAATATGGTTTCTGAAAGTCTAGAAATTTGTATGAAACAACATATTGATACAGCATTTGGCACTACTTATGATGTAGTCTTAAATAATAGTAGGTTAGATCAGTTGACCATAATAGTATCTCCGTCTCCTTGTGTTATCAAGAGGTACTTCTTAGTCGGTTCTAGTAGTTTTGGTTGTTAGTTTGTTAGGCCCCAAATTGTGGCCGGGATTTTGGAATTAGCTTATAAGCAGTATTTGTGTTGGGCTCTCTCATTGTAATGAATCCCATCTTGTTAATAAGAGCAGTTTTACACCAGAATTAAGGTACAATGGACTATACCCCTTTGCACTCAAGTTTGAATTCAAATAATAATAGTTATTTGTGTCCCACCCACCCACTTATAAATCCTAGTTACATTAAGAAAGGGTAATTTTAATCCAAGGAAAATCCACGTCTCCTAGCCTAATATATATGGTGCTTGCTGTTTTCAAACATTCAAGATGGATATTGACACCATGGACTAGAAGCCAATATAAAGAACAATAGGTAGAAAATTTGCTAAATCCAACACAAAAATACAAAACCAATCGCTCACTTCTAAGGAAAATATATCTTTCTCTCTAGAAAAAAGAGAAAATATATCTCAATTTCTCAACTTGCATGAATTATTGACTTTGTATTTTGATTTTTAATGGAATACACGAATGACCTTGTATTAATCATAGACTCTTAAGTTATGCGACATGTCCATCCAAAATATCACCCACAGACAATATGAACAGAAACAGATGCATTCTTTGCTATATTGGTAAACTTGATATGGACCGTCCAGAACGAAGTCAGCTGTCTTCATTGGTTTTATGCAAAGGGCAGGTGTCTATAACCCTAATAAGATTTGCTACAATAATTCTAATGAAAAGTTGGCTGTACCGAACTTTTTAGTCCGACGATCTATTTATTTTCGTGATTTATTAATACACATATCATATATGAGCGGACAATAGAATTAATATTTTTTACATTCAAGAGAAAAAAAGGATTTAAAACCCGATATGCAGTAGGTGATAGAAAAACACTCTAATCACTAGAGAAATCTACCACGTACAATAGAGTTGATATGTGAAGAAGATAGAGTACGTATATAGTTCAATAAATAAGAATATAAGATACATGTATTTTTTATGAGCAAAATGCAAATTACGGAATAACGGTCACCACTGAAAGTTACCGAGTCTCTCCGCAATATTGGATGGCGAGAGCATCCAAATCATATCTTATTTAAGGATTCACTCATCAGAATCCAACTGCATTCCTATTTGAATGACCCCAAAAAAAAAAAAAAAAAAAAAAAAAAAAAGAAAAAAGAAAAGAACAGATTTTCGATAGGACTCCATCTTCTTATATATCCAAGCCAAGTCTTTAATTCATCAAACAATCAAACATGCCAAACCAAGAGTCCACTATGGAACCTTCTTCAAAAACTGCAATGGTTCCTCAAGACCTTCCCGTCACCACCGCCGCCACCACCACAACCGCTGCCACAAACCGAAAGAAGCTCACCCTGATCCCTCTCATCTTCTCATCTACTTTGAAGTTGCCGGCGGCCCTTTTGGAGAAGAGCCTGCAGTGCAAGCCGCAGGACCCCTTTTCGCCCTTCTCGGCTTCCTCATCTTCCCATTTATCTGGAGTGTCCCGGAAGCTCTCATCACTGCAGAGCTCTCCACCTGCCTTCCCTGGAAATGGCGGTTATGTCATCTGGGCGACCGTGCTTTTGGTCCTTTCTGGGGCTCTTTGATGGGCACCTGGAAGTACCTAAGCGGCGTCATCAACATTGCAGCATTTCCAGTTCTTTGCATTGATTACATGGACAAGATACTCCCTGCTTTCGAATCCGGTTGGCCTAGGCATCTTGCAATCTCTATTTCTACTCTGATTCTATCTTTCGTAAACTATACTGGTTTAACTATTGTTGGATATGCTGCTGTTCTTCTCGCTGTCGCTTCCCTTTCGCCTTTTATTTTGATGTGTTTGATTGCCATTCCGAAGATTCATCCTCACCGTTGGTTGAGTCTCGGGCGGAAGGGTGTGGAGAAAGATTGGAACTTGTTCTTCAACACCCTCTTTTGGAATTTAAATTTTTGGGACAATGTGAGTACTTTAGCTGGAGAAGTAGATAACCCCCAAAAAACTTTTCCGGTGGCTCTTTTCGTGGCGGTGATCTTTACTTGCTTGGCGTACTTGTTCCCGCTTTTTGCTGTTATTGGTTCGGTTAATGTGGATCAAACTAGATGGGGTTCTGGATTTCATGCAGAGGCTGCTGAAATGATTGCTGGAAAATGGTTGAAGTATTGGATTGAAGTTGGTGCAGTGTTATCTGGAATTGGACTTTTTGAAGCACAACTAAGCAGTTACGGTTACCAACTTCTTGGCATGGCGAATTTAGGGTTCTTGCCTAAGTTTTTTGCTCTTCGGTCCAGTAGGTTTAACACCCCGTGGGTCGGAATTTTACTTTCCACAGTGATAATTCTTGCAGTTTCCTTCATGAACTTTACAGATATTATTGCATCTGCAAATTTCTTGTACAGTTTGGGAATGCTATTGGAATTTTCTGCTTTTCTTTGGTTGAGGAGGAAGTTGCCAGCATTGAAGAGGCCTTATCGAGTTCCGATGAGGCTGCCAGGTTTGGTGATCATGTGCTTGATTCCATCTGGATTTTTGGTCTTTATCATGGCTATTGCTACCAGGACTGTGTACTTGATCAGCGGTTTGATGACCGTGGCGGCAATCGGATGGTACTTTTTAATGAAAATTTTCAAGTCTAAGAAGTTTTGTGCGTTCAGTACTATAGAAGTTGATGAAGGATGACAAGCAGAAATTGCTTATAGTTAGCGAACCATTTCTAATGGCATCGAATTGGGAAACCGGTTGTGCATGATTGAATCTCTTTGTTGATAAAGAAGTCCGAGATTCCATTGATCAAAGTAGAATTTGTTTATATTGAGTTCTATTCAAATTTAAAAAAAAATGTCGAATGACATGAAGTTGCATGGTTTCTGCTATAACTTGTTTCGATCTTATAATCCTTTCTCAAGTAAATTTTAAACAGGCAACACACTCTTCATGGAACTCTTCACTATTTTCCTCCTCAATTCTCCTCTAAACCATTCAATCTCTAAACCAATACGCCACCACTACCCCCGCCGTGTAAGACCACCACTTCATGACTGAAAAGTATCATGCTGACCGTTCCTATGATCTGAACAAGTTCACAAAATTATTTGTTGCAGCGACAAACTGAAACTATGAGAGAGATGATACAAATGTAAAATGAAAAATGTGGTAAGTATAGCATGTCTGATCCTTTCTAATTATTTTTTCTAATGAATCAAAACCCAAGTGAACATATTTCAGTGCAAAAGCACTTACAAAGAGCCTATCCAACCATCCATCAAGCCCAGGAGCTAATTATGAATACTTATATGAAATAAAAATTCCAAGAGTGTCTCAAACTAATGATTCGAGGCTATGTGAGAACATTAGAACAATGACGACCTGTGATATTTTTGGGACATGACTAATGAACTTCTCGATTTCTAGTATCTCTTTAATACGAAGCCTCATAGATTTCAGCCCAATAATTTTAGTCAGTTAAAGCTCATTGAATGTTTGGGTCAAGCATCTTCAGAAAATAATTTCTCGAGAGGGAGTTATGGTCGTAAAATTTATGGACTTGAACACCAGTCGCATGAACCATATCATCCAAATTAAGCACCTAAATTGATTCCAAAGGAACCGCGCCAGCGAAATGAATATGCAAATAGTCTCTGCTTACAAATACTCATTTAATTTGTTTTCTTTAGCTGACACCTTCTTTGAAATCTTGGGTACTTTAGTTGAAGTATACAATTCATACAAAGCTATTCCTTCTCTCTGTTTGATTCCGTCTCCATTTCTGATCTTTGGGATGACTATTGATCCGAAAACACCATACCTATTAGTAGTGATGTGATGAACTTGGTTGGAATTGGATGGCATTGATCCTTTCTAGTTAATGTTTCTTACCAACAATTTGATCCACGGTCATCACACCATATTAACAACTAACGAAGAGAATGTTTGAGGAAGGCAGCGATGAATTGCTTGGTTAGTTTTTTAATATGGTCATCACACCTTATTCACAACTAACTCAAAGAAAGTTTTTTTATTTTTTATTTATTTTAAAAAACGATATTATCTACACTAAAAGTCCAGGTGGGCGGGCTCAGCATTACATGAGCTAGCAATAATGTGGTTCAAGATGAGAATTAAACCTAAGACCTCTCACTTACAAGTGAAGAGAAATACCACTAGACCGTTGTATTAAGGAGCAACTTACTCAAAGGAAGTTTGCTATCAACAATTTTAAATATGTCGGTTTTTGGGAACGGATTTGCCGTACAAGAAAATAATGTAAGATAAATTTAGGAATCTAAAGTTACTCTCGTCCTTCTTTGTTGTTAGGAGCCGAAGAAATTTCCAAGAAAGAAGCTGCATGATCAGTACAAGAAGCGAGAAAGGGAATGAAGGAGGCCATGTTTTGTATCCATATGTTTTATTTACCTCAGACTTTTTGTTGCCACATGAAAATTATTTAACTAGATGGTGAACAATGTACATGTGCATGAAAGTTGTATTCTGGTAATGAATTATAGTTTATTGTCCAAACCACTTAGAGAAAAACTTGGGTGTCACCGTAAATATATCACTCATCATCCTGTTTCACTCATAACGTCCCCTGTCACCATGTAAAAGTTAATCATACCCCCTTCTCACAAGTGACAAGAATGTGTACTGGTATAAGCAATTTCCCAGGAAGCAGCACACTCAGTACAACACCACAAAGAAGCAGCAGAAGAGTTGAAACATTGTTTGAGTATATTAGTTGCATACATTCTGACAGCATTGACAGCATTTTGTTGCATGCCACATGGACCAATTTATATATCCAATGAACTAGCAAGCAAGGCAACCAGCCTTCCAATCCATCCTCCACCTTCAATCTTGAAATCCAATCACATAACTCTTGAAATTCCCATTGAAAATCCAAGAAATCCCAAAGGAAAAAAGAAACACCATGAAATCTCCCCAATCTTCTCCAAAATCGAAAACCTCTCTTCTTGAAAATGAAAAAGAAGTACAAGAATATCCAATGTTTAGCAACACCAAGATCAAAAGCAAAAAACTAGCATTCATCCCACTTGTTTTCCTCATTTACTTTCAAGTCTCCGGTGGTCCCTATGGCACTGAGTCCACTGTCGGTTCCGGGGGGCCTTTCTTTGCCATCCTTGGCTTTCTCCTCTTCCCCATCATCTGGTGCATTCCTGAGGCCCTTGTCACTGCTGAGCTAGCCACTGCCTTTCCTGGCAATGGCGGCTTTGTCATATGGACTCACCAAGCCTTTGGTCCCTTCTGGGGCTTCCTCATTGGTTTCTGGAAGTTCCTTAGTGCTGTCATTAACCTGTCGTCCTACCCAGTTCTCTGTATAGACTACATTGATCCCATGCTACCAACTTTGTCACACTTGCCTCACTATTTTCTCATCTCTCTTTCAACCCTTTTGCTCTCAGTTCTTAACTTCATTGGTCTGCCTACTGTTGGCTATGCTGCAATATTTTTAGGCATTTTATCATACTTGCCATTTGTAGTAATTTCGCTTTTTGCTATTCCCAAAATTGACCCAAGCAAATGGGTTTTTTCTGGCCAAAATAGGAAGAAAAAAAATTGGCCATTGTTTTTTAATTCCTTATTTTGGAACTTAAATTGTTGGGACAATGTTAGTACTTTAGTTCTGGAAGGTGTTAAAAATCCCCCCACAACATTACCAAAAGCATTTCTCTCAGCTGGGTTGTTGACTTTTTTGACTTCCCTAATACCTCTACTAGCTGCAACTGGTGCCATGTCTCTTGACCTAGATGATTGGGTTGATGGGTATTACACAGTTGTGGCAGAAAAAATCGTAGGGAAAAGGTTCAAAAAATGGGTTAGGGCTGGAGCCTTTTTGTCTAGCATTGGTGTCTACCAGTCCCAATTGAGCAGTTGCTCACACCAGCTTTTAGGCATGGCTGAATTAGGGTTGCTACCTAGACTTTTCGGGGCACGGTCAAAATGGTTCGACACTCCTTGGGTGGGAATTTTTATATCAGCAGTGATATCAAACTTGGTTTCTTACATGAAGTTTAGGCATGTCACATCTTTAGTGAATGTTTTGTTCAGTTTGAGCATGCTAGTTGAATTTTCGGCTTTTCTTTGGTTGAGGGTGAAGATTCCGGATTTACAGAGGCCCTTCAGAGTTCCAGTTACAAGGCTGAGAGGGTTAATAGCAGTGTTATTTATTCCGTTTGGAATTTTGGTGTATGTAACTTGTGTTGGCACAAAAGTTGTGTACTTGGTGATTGCTGTGCTGACTGTGTTTGGGATTATTTGGTACCACTGCATGAAGATTTTCCAGGCTTAAATGTGGCTTGGCTTCTACCATCTTGTGGCAAAACTAGCAGATTATGAAGATTTGGGGTGAGTTTATGATATTAATGCTTCTTAAAGACATTTGTTTAAAAAAAAGAGTCTATCTATCTATATTTTTCCATCCGTTTATGATGGTGCTGATTCCATTTTTGTCCTTTGGATGATCTTGCAGCTACTATGACCAATTTGTGAAGAAGTGATTAAGTATTCAATAGATCAAGAATGGAGCTGACTAGTTGTATATACATTTTAGTGAAGTTTTTTAAGTTTGACATATCCCTATCAACTTGATTGATTTATGAGAAGAATAATGTAAGGTTTGTGTTATAAATAAGCTATCAATAATGTGGTTATTAATATTTTTGCTTTGGATCAACTGTGCTAGAATGCATAAATTATATATAGACATTACTACTCGGTTCAAAAAACAATATTCACAATAGTGAAATGACAAAAATGCCCTCAATCAGCTCTTCATTCTCCCTCTTTTTTCCTCCTTGGCACAGTGGAACGATGTCTGTATCCACGACTGCCCACTGCGTCGATTGCTATTAAATGCTCTGCTTCGACTATACAATCTCGATTTTTTCTGTCGTTTCTGTAACAACCCATCCTAATTTTATCGGAACGAATGAGGTATTTTCGTGAAATTTCACCTTAGACTAGATCTTTTTCTTTTAAAATTGGTTTTTGGGTCTTAATGGTGAGCCCAAGGGGCCCACCTCCTGATTTGTCCCTTGGTTCCCTTCCCTTTTTCTTTCTTTTCTTGATTTTTATAACTCTTTCTCTCTCTCCTCTCTTCCCTCACCGTAACCTCATCTTTCTCTCCCTCTTTTCTTCTCTTCTTCCCTCTCCCATGTGACTCCCGGATCTCTCTCCCTCTATGATCTCTCCCTCTCTTCCCAAGTTTGTCACTTACATAAGCAACAACAACCCCAAACCAACATTACTGGACGTAGGAACCTTGAGAAAACTCAAGCAAACCTTCAAGGAACCCCAATAGTGACGGTGTCACTGTTCATCGTCTTCTCCGACGTGTTTCTTGTTTTTCCGACGTTGGTAAGCTTATAGAAACCCTTGGGTTATCTTTTAGGGTTAGATCGAAGGTTGTTTTAAGTGGTGCATACGCGTCAACCGCAGAAAACTGCTCGGAGTAACTTTTCCAAAATTTCCGACGAGTACTGTCCCTGTCGAGGAAATTTCCAGCCAAACCACAGCGATTTGGCTGTATGCAGGTATCAATCTCTTCGTCTTGCTGAGGACTACAACTTTCCTTTTTATTTCATCCAATTTCGTTGAGTATTGAAGAAGTTATATCCATTTGAATCTTACCTAGTTTCCAGCGACCTCCGAGGCTTTCGAGGTGTTTTTTGGCCAAACTAAGGCGAGTTAACGTCGTGCGAGGTACCATTCTCTTTGTCTCATCGAGAACCATGATCCTTAGGCCTGTTTAAACCCAACCCAAACCTTTTATTTTTTTTATTTTGTGTTAAAACCCAAAGGAATAGGGTCAGGCCTTCAAGCCCAACCCATTTGAGAACCTAAGTGAGACAGGCCTTTAGGCCATTAAGCCAGCCTAAGACCCACGAGCTTTCAAGCCCAAACCTAATATAACCCAGCCCTAAAACCCATTTTAAATTTGAAACCCTTAACCGATTAACCCATTATCCGAAGCCCAACCTACCTAAACCTAAACCTAAACCAAACCCAAGTCCAAACCCTAAGCCCTAAACCCAGTTGGAACCTTCCGAGGAATATTCTCTGGAATATTCTTGTGTTGACTTTTATAAAACTTACTTGGGACTCTTCTTAGGATAATTCGACGTCCTGAATTTGTTTCCAACTTCCATTTTTCCAAATTCAATTGTTATAATAAAGTTTTATTAATTGTACCCTTTATGTGCTTAAGGGCAATTTATTGTGGCGTTCTGTCTCGGCTAGTTTGTGTGGCTCTTCGGCAGCTAAGTATATGTGAGTGGACCCATTCTAAAATGCATGTTTTAATAGTAGAAATGCATACATGAAAATCATTATTTTAATGATTACGTTTTATGAAACGTTTTATGAGATAACATGCTTATTGAGGTTACTTTGAATTATTACTATTTTTCCTATAACCCATGTTCTTTATAAAATATCTGATGGATGACAATATAATATTTAGAACACGTTTATAACACCTCTTTATAGTATAGATGATGGATGACTTTATACTATGAAGTTGCCTTTCAAATAAATGTATATTCAATGGTTTTGTACTTACCTAGTGTCCCTATTCCGTTACAGGGGTGAAGGATAGATTCCGTCCTGGGCGATGGTTACAGTGTTGGCATAGGGCCTGAAGGGTTTTTCCTCTGACAATTAGCCCAGGGACGAGGAGCTGGCACGGGGCCTGAAGGTGATTTTCCTCTAGCAATTGGCATAGAGACAGGGATCTGGCATGGGGCCTGGAGGGATATTGAACATTCACTAGTGATTACGATGTATACGAGATATATTTTGAGACATTGCACGACATGCTAGGTTTCGGAAAACCTATTTTTATAATGTTTATGAGTTTTCATAAAACTTGGGGATTAGTATGTTGATAACTGTTTTGTTATATCTATATCAATTTGGTCCACTCATATTTGTTTTGCGCCCCCTTCAAGACTTGGAATCGAGGCATACAATTCCGGTGTTCAGGCACTTCTGCATCGGCATCTTCAAGTCCTCACGGTGTAGGACCCATCCTCTTATTCATTCAATTTTATATTATTTCTTTTTAGTATTGTAATTAGTTGTATACTTTGAACAAGTTCCTTAAATGCATATTCATTATATTTAAATTTATAAGTCTTATTTATTCCTTGTTCTCAACAGTCTTATTTATTCCTTGTTTTCAGCATTTGCATTCAATAAATGGTTTTCGTCACCCTCGGGTATCGACCAGTACGTGCATATTCTGGTGTTCATGGAATATTAGAATCGGAACGTGTCAATTTCCACTTCTCTCTTTCAAACCTCGCTTTCTTTCGCTCTCAAACCTCTGAGTCCGTCGCTCACTAGAACGTTCAAGATTTTTTTTAATAAGCATCTTTAGCTAGTAAGTTTACTTACGTGAGTGGAGAGGTGTTCACAGGTCAATAATTCATTTCCCATATATGGCCAAAAAAATTGACTGATTCATTCCAATCCAAACAATATAATTTATTTCGTTGTTTGTTTGGATTAGATTAGTCACCGAAAACTGATTTGATGCGATTGGTTTGTCCAAAGAAAGCGGAAGAAAAAGCATTGTTTAATATAGTAAATTGTGATGGGTTGAAGAGTTGTATACAAATCATACGATAGAATTATAAGAGGTTTAACAAAACATTTTTGGTATTGTTTACTTTTAACGAAAAACCACGTTTATACATTTCCTTGGTATTATTCACTACATCTTTAAAAAGGGCATTTCATTAAAAATGAAGTTTTTTTTGAATTTTTTGTTAGTTTTCCTTAAAATTATTGGGAGTATCCATACTCAGAGGATTAGCCTCAGGCTTATAGAGGCCAGGAGGACTTATAGAGGCATTTCAGCCTTCTTCTGGCCACAAGTCTGGTTTCCACATCAACAACGGGTTTCGAACACGAGACATCCAGTTTTTAGTTTGAAGGAAACTTGGCAATTCACTCTTTACCACTAGGCCACCAATTTGAAGGAAGACTCACAATCCACCCTTTACCGCCAAATAAATCTATCAATAACTATAACTTATGAACAACTATGTCACGCTGTTCGCCAAACCATATCTAAGCATATAAAATCTGCTGCTAGATACAAAATATAGAGGAAAAGTTCTTATAGCCGCTGATCCTTGTTTTTGGCTTTGAGCGGTCGGAAGCAATTCCTCTGGACACCTCTTTCCCTCTTTGCTTATTTATCTTCTTTATTGGTTGTGATTGTTCTTTCGCACGGTCGAAAAAAGTCTCCGTGGATGTGCTCACTTTTTTACTTGGTCAAGAAAGTCTTTTGTATTTTTTGTTTTAATTGTTTTTTTTTTTTTATAAGTGTTGCTCCTAGGAAACTTGACCTCTGTTGGATTTGATTAATAGCAATTTTTTATGAATTTGCAATTGTAGAGTCGTGTTTCTTTAGTAGTGTGACCTCCTTGGTACTGCTCTATGGAATGTTTTTCCTAAGTAATTCTATCTTTGCAACCAACTTAGACAATCACTCATCAACTCTTGCACCAAGAGAGGATGAGATCAACGACCTTATCTTGATTCTTTTAGCCATTAAACCCATGCGCTCCACATATAATTTATTTTGTTGTTTGTTTGGATTAGATTAGTCATTGAAAACTGATTTGATGTGATTCGTTTGTCCAAAGAAAGCGGAAGAAAAAACATTGCTTAATATAGTAAATTGTGATGGGTTGAAGAGTTGTATACAAATCATACAATAGAATTATTGGGAGTATCCATACTTAAGGAAATGGCGCTTAATTTAGCCTAGGGCTTTCAACTCAAAGAGTGTCACACGCCAAATATATCTTTGTTTTTATTTTTCAAAGGGGAATACCTAGTGGCAAATCACAGTTATCCACTTTTTTCAGAGGCTGGGTAGACTCACAGAGGCATGTCAGCCTCTTCTGGCCACAAGTCTGGTTTCCACACTAGCAGCGGGTTTCAATCATGAGACCTCCCGTTTTTAGTTTGAAGGAAGCTTGGCAATCCACCCTTTACCACTAGGTCACCAATTTGAAGGAAGACTCGCAATCCATCCTTTACCGCCAAATAGATCTATCAATAACTATAACTTATGAACAACTATGTCACGCTGTTCGCCAAACCATATCTAAGCATATAAAATCAGCTGCTAGATAGAAAAACTAGAGGAAAAGTTCTTATAGCCGCGGATCCTCGTTTTTGGCTTTGAGGGTCGGAAGCAATTCCTCTGGACACCTCTTTCCCTCTTTACTTATTTATCTTCTCTATTGGTTGTGATTGCTCTCTCGCACGGTCGAAAAAAGTTTTTGTGGTTGTGCTCACTTTTTTACTTTGTCGAGAAAAATCTTTTGTATTTTTTGTTTTAATTGTTTTTTATAATTGTTGCTCTTAGGAAATAACTACAGGAAACTCGACCTCTGTTGAATTTGATTAATAGCAATTTTTTATGAGTTTGAAATTGTAGAGTCGTGTTTCTTTAGTAGTGTGACCTCCTTGGTACTGCTCTATGGAATGTTTTTCCAAGTAATTCTATCTTTTCAACCAACTTGAGTAATCACCCATCGACTCTTGCACCAAGAAAGGATGAGATCAACGAACCTTATCTTGATTCTTTTAGCCATTAAACCCATGCGATCGACATATTGTGCTTGTCAAGATAAAACTAGTACTAAATTTCACTTTCACTGACCAAATATTTATAAATTGCACATTTCAACTTTTTCCTGCTTGAGATACGATAAACTTGGAATATAACATCCACTCACTCGCAACTTGGCACGGAAAAAGTCATTATTGTCTCTATCCAAAGGTTGCAAGCGATTAAGTAATAACTAATGAATGAAATTCATCCTCATCCTCATCAAACAGTATTCCCATACAATTGAATTGTATACACACATCCACTTATCTGCCACATGGCAGGCCGATTTTACCATGATCACGATAGTTGGTTACATGCCACGTTTGATCGAGCCCACATTACGTCATGTCCAATTGCTGCTGCTATGTCATCCCTTCCTTTCCGACCCTTATCCCCTTTGTTTTTATCAATCAATTCAGTAATAGTGGTTGGCTATTGAATCAAAAGAGTTTTAACAAAATATTTTTAGTATTATTTATTTTTAATGAAAATGATATTTTTATTTTAAAAAATCATTCATAGTACTAATCACTTACAACATATTTTTATCATTTTGATTAAAATTTAAAGTTTTCAAGTTCTTTTGATTAGTTTTCTTTGAATCAATACCATGCAATATAATTTGTAACATTTCACATCGCCTAGGGAGAGTGATTCTTAAATGTATATTTCCATCCCTACCTAGCACGAGGTCTTTTGGGAGCTCACTGGCTTCGGGTTCCGTAGGAACTCCGAAGTTAAGCGAGAAGGAGGCCAGAGCAATCCCATGATGGATGACCCACTAGGAAGTTGCTCGTGAGTTCCCAAAAACAAAACCGTGAGGGCGTGGTCGGGGCTCAAAGCGGACAATATAGTGCTACGGTGGTGGAGCAGGCCCGGGAAGTGATCCGTCCCGGGTCGGGATGTGACATAATTAGTTTGCATAATATGATCAGTGCACACTTTAGTGATATATTTTCAAAGTGTTGAGTAATAATAAGTTAGCAATTTAGTTTATTTTTATCTTAAGGAATGTTTAGTATTTTATGTATTATGATTTTCTATTAGGATAAAGATTGTGATTGTTTTTCTATTTGTTAGTAGAGTTCGAGACTATATTCATGTTTGTTTCAGGATCAAATCTTTGTAAATGTACCTATTTTGTAAAGAATGAAGTCTTAGTAAGGATGTGGAAGTTTAATTATGAGACGCTGAAATATTATGTGAATCTTTTCTATCCGTAAAAAAAACTGAATGTAAACAGAATCATATGGGGCCAGCGGCCATTTATAATAGGGTTGTTTAGATATAGGCCCTTGTAACTGATATTATCTAGACAAAAACCCACCTCATATTAAACATCCAAATAAAATCCAAAATTCAAATAGTCTGCCATGTTGACAAATAAACGACATATCCGTATAAAATATTTACAACTTACGCCACAATGACCTAATATATGTCAATAAATATTATTATTACTCACCTTCAATTATGCTAGCAATGAGCAATTGAGCTCCTATTTTAAAACCACGTATTACAAACTATTTACCTATATTTTAAAAATTTACTAATTTACCTACATTCTTTTGATACAAACTAATTGACCTACATTCTTTTGATACAAACTATTTACCTATATTTAAATAAAAAAAATCACTAATTTACATACATTCTTTTGTTACAAGCTAATTTATTTGCATTTTTGTAGTACATACTAATTTACCAATCTACTTATTAATTTACCTATATAAATAATACTGTCATGCATATTATTACTTATAATAATCATATACATTTTTTCTTTACAATATCACACCTATGTGGTAGGTAAATTATTTTTACAGGATTTCTATTCTAAGTGGGTACTAACATATGGATAGGTAAATTATTTTCTATGGAAAGAAAAAAATACAACCATTATTTTGTATAATTTTTTTTGACAGAAATTATTTGTCCATGTCTCAACGTAAAACACCATAATTTTTTTTATTTATATTATATATTGCATGCTAATAAGGTAAGCTAGTTTCACGATAAAACAATTTTTGGTAAAAAAATTTGAGAAAAAAAAGGCCTAATCAAATAATAGATTAATTGACATTTAATTGCATTGAAAATAATAAATGCAATGCAAATTTATGATTAATTATAAGTCAAATCTAACCCACGTTACACTGTATGAGGGTATTTTAGGAACACAAAAATTATAAAACTGACATACCAAGCTTGTTAAGGAAATTTGCTTAGTTGGACTCTAGTAAATGGGGTTTATGTCTGAAAAAAATAAAAAGGATGAGTGAGAAAAATAAGTTTTAAGGGTTCAATTTATAATATATGGTTTTTGAGGGAAAAAAAAATATTTGCCGTCCAATCTGAAATTAGATGTTTTCGAACATGACTAATGCAATTACAATATGTTTCCTTTTTACAGAGTCCACCATCTAACCGTTTCTATAAATAATTAGTCCATGGCCTACGACGCAATTGCACAATACACTTCTTTGATGCAAAACAACGCTTATTTTTTTTTTTGGCAAACATCACTTCCTCCTTAGCTGCAAAAAGCACTTCTTGCTTAATTTGCTTTGCTGCAAAACCACACTTCTCTGCTAAAATGTGGAGTATCGAGCTTACCGATTTGATCCCGGGTCTGCCTGCAGAACTCGGACTCGAGTGTCTGACGCGGTTGCCCTACTCAGCTCATCCAGTTGCTTCCCGGGTCTGCAGTCCATGGCGGACTCTGTTGGAAAGCCAAGAATTTTACCATCACAGGAAGAAAATCGCGCGCACCCACAAAGTTGCATGCTTGGTTCAAGCTCTTCCTCGAAAGCTTGTTGCCTCAGAATCTGACGTACCTAAATCCACCGAGTCACCGAGTTTCGGAATCACCGTGTTTGACCCGGTGAGTCGTTCGTGGGATAGACTCGACCCGGTTCCTCAGTACCCAAATGGTATGCCCTTGTTTTGCCAATTGGCAAGCTGTGAAGGGAAGCTTGTGGCGATTGGCGGGTGGGACCCGGTGAGTTACAGCCCGGTCACAGACGTGTTTGTGTACGACTTCACCACTTCACGTTGGAAGAAAGCCAACGACATGCCGTCCAAGCGCTCTTTTTTCGCCATCGGATCGGACGCTGGACGGGTCTACGTGGCGGGTGGGCACGACGAGAACAAGGACGCGTTGAAGTCTGCATGGGTTTATGATGTGAGACTAGACGAGTGGACTGAGTTGACTCAGATGAGTCAGGAGCGAGACGAGTGTCAGGGGGTGATGATAGGGAGCGAGTTTTGGGTGGTTAGCGGGTATCGCACCGAGAGTCAAGGAGTCTTCGAGGCAGGTGCCGAGGTGTTGGAGTTGGGGTCGGGGCGGTGGCGGCTGGAGGACGAGGCGTGGGAGGCGGGACATTGTCCGAGGCATTGTGTTGGAGTAGGGGAAGATGGGAGATTGGTGAGTCGGGGTGAGTTGGACTCGGCGGTCCGAGTTGGAACCTGCGGTGTCATTCTTGGGGGTGGGACCCTGGTGGTGGGGTCGGAGTACCAAGGGTCAAGTCAAGGGTTCTATATGGCGGAAGAAACGAAGGGAGGGCAAAATGGCAAATTAGATAGGATTAGTGTGCCTGACGAGTTTTCTGGGTTTGTTCAATCAGGTTGCTGCGTTGAGATTTAGATATTAACTAGTAAGGATAATGACACATGAGTATATGTATGATTTTTGGGTGCAACCTTTTTTCTTTATTTGAATGTATGACGTATAGTTTTGGTATCTTACGTTCGTAATACCTACATGCATTATATATACAAGAATTGTATAGGGTCTTTTCGAGTGTTCCTTCGTTTCGGCAAATAGGCTCTAGGACTCATCACACTATGAAGAATTGCGGTACATTCGATGGTTCGAGATTGGAGAAAAATTTACATGAACTTGAAAAATATACACGAAACTTGAAACGTAGACATAAAATTTATATCGCTAGTTTGAGATATTTGGTACCTTAACATCTTATTATTTTAGTTGCATGTAAGCTTTTTTCGTGCGATTTTCTATTAACCCTTATTACAGTTTGAAACAGTTTATTTGCAACTGATGAAATGCAAAACTTGAGATAGCCTCGAGATAGCACCACCTTTAGCATCCTATTGACCTAGTTGCACGTGAATTTTTATCATACGGGTTGTCTCTGTTTCTTTATTACGCTGGATGAAAATTTAGATGCAATTGAAATACAGACCTAGATATCCCTATTGTCCTAATTGCACGCAAGTATTTATGATGGTGTTTGTTTGCTAGTCCTTCCTTCGTTTATGAATCACAATGCGTTGACGGTTCAAGGTCGGCACTGACAAACGTCCTATCATAGCTCACTAGCAAGAGCGCCTATGCCATACTGCAAGTTTTAAAACAATACAAAAATGTAGTAAGTATATATACGTGGAAATCTATATACATATATGTGAAAATTTATTTACACCCTATTTACAATAAGAAACAAAATAAGTGTTGCACCAAACTATTTACGTACATGTGATGATCCGTTCTTTGGTTTTGCCACATTCAGAATGGCACCCAAACCTGATGTTTGAAAAGAAAATATTTGGTATTACACAACGATTGAACATAGGGGATCAACTTTGGCTACATAAACCAAAACCGTAACATATATTTCGGGCAGAACACCAACCCTGTAGAGATGCCACAGCTGAGGATGCAAGTTTTATCAAAGAAGCCAGGGGGATTGATCTTGGCAAGTCAGCCAGAATGAACAACAGTGTATTCACCGAAGATGGATGTGCCAAGAAAATGATTAGTCGAAGTCCCGTTTATAGAAAACCTCGGTTTTGGTTGCTAAGCATGACTCCTCTATCTGTATTAATTCTTTAAATGTCACATACATTGCTTTCCTCGAACTTGCAATGCACACAATCCCCCCAGTCCCTAGTGAAAACTGGTAGCACATCACCAACCTGGAGGCCTTCAACACCTTTTCCAACACTCTTAGCAATGCTGTAAAAAATTAAGCACTTCCATTCATAATTTGGAATAATTCAGAGTTGCAAGCAAGAAAAAAAAAAAAGAATCATGACTAGAAAGCAATGAGAAAATTATAAAATAAAAGAAAAAAAAAAACAATTCCACAGAACTTGAAACACAATTTGAACAAAAAAAAAGAGTTCTCAATTAGAGAAAACTTCAATTTTATGTAATTTTTTTTTCTGTTCTAATTTTAGGGTATAACAATGCAATGTTGGAACTTGCATTTGATTATTTATTGAGCCACAAATGTATTTTTTAGTAGAATTTAAGCTGAAGTTCAAAAATAAAAGAAAAATAATTATAGTGGAGCCCAAAACATTGCTAAAATGGGAATCCATCCTCAAGAATATCAACGAAAAGTCTTAAATGAATTTTCAAGACCTTACGGTGCGGTATGGTGAAAGGCTATATATTTTATGACGAATTTTGTACATTTTTCCAAAACCGCCTAAAAATTGTAATGGGTAGCCCATGTGTTTGGAGAAAATGCAATTTTTTGTTTTCGCGAAATATTTTTGATGGCCATTAAGAAAAATTGTATAGGCACAAATGCTTTTTTAATATACTGTTTAAGCTGAAAACATAGTAGGGCCCAAAACTTTGCCAAAACAGGACTCTATCCTCAAGAATACCTACGAAAACTCTTACATGGTTTTGCGCAAAACCTCACGATGCATTGAAGGTGAAATTATATAGTTTTTGTAACAATTTTTAAACTATTTTGCAAAACTACCAAAAAGCTGTGATGTTTAGCCCTTTTTTTTAAAAAAAAATTCAAACAAAAAACAAATTTGCAAACCATGACAGCTCGTCCCGAATTATTTGTAACTTTAGTGTGAAAAGACGATTTTGCCTCTGGACGTTAATTAGCGTTGTAGGGTGTTTGATTTGTGTTGGTTGGTGGGCTGCCATTTGGACCACACACACCCATCCCTTTTTCCCCGTGACTTCCTCTCTTTTCTTTCTCTTGGATTTTCTTCCATTTCCCTTGCAAGTGTATGGACGAACTTCAAAACCAACCTTTCACGCGTGGATCGACGTCTAGAAGGTAAGATTCGAACTCCTTGCAAGCTCCTGAGTTCATCCTTACTATTTTTAGAACCTGAAACCCTCGAAAACCCAAGAACCCGAGAACCTAGTTTTCATGCACTATTCATGCACTCATGATCACGGAGGTTTCATCGAGTTTTGAGGTTATAGGGAGCTTTAGAATCTTCTCACGAAGCTCGGGGAACAAGTTTGAAGGATTTTGGACGTCGGGATAGCAAGTTCTAAGGTTGACCGGATTTTGCGAGATTTCTCCAGCGAGATTCCGACAATTTTGGGGCTTCAAAGGTAAGGTTTTGTTTTACTCAATGTAAGCTTCATATTGGTACAAATTTCATGGAATTTGGTTAAGAAATGAAGAAAATCTTCCCAGTTTCCAGCGATGCAAATGGCAGCCGGCGGCGGCTCCGACGAGGATCATCGGAGAAGACGACGGAATATTCCATCAACTCTGACGGAATATTCCTAACGGCAGTTAACAACGTCATGTTAGTTTTAACGGAATATGCTTGCTTTTGGACGGAATATTCCCTAATGCCGTTAGGGATTCCATCCGTGTGCTAGGCACGTGCCTACGCATGGCCGGCACGTGGGGGCGCGAGAGACCTCAGAAAGTTATTTTAAAAATATGGGGATGTTCGTGAGGTTGAGTAGATCACGTTGGTATATTCAAACACCCCATTTGAGCATTGTATGAGAAATTATTACATATGTGCATTAAATTGATGTTTATATAGTTGTTTCGCATATAGGTGAGACCTATCCTGAGGACGAGCACAGTCACTCGAGGCTCGGAGGCTATGACCCTTCCACATACCAGTGAGTGGGCTTTTGGTTTTTCGTATATATACTTGAGAGTTTTCCCAGAAAATGGAATTGAATGTTTATATGTTTTAAAATGCCATGCAAAGTGTCTGCCTATTTAATTGTGTTAGTAGTTGCAAATATTTATGATTGGTGCTGCGGACGCACATGTAAGTGCCAGGTAAGTTTATAGATTATGGTTGTGAATTAGTGGTTATGTGAGATGCATTGAAAGCTCATAAACCTGCACTCTGGTGTTAGTGTTCCCACCCAGAGTTATGGCACATCTTTCACGTGATCGTTCACCTACTGCACCATACGCTCACCTTGAATCCAAGGTAGGTGCCAGCCTGTTGTACAGACCACATTAGGTGGTTTTGACTCGTAGGTGACTTGCAATACTTCGCACAACCTTCACGTGATTGTAGCACTTGAGCGTATTTATTTACACTCAACCTGTCGTACATACCACTTTAGGTGGTTCTGACTCGTGTGCAGGTATAGTTGTTGAGTTGTGGATTTGAGCGCTAGATTCAGCCGTACAGGTCACGTTAGGTGACTCCGGCTGATATATCATTTGCATTGATTGACATTACCTGGGTTACTTACATCTTATGTTGAGATATTCGATATGGCATATTTACAGATGTTGTTATTCTGAGCATGATTTCGATATATATATATATATATATATATATATTCTGTTTTCTGGGAAATTATACAGGGTTTATGGAGAGGGGTTAGAACTTTTGAGAATGAAATGATTTTGAAAAGCTTTGTTTTTGCCCACTCACACTTTCTGTTTTGTGCCCCTCCAAGTTCTAGTTAGAAGCGCTTTGTTGGCTCACGAGGACTTGACAGTGGTTCTGACATAACGACACAAATGTAGGATCACCTTTGGGTGTTGTGTAATTAGTATTCGTTCTTCTGGACTGCACTTAGGCTTTATGTGCTCTGAATTTTGTCTATCACTTTTAGTCTCACACTAGTGTGTTACTTTAACTAGCTTTTGGTAGTTTGGTTTTTATTTATTCGTACTTTTACTATTATTTTTGCTTCCGCACTGTGTACATGGCTACGTCACCCTCACATAACGGCCAGTACACCTTAATTTCGGTTGGGGTATGTCACAAACTTTTTTCCTTCATGATTAAGAATAAGTTTATAAGCAATTGAAATCAGTTTTACCCTTTCTTAAACCACAAATGTATTTTCAAAAGAATATTTAAGTCAAAATCTGAAAATCCTTTCTTTGCCTCCTTGCAATACTTATCAGTCTTGACCGCAATTCTAAGGCCTTAAATACTTTCTCCTCGCTGTGTACATTTGTACCTCCACTACACATCTCAGAATACTTGCAATACATTTCTTTCAAATCCAGTAAAATGTCCTTCAGTCCACCATTCTCGATTTCTGATTTTGAAATAAACTTTTTCAAGGGTTTGGAGAATCCATTGCTCTCCAAGAATCAAGCCATAGAGCGGAGTGTTTGATTATTGGACATGAGTTTATAGATAAATTTTGGTTTTAGTTTCAATTGAATTTTGTCTTTAAAGGTAATTGTACAGTAGGAAAAAGGGACAATTTTTCTCAATCTCATGGCAAAAACGAAAAAAAAAAAAAAACAAAAAAAAAAAATCTCAAACAAAATTGAAAATTAATATATATACCACTTTGATTAAATGAAAGCACAAAAATGACATAAAATAAATAAAACCTAAAATGCTGATATGGACAAATTCATAGTACTTTAATTAAATTTTAAAAAGAGACAAATGTTTAATCATAAAATATGAAAGATAACTAGGGAATTCTAATTTTCTCAACACATAAAAAAAAATAATAAAAAAAAAAAAAAAAAAAAACAAATCCTAAAAGACCATAATAAACGTCTTGCATGGGTTGAAAAACTACTTAGTTGACCTATACGTACAATAAAAGATGAGCCTAATTCAATGTCGATCTGTCAATTCATAAGTAGGTATGTATTAATATTGCGTGTTACACCACCTACCCACTAGAGAAGAATTTATACGCACACTGTTTCTTTTTTTAAAATAGGAACAACGGATGGTAAGTCATGATTATCTACTTCTTTTAAGACCAGAGAGACTATAAGGAATTTCACCATGCTTGTGGTCAGGGTCAAGCAGACTCACCAGATCGGACCATTGGACTCGGAATCTCCAACATTCTTTTTGTTTATTGAGAAACCGTAGTCAGCACCCTTACCACTGTAGTTTATATGCACTAAGTTTGTGTGACTATTTGTGTGACTAATAAAATTTGTGTGACCAATAGACCTATCTCACGAGCTAGGAATATCTATATATATGTGCCTTAATTTGTTGTAGTCGGACTCTTACCTATGTATGCGAGCCACAGTTAATTACTAGACATAACTGATTTGCATGAGCATTAGCGAATTTTTTTTTCTTTTTTCTAACAAGTGATTGTCATACTGTCACATTACACATAAAAATATTTCTGCACCTTGTCGTAGAACTGACGTAAAGCAACACCTAGCACTTAGGATTAGGTAATTTAGTGCCCAACCTAAAGCTCACGTGATCAAGCTAGCATTCTAATTGCATTTGATGGTAGGTTAGATGTTAATACACAGAGTAGAAGGGTAGATATAGAATATCCAAGTATATGTATTAGTCGCTGGATCAAAACTCTACTATATAGATAGTAAACTAAGCACTCTCTTCTCCCGTACCCAGATTGTAGAAGACTTAACAACTATGGCCAAAACCATCTCCGACCTCTCAGATATCACTGACTTTGTTATAAACAAAGGCAATGGAGTAAAGGGACTCTCAGAATTGGGCCTCAAAAGCATCCCCAACCAATACATCCAACCCCTTGAAGAAAGAATCGGTACTATGATAATGTCCCAAGACTCCATTCCTATCATTGACATGTCGAATTGGAACGACCCGAAAGTGGTAGAATCTATTTGCAGTGCAGCAGAGAAGTTGGGGTTCTTTCAGCTAGTGAATCACGGGGTGCCGGTTGAAGTGCTCGAGAATGTGAAGGAAGCAACTCATCGCTTCTTTTTGTTGCCAGCTGAGGCGAAGAGTAAGTACTCGAAAGAGCGTTCGCCTTCGAACAATGTCCAATATGGCACGAGCTTTAATCCTCAAGCAGAGAAGGCTCTGGAGTGGAAAGATTTCCTTGGTCTCTATGCTTATGGGGACGAGCATGAGGCCTCTGCGTTTTGGCCTCCTGTGTGCAGGTAAGAAGTAAATTAATGCACCCTAACATGTACATGAAGTAAAATTCACCCTAACATGTACATCCATTTTATAAATTCAGGTATACAGCATGATAAACTAAGTTGCACAGGTACTGGTAGAGATACGCTACAAGTACGAACACTATACAAAATAAATTTCCAAAAATTAGGACACGAATAAAGCTATAAAAATAATAAATGATACACGTTCAAACACAAGATTGCTAGTAAGTACATTCATATCATGTTCATTTTCCATATCATTCCGCTCATAAGAAAGAACTTTTAATCATAACAAAGATCACTTGTAGGACAGTGGCTAGTTAGCAGACACCAAATCTACGATATATAGCGTATCATGGATATTAATTTGGTTGATATATTTTGTCAATCATGTCAAATATGAACCAAATAGTAAGTATCGACCAAGTATGGAGATCGTACCACATATGATAGATTAGTACGTACTAAACAATTCATTTCTCATTGCCATCATCTTAAAAGTCATTATATCTTCTTTAGATTTTTTAACTGATTAATCTGAATAAAAGTATTTATACCAAGTTATCGACTATGTATATATGTATTTATGGTTTTAGGGATGAAGTACTTGAATATATGAAGAAGTCTGAAATTCTTACAAAACGACTCGTAGAGTTGCTAATGAGAAGACTAAATGTGAAAGAAATAGACAAAGCAAAAGAATATCTTTTAATGGGGGCCAAGCGGATCCAGCTCAACTACTACCCCATTTGCCCAAATCCTGAGCTCGCAGTCGGAAATGGCCGTCACTCTGATATCTCAACGCTTACAATCCTCCTTCAGGACGATATTGGTGGGCTTTACGTGCGAAGGAATGACAATGGCAATGACAAGGATAGTGGCTGGATTCATGTTCCACCTGTGAAGGGGTCCTTAGTTATCAACATTGGTGATGCACTGCAAATAATAAGCAATGGGCGATACAAGAGCGTTGAGCATCGAGTAGCGGTCAGTTCAAGTAAGAACAGGGTTTCGATTCCCATATTTGTCTTCCCAAGGCCATCTGAGATGATCTCTCCGCTGCTAGAAGTGCTTGAAAGTGGCGAGAAACCAGTGTATAAGTCAGTTCTCTTTTCTGATTATGTCAAGCATTTCTTTGCGAAGCCCCATAATGGAAAGACAACGATTGAGTTTGCCAAAATATGAAGATTATGCACTACGCACGAAAATTTTCTCATGTAGTAAGAGATGCGATTAAATCTCTTAAATGTATGCATTCTTATCCTACTACAACTCATCATATCCAACTCTAAATTGAACTGAGTATGTGATCTGATTTTCTTCTTCTTCTTTGTGACAGCTTGACGAATATGAAATATCCTTCTTTGACCGTTTATATTGAATCTTTCTCCTTTCACACTAAATGCACACAAAGAAAATGATGCAAATCCAACTGTTCACAAGGAGTCTATGACAATTATAACCTCAGAGAAGTTTAAACTTACAAACTATGCCTAGGCATGGTGGCGAGAGAAGAAGACGAGCGTGTCACCTGGGACGACTGCACGACTGCAGCTCGTCTGTGTGGTCAGAGATCATAGATCTCCACAGGATATCGCACGAAGGCGATGAGGTTAACGGAGAGATCGAGGGACGAAACGGTTCGTATGGATTTCTCCTGGGTTTTGGACGTCGGCTCGGTTTACGCGTCGCGGCTTTAGGCTGCGGTTATGCATTATACTGAATGTTCATGCAATTAGATTTAAAAAATTTCGACTGCATTTTCAAAGAACTTTGATTGTGATGATAAATATTGTGGACGAGTTTGCAGGAGTTCCTCCTCCAATTTCTTCCATCTTCAAAACGTGTATTTCATTCGACATAAAAATAAATTGAATTAATAATAGTATATGAATTTAAAACAGTAAAACTTTTATTCATAATAATGATTAAAACAGTAATAATCTCCTTATTGAAGATGAACAATTTTTTTTAGTGCAGTGTCAAGAACATGCTGGTGTTGTGGCCTATTTTAGAGAAGGAGGTGACGGATTTTGTGGCCTATTTTAGAGAAGGAAGAGATAGACGGGCTGGCAGAGGGAGAATATAAAGACGAGGCTTGAGGAATTCTGTATTTTATTCCCGGATCTTGTGACTTTATTTATATTTATAGTAAATCAAGTAGGATTTTTGCTTGCAAGTAATACAATTCTAAAGTGAAATGATCTTATAGTATCTTAAGTATAATTTACTAATAATTTACACAATCACATATATACTAAATGTATATATACAAGACTGCATAAGTAATATTTCATTGTAAGAAGGATGCTAGCTACCTATTTTTTATTACCTTTCTTAACCTGTCTTTCCCAACTCTTTGTTACCATGTGAACTCTACTATTGTTTAAAACTTAATATTTAATATATTTAAAATCTACTTCGTGTATATATATGTACAATTACAAATAAGTCAAACTCAATCTCAATGTACATATGTCAATGCATAATTAGATATGTATTAATATTGCGTGTTACATCACCTACCCCCGATACAAGAATTTGTATGCACTGCGAAAATTGGCTATAAAATGAAGGATCTTCTTCGGATTCATTTTGTGGAAATCTTAGAGATTATTACATTCTAACCGTTTATCGTACTTTGTTCAATCAATTTTCGTCTGATACTATTTGTATTTAATTTTAAATAAAAAAAAGTCAAATAATTTCTGACTGCACGATATACGATAAATTGTTAAAATGTAAAAATTTCTAAAATCCCTACAAAATGAAGCCCAAATCAATTCCCTATAAAATACCGTTCTATATGGGAAATAAAGTTGGTGTGCCTAAAAAGTTTGCGTGACTAATAAAATTAGTGTGAATATATATATACCTTAATTTGTTGTAGTCTTTGACTCTTGCCTGTGTATGCGAGCCACTAGTTAGTTGGCTAAAAATAAATGATTTGAATGAGCATTATTGTGTAACACTTAAAAATACATGGGAAGTCAATGGCTAATTTGGAATGGGCAAAGAGCAAAATTCTGGCTTGACTGGTGGGTAGGTGAAGGCCCACTGCTGCACGCTATTGTAGTAGCACTAAGATAAAACAACACCTAACACATAAGACTAGGTAATTTAGTGCCCAACCTAAAGCTCACGTGATCAAGAAGCATTCTAATTGCATTTGATTCTAGGTTAGTTGTTAATATACAGAGCTGGAGGATAGATATAGAATAAGGAAAACTAATGAAAATGATTTGGAAACTTTGAGTTTAACGATAAGAACAAAATAAAGGGTAAAGTGAATAGTACCAGGATTGACTTTTTAATGTAAAAATATGATTTTTCGTTAAAGTGAACAGTACTGAAAGCTTTTCGTTAAAGTTCCTACAGAATATGCAAGTATATATAGTCAATTAAGTACTCTCTTCTCCAGTTCCCAGATTGTAGAAGACTTAACAACTATAGGCCCAAAAACCATCACTAACCTCTCACATATCACTGACTTTGTTATAAACAAAGGTAATGGAGTAAAGGGTCTCTCAGAATTGGGCCTCAAAAGCATTCCCTACCAATATATACAACCCCTTGAAGAAAGAATTCAGTACCATGATAATGTCAAAAGACTCCATCCCTATCATTCACATGTCGAACTGGGACGACCGGAAAGTGGCCAGATTCTATTTGCAAGGCAGCAGAAAAGTGGGGGTTCTTTCAGTTAGTAAATCATGGGGTTCCCATTCAAGTGCTTGAGAATGTGGAGGCAACTATCGCTTCTTTGAGTTGCCAGTTGAGGAGGAGTAAGTATTTGAACGAACATTCGCCTGAGCATTCGACTTCATACCATATCCAATTCGGCCAATGCAAGCAACAATAGGGTTTCAGGTCCCAATGCCAGCAACAAGAGCAGTGAGCATCGAGTGTCTGCCAATGCGAGCAACAATAGGGTTTCAGTTCCCATATTTGTCACTCCAAGGCCTTCGGAAATCATCTCTCCGCTGCCGGAAGTGCTTGTGAGTGGGGAGAAACCAGTGTATAAGCAAGTTCTGTATTCTGATTATGTCAAGCATTTCTTTGCGAAGCCCCATGATGGGAAGAGAACGATTGAGTTTGCCAAAATATAAACGTCATGCACTACGCATGAAAATGTTCTCATGTAAGAAATGTGATCAATAATGACCATTAAAGCCAAGCTCAATAGCAAATGAGATATGTACCACCAAATAAACAAAATTAAAGACACTAAAATTGATAGACAATGAAGCCATAAGCCATTACATGGGATGACTGACCAAGAATACTCTCTGAAATCACCTCTGAAAAATCTTTCAACGTGAGACCCCCGATATATAATTTCTTTTGTAATCAATTTAGAATGTTGCCAAGTGACCATTATTAAACAGAAACACTTCTAGCAAACTGAAATTTACAGTGTAATGCTAGCCGAAAACTTGGCCTATTCACCCATAAAAAGGGAGGTGGACTCTGTTGGCTGACAGTCGAGTCTGCTGGGCGCTGCTACATTCTGCTCCGAACAGAGAGCTCATGCTTAACTTGGTCCCTCAAAACTCTTCTTAGTAACTTGTTGGAGGCTGTTCGAGGAAATTCTGGTACAATCTTGACCAAGCTCACCTGTCCAGTCCATTAAAATGTTTGAAAACTTCAGAACCTTCAGAGGAAAAAAAAAATTGCTAAAAATGCCGTGAACATGCTTTGGTTTCTGAAGCAGCAACAAAGAAACACAGGCAAACTGTCACGGGACATGTTTTTGTTTTGAAAATTATTAGAAGTCAAACCTTAAACAAAGGGTTAAGGTTGCTTTGAATGGCTTTTGAGAATTTCTTCTTTAGCTCGTCTGGTTCGGAGTCGTATCCCTTCTTTAATACGACATATATAACCAACTGTTCAGGACCACCACTCTTGGGTGCAACACTGACTGCAGCTGTCTCCAAGATGCTTTCATCAGCCCGGTCACAGACGCGCTCGATTTCAACAGAACTTGTCTGAAATTCAAGAAAGATCGAAGGCATTTAATGTTTGGAAAACGAGTCCGAGCATATCAGTTTAAATGTAAACAGATGATCAGGCAACAAAGCTTGCACTTGCTCATCAAATAAAGGGTGCTGGTGAATACTTTACCTTGATGCCACCGAGGTTCATGGTATCATCGGACCTGCCTTGAACAATCAAATAGCCTCCAACAGTTCTTTTAAGTATGTCTCCGTGTCTCCTAAGTTGCTAACGATCATATGTCAAGTAATAGAAAAGATTCTTACTTTCATCACAGATCAATTGCGGTACCAAACATAATTTCAAAAGATTAGATAAGTTCACATTTAAGCATATGAAGAGGTTCAAGTATTGTAAGAAATGTAGTTCTGATCTTACCGTTCCATTATACATTGGCATTCCCTTGAAGTAAACATTTTCATGATCAGCATTTAGCAGCCTGTCAGTCGCTCCCATTAATAGCGGGAACAAACCCACTTCCCCAACACAAGCTTGCTCCTCTGGCTGTATGATCAAGCAGATCAAAGATATTGACATACAATATAGTCTAATAATATAAATGAGTTGACTTTGTTCCTTGATGTTTGTTCTTATTATTTTTTCCCGCCTGTCACCCATCGTTCAGGACTCGCATGATGTAAACGAGTGACAGGTAGGTTAAAGGAATTGAACCACAATTAGAAACCAGCTAGTCATGTGCTTACATAAGGAATTCCATGTTCATCAAATACGACAAAGCCTGTTGTCATCGACTTTGTGCTAAATGCTCCAAAAGCTTGTGGCTGCAGCCAACTTCCCATGATGTAGGACGAAGCAAGTTCTGTGCCCCCACAACATTCAATGATGGGTCCATAGTAAGCACGGGAAGCGAGCCAAAGGTCGTCATCAACACTAGACGCTTCACCAGTGGAACAAAATGATCTGCACAAACTGGTGTTTTAAGTCCATATTCTCGGTCTCATGTTAATAAATCGTTCTGAAGTTTAAATAAAAAGATTACCTTATCTTTGTCCAGTCTAGGCCTTTCATACACTGTGTACTCTTCCAAGCCTTTACTAAGCTAGGAACTGTGCCCAATATAGTTACTCCGGCATCCTGAACAGATACAATAGAGGAAAGTAAGAAGGCATTCAATAGCATGGTACTCGTAGGTAGTTACTAGTTATAATACATGATGTTCTTGCACTGTTTATATGAACTTTGAGCAAAAGTATATAGGTTTCACCTGAACAAATTTTCCAAAGCCACGACCGAGAGGAGACCCATGATACAGAGCAAGAGTTGAACCAGTCAGAAAGCACGAGTAGAGTAAGATTGGACCCATAACCCATCCCAAATTTGTTGGCCAGCAGAAGACATCCCCAACTTGATTATCATTGTGAGCCCATGAATCAGCAACAGCTCTAATTGGTGAAAGTTGTGTCCATGGAATAGCTTTCGGGTCTCCTGATATACACCAAAATATAAACCGAAGATCAAAAGATGAAAATGTGTTACAAAGTAGAGCTAACCATCAAAGTTTTTTTTAAAGCAATTTCTTTACCTGTGGTTCCAGATGAAAAGAGAATATTAGTCACCGAGTCGACTGGCTGATAGACTGGAGAGTAGTAGTTCTTTCTGCAAAGAAGAGAATAGCGTTACATGGATATACAAATTGGTTTGAAACTATATTGATTGAGAAACAAGATAAGTCTCTTATTGCATAACAAAGTCTAATTGGCCCGATCAATATCGCTGGTATACTCATTACCTTGGAAGGTGATCGACACGAGAAAGAAAATCATGCCAGGATAGATCCTGTTCTCTTAACTGAATGCCTACATTGCTCCCAATTGCTGGAAGCACAATAGCTAAATGTGGAGCGGCCTCTGCAACTCGACTGCATGGAAAGAAAAATCATATCCATGAACATGAACATGCAACATTTTACAGATGTAACAGTTAAACTAGCATTTATATGTATAATTAACACTTTGACATCTCAATCTCTAAAAGAGCAGAGAGATGTTAGCATCTAGCATTATTTATAAGGAAGCAGTATCTACCTGTAGAGAGGAAACTTTCGGCCTCCTCTTAGTATGAAATCCTGAATACAATGTGAAAGTAGAAATCATTTGCTAGAAAAAGAGACATAAATACACACTGCAAAATATGAAATCCAAAGAGAATTGAAAATTATAGTTTGAAAACACACTCTTAGTATGAAATCCTGTATCCTGAATTTTCAGCACTTTCAAGGCTTTTAAGTAAAGCAGATATGTTATTGAAATTTGCTGACATGAGAATTCATCGGGATACTTTAGCAAGTAAAAAATTCCTAGCAGAGAATAATCAGGGCGCATTTAGCCACCAGTCACGGAAACTCACCTGGGTAAAGACACCCTTTGCTTTAGACACGCGTAGACGAGTTGCAATTTCATTTACAGCAAAACTGTCTGCTATTGATACAACAACAAATCCTGCTAGTACAATTGCTAAATATATGATAACCGAATTGACATTCATTGGCATGTCGATAGCAATTGCATCACCCTTTGAAAAGGTTGCATCCAGTGCATTAGCCACCAACCTGTCAATTGTGTCGTAGACAACATCAAAAGAGGAGGAAAACTAAAGGCATCGTGTATACAAAGGGAATAAAGCTCCGGCAACATTACAAGCAGAACGATGGAAAAGTTCAGCAAAGATGAAATCAAAAGGCTTAAACAATGTGAAAGCAGAAATTGCACTGATCTGAAGCATATGCCACTGTGCTAAGGAAATCAAATAGGAGCATACATTACTTGTTCCCGAAGTTCCTTTAATGTCATACGATTAACAGAAGAATCATCGTCGCAGCCTTCATCCCTCCATACAACAGCCAAACCATCATCCTCTTTTCTTGGGTGTCTGGTGGGTAGCAAACAACATTCAGCAATATTCAAAACTGAATGTGGAAGCCAAGATCCACCGCGTTTTGATTTGTCAGTCCTATCCAAAATACACTTTGGGACTTTTCGAAAGGAAACCGAGAGCTCTTTTAGAACAAGTGACCAGTAAGCCTAGAACAATAACAGCACAGCTCGTTCAATAAAAAACATGCATCAAGGCTGCCAGAACTCAAGGATACGAATGAGTAGTTACCTCGGGATTCTGAACAGAGAATTCCTGGAAGAGTGTGTAACTTGTTATGGGATCCTTATATGATGTTCCTAAAAGCTCTGGACCGTGCTTTTCCATCAATCGCCCCAAGTTTGTTTGTCGCGACTGGTATCTGAAAATAGAGAAGAACAGGGTTCAGTTAGGATATAGAAACAAAATTAAAAAGTATACGCAAGAAGACATTCCATGTCTGCAGAATTATTTCTCCAAGATCCACACATTAATGATATACATACAAGCGTCATATATTTGAATTAATCAAAGGTTACCTCTTATATCCTCGATATTAATATGTGGATTAACTCAATGACATGTTTTAATTTTGGAAACTGTTATTAGCATTTTAAAAGTCTCATAAATCTCATTCTAATTTAATTTAGAGTACAAAATAAGAATTTAGAAATGTTAATAACAATCTCTTTAATTTTATAGATTTCAGATTTCATTCCTCACATGCCAAGTTAAAAAGAACGTGGGACTCTCCATGGAAAATACAAAAACGAAAATTTTCTGCACACATGTTAAATTGTGATTGACAGGTAAGCAAGCCAGGTATCTTTTATTAAACAATGAAACAGAGAAAGAAAAGGCAAAAGAAAGTGAATTACAGAGAAGGGAACCAGTAGAGAGGAGGGCCTTTGGTGGAGGCATCCCAATTGGCATAGACTGAGTAGTAGATCAACTGGTGCAGCTCATGAGGGTGTGATGGTTTCAGCAATCTCTCAGCCACTATCTGCCGCCATATCTCTTTTGGGTCCGTTGTGTTCGTGCGGGAGATTGTATTTTTAGGACTGTTTCGAAATCCTTGGCCTCTTCAACGTCTAGCCCTGCCTGAACGAAGTCCTCCACTCCCACCTCACTTATGTTCTTCACCATCTCCCTCTCTCTCTCTCTCTCTCTCTCTCCGTGGTTTTTTGCAGGTTTTTGCATGTATTGAAAGGACGATTTGTGTGGTGTGCCTAATTTAAGGAGTAGGTGAGAGATGTGAAAACAGTCGACTCACGTGCTGATCATATGGTCGTCACTAGCTTCGGACTACGGTAACTAACAACTAAAAGAAAAACTAGTTAAATTAGTAGTTGATGACTTCTTGAATTGGGTCATGAGTTTTCTTTATTAATTTGATTAAATTAATCTCCTTAAAAACAATTGATTATATTAATGATTGTCCATACGTGGTTTATCAAATATTTTTCTTTACACAAGTTATAAACACACGATCTCGGATTCCTTTCAGATTACAATTTTACTATCTTATTTTTCGACGAAGATTTTGTTTTGGCTTTTTAGTCAGAATAGTTTTTAGAATTTGCATAACTCATCATTTTGATTTTTAAAATTTAAAATTAATATAAGTCGTCTCTGAGTTTGTCTATCATTAATTATTTTGATTATTCATGAAAAATCTTCATTAAATAAGGCTAAAATGACACAAATGCGTTCAATTTCTATTAAATCATTTGACATATTGTTTATTAAATTGATGATATTTTTGTTAATTTGATCGTAATATAATTTTTTATAGAATGATCAAAATAATTAATGATGGATAAACTCATGAACCACTTCTATTAGTTTCCAAATCTCAAGAACAAAAGTAATGAGTTATTCAAATTTCAGTCTATTGGTTTTAACACACAGAATCCACCATTTATAAAAGGACACATGATGTACCATTTCGTGTGATGATCACACTGAAAAATCTCTCCTAGAAGATAGGCTTTAGCCTATACCATGTCAAGCAGAAAATATGAAAGCTATCAATACAATGTGCTTTACAACAGAGAATCTCTCCAAAAAATTTAACTCAAAAAATTGTTATGCAATTTTTCACTTTACGTGAAACCTCTCACACATAAAGAAATTGTCATGCAATTTTTCACTTTACGAGAAACCTCTCACACATAAAGAGATTTTTTTTTTCTTCACAATATATTTTCAGTTTGAATAAATAGCATTATTTCAATACCGACTGATTATCTATCTAAATCTTTGTCGACTATGTGAGTTATTACCAAAGTTATTTAACATTCGACACATTGAAAATCAAATTTAATTTTGAACTTCGCAAAACTAGCAACTTTGTCTTCAAGTTCTAAAACTCGAAGACCAAAACGTGTTTATTTCTCAAACGCAGTCAACATAAGCTTTGTGGCTGTCGAAGATAAGGAAAAGGGGTGGTGCCGGTGGAGGAAGGGAAAGTCCGCATCCCTAGGCCATCTTTTGTTTGTTTAGTTTTTTATTTTTTATTTTTTTAATATTTATGTGGGTCATATTGACATGTGATGTTAATCACTGTTCACGTGAATGTTCCGTCATCAGCTGACTTCACAGCTAATTTAACGAATTTATGAGACTATCCCAAAACTAAGACTTGAGGTGTAACTCTGAGATGAAAAAAACGTCATATACCAAATATTGAAAACTATGAAACTTTAAGGTAATAAACTGAGATTAACCCATTTTATTTTAAGAAAATGCAAAAACTAAATTTTTAGAACATCACTTGTAGATCACATGTGACAGTCCATTGTTGAACTTATTTTTTTAATAATTAAAAAAAAAATTTAGTCATCAATTACCATATTATGTGATTTACAGAATATAATCTAGAAATTTAGTATCTTTAGCATTTCCCTTAATTTATGTTTTATTTTCCCTTTTACTTCATAGGTCTCTCTTTCTTCTTTCATCGCGAGAGAGAGAGGGGTCACGGGATCGGGGAGGGAGAGCCAGATGGAGAGGGCAAGTGCATGGATTTGTCCAAACCAGCACCATTTCCTGAAATGTTCGAAGGGTCAAACCTACGATTACGGTCTTACAAGAAACTCAAAAATCCAGGCAGCATGTACCATCTAACTTTGGAGATCAGCATACCCTAAACCCTACTCAACGATGAATCGACAGAAAATTCTGCTGGTACATTTACTCGGTATCATCCCTTCAGGAACATAACACGCTAGCTCGTAGTATTCGGTTCATATTTCATAACAGAACATCCTTCCTGACTATTTGCAACGATGTAAGAAGATCCTTTGTAAAATCACTTAGCAAACCGCAACGTCCACCCAGAAGCAAGCTCATCGTGTTTATCTTCCAAGTACAAACGGGAAATGCTGAGGACAAGCGGATTGTCTGCTCAAATATGAATTCAGTCAGTACAAAAAGGCACACAAATACCAATGCTTCTAAAGGGTACTAGCTACAGGAATATGATGTTTAGGAATATTTTGCTATCTTATACCAAACTCAACTCATATCTTGTTAAACAAAATGAGCATTGCTACGTTCTTACATCGTGTTTTACAAGACATGTACACCTTGTCAGACCTTTTTTTTTTTTTTTTTTTTAAAAAAAACCATCCAAACCCAAAACGGCATCGTTTGGGTAAGGATTTTCAGTCTTCATACCATACCTTCGAATTCGATCCCATTTTCTGCCTCTGCCTTTTGCCTTCTGCCTTGTTGCTTCTTCTTCTCCTGCACGCCAGAAGCCCAGAGGCTCAGAACACAGGTTAGGGTTTCTGAAATTAGGGATTTAGTTTCTGGGGAAGGTTTTGCTATCGAGGGGTTAATAGTTACTTAGTTAGACATAAAAGTTTTAAATCTGCCTCTGCATGCTCTGCCTAACTAAGAAGTTTTCTGGGGTTTTCTGGGGAAGGCTTGTCGAAGGCTTTCTGCGAATGAGAGAGAGAGAGAGAGAAAGAATCACAGTGGTAAACAGAGAGATAGACCCACAGTTTTTAGACAGAAAAGGTTTAAATCTGCCTCTGCATGCTCTGCCTAACAGACCCACGGTTTTTAGACAAAAGTTTTCTGGGGAAGGCTTTCTGCGAGAGAGACAGAGAGACAGAGAGAGGGAGAAGGAAGCAGAGTAGAAACCAGGGGGACAGCCCACGGTTTTATTGGCTGCCATAAACTGTTTTGCATTTATATTATACATGTACAATTTAATGCTCCTGCCATAAATTGTGTCCGTGTGCCATAAATTGGCACTTTGATAAATTGGCTGAACCCAAATATTTCTAAATGTTAGGCCTAATTAGTGGGGACTAAAGGGGTATATAAATTAATTAATAAATTGTTAGAAATTGTTGGAAACTGTTGGTATATAAATTAATTAATAAATTGTTGGTTCATTAATTGTATGCATGCATCTATTGTTTATTGTTTAGGGTATTGAAATGTGGAATATGGTTCGGAAGATTCTTTTGATGAAATGATGACATACCCGACAAGTTCATCTAGAGTTGGCAATGAAGAGGATGATGTTGCCTTTTATTTAGATGAAGAGGATTTAGATGAATGATTTATATCTTTGTTTGTATTTTGATTTATATGAAGATGATTTGGATGAATGATTGTTTTCTTTGTTTGTATTACCTTTTGAATGATGAATTTGGGTGATATTACCTTTGAATGATGAATTTAAATGATATTATCTTTTGAATGACTATGGATTTGAATGAAAAATTGAGAATGGATGTTTATTTTACATAGTATTATTTTTTATACAATTATATGTATAATATATAAAACATATATATATAAAAAAATTAAATCCTGTAAGGCTTCGCCTCACGCCTAGGCTGGGCTTCGCCTCGGACGCCTCGCCCACGCCTCACGCTTTTAATACATTGCTAGCTACAGGAATATGATGTTTAGAAATATTTTGCTATCTTATACCAAACTCAACTCATACCTTGTTAAACAAAATGAGCATTGCTACGTTCTTACATCGTGTTTTACACAAGACATGTATACCATTTTTCAATTTTTCTTGGCTTTTTAGCCAAAATCATTCATATGAGATTAACGCAACTCTTTATTTTGATCTATGAGATTTAAAATCAATAAAAATGGTCTCCAAGACTGCCCCAACGTCAATCATTCTGGTTCTTTCTTTCCTTATTACTCAGTTATCAACATAGATATTAGCTGCTAAAATAACAAACATAAATAAACCGAAAGCCATTGGAAAATCATATACAGTTAATAGTTTATTCACCTCCGCTCGAGACAAACAAAATCAGTAATGTAATACCATCCGAAAATCATGAAAAAGAATTCTGATGGGTTCCCACACACTCATCTTCCAAAACACAACTACAGATTTGATTCTAACTAAAACCTACAGTCTGCAGTAAGTCTGAAAAACATGACACCCAGGACAGAACAACAAAAGAAACAAACCAAGAGATGCAACTGTAGGATGTGTTCAGTTATCTAAAAAACGAATACTGGGATGGGAAACCAGAAATTGATCACTACAGTCTACACCATACCAAAAGACCACCACTTTTAAACCCAAAACTCCACACTGAAGCAAAACACTAACAAATCAAGCTTAACCCAAAAACAAACCCAATTCTCTAAAGAGAAAATTGAGCTGGGAAACCACAAATTCATCACTAAACCGTACCAAAAGACTATCAATTACAGAGCCAAAAATCCACACACAAGAACAAAATCAACATATTAAACTCAACCTAGGAAAATAAAACTAATAAAATTCTTGCCAAAATTCATAAAACATAAAATAAAAGAAAAGTATTATCGGCATTCTAAAAACTCATTCTATAAATTTTTATAATTGTATTTTTTCTTTTCTAATATAGAAAATTTAAAATGTAAAATAAAATTTTTGAAATGTTAATAATAATTTTTAATAATAATAAAAAAAAAAAAATCATTTTTTTGGAGGTATTGAAAGAAGCCGGCGGCCAAAAGCGGCTGCGACTCAATGGTAAAGATAGTCGCCCTTGACCCAGCGTAGCAGTAGGAAGTGGGTCCATGTTAATTTATTATTTATCCCGTAGAAAAAAGGAAAAGAAAGAAAGAAAATGAAAAAATGTCATCCCACCTACCACGCATGTTCCACACCCCTCTACTTTTCTGAA